AGAGTATTTTTTATCATGCATATTAAATAGATTTGAAACACTTCAATGAAATTTTGTACAATAAATTAAAAGATTTATGAAGTATATTGAAATGTATTCTCTGCTAAAATTTATAAATAGCAATAAAAGAGAATACTAATGATGAAAGCGAAAGAGAAATACATAAAATTGAGCAAAGTGCATATTTATTATATTTTTGGTATGTGACTTAGAACTGGTTACTTACTGGTAAATCCGAAAGCCATGCATGTGATTCTCATATCCACATATCCACATATGATACAACACTCCAATTTCAATTAAACCAGTTTTGTTCAGAATATTTAAATAGAGGCTGCATTTACCCATCTGCTAACACCTAAGCAACAAAACGGTAAATCTTTTATTAGAATTTCATGCAAATTTTTGGAACAGACACACATCGCAATCGGTGCTTGCCGCTGTTTTTATGAATCCGCTTTTGCATATTTCGACGAACACTGGACAGCTTATAAGTACACAATATACTCAGTTTTAGTATCAATGCAGCAGCTGCCTCAGCCTCAGCCTCAGCCTCTGTCAGTCTCTGCATCTGCCTTGGCTATTACTTGTCCGGCTAAGTTCCAGAGTGCATTGTCGCCATGTGCCAAAGCCAAAGTATTGGCCAATGCGCTCCATCCAATCTAGAGTGGGAGCGGCCGAGCGGGGGGGTTGTATGGTGTCCCAACTGGTTAAGATGCGCTCACGCGCGTATTAAGTGACTTCAATCCCCTCGGATGGCCGGCTTCGACTCTGGCTCTGACTATGAAATGTCCAAGATGGCCTTCGATACTTTTTTGCAGCGATTAAAAAACGATGACGCCGTCGTTGTCGATCTGGTCGTAAGTCGTCTTGTGGTTTACTTAGCATTTAAAGTGTACATTTTTTCGAATTGTTTGTGAGCAATTTTTTTTAGTACCCGATACCCATTAAAAAATGTTTATAAAGCGTAGAATGCAGTTGTGAAAATGTACATGGCAGGCGTAAGAATATATCCTCGATTGCTTACAGTATATATATCTATATATATACAGGTGATTATTGGGAACAAATCATATTCATGCTTTTCATCCATAAACTTCGATTTCAGACCCACGTTTATTGTGCATAATTTTAAAAGAATTTGACTAAATACAGAGTATATCCAAGTCGGTCACCCTCAACTCGAGCCCTTGTTTATTTAATTTTTGGTTTATATGAAGCGTTAATTTTTTCATTTGTCTTTTTGTTGCCAGAATGCAGTTGACAATGGGTTGGCAATGAATATTATTATTTGATTTTAATTAATTTATCAATAAATCACAACGTTTATTGAGCAGAATATGGCAGGAATATATGTCATCAAGCTGACCTATTTTTAATTAATTCGAATTACTCTTTCTCTTTACTCCAATAATTTTCAAATGATTAAATCAAAAAATTGTTTAAATTTTATGGAAATGACAGAAATACATGCCAATAACTGACTTATATTTAATTATTTTAATTTACTCAAATAAACTTAGTTATAAATAAAATATATAATAAATTAAGCTTGTTTGTTGTTAGGTTTATAAACACTTTAATGTGCATAATTTGTATCTTTAGCTTTCTTTATCTCACCCGTTAATATAACTAATATTTTGTATTTTTCAAAAGCTTTGAATTCGCTTGTCCTTTTTGATGGACACGTGATTATTAAATGTTAAAAAGTAAACCCCACTTAATATAACTATATATATATATATATATATATATATAAACACATTATCAGGTTGCAAAGTGTTCATGATATAACCAAAGTGTATGTGCAAAGCCTTGGAGTTGAGACGACTCGGGCAATTACTAGTTGAAGAGGAGGCGACTACAATGAGGCATAGCATAAGACTGCGAATGCGAATGCGATTGCATAAATCAATCAAATTGTCTCTCACTCGACGAGCATTGAGTAATAGATCCAATTTCGATATGAATTTCACAGAAATTGGGTTTTTTCTTCATCTTCTTCTTTAGTTTTTGCACAACTTTAAATACCAACCCCATTACCCATTGCCCATTAAGTATTACATTTAGTGCTGCATCAGAGACAACAACAACATCAACAACTTCGAAGGCAACAACAGCCACATCGATGAAAATCGACAATTAATAGTGAAAGTCTAAACAAGTACCCAACAACAACAACAACAACAGCAACAACAACAACAATATCAACAATGGGGCATCATCAAAGGTACTGCCAGGAAGTTTTGCAGCCTAGGCGCAGGTCTACGTCTCGTCGTTAGAGTCTAGTATTGGGGCAGAGCGTCTACGTTGTCGTGGATATTTTAAAGGCGATAGCATCGACGCCTCCGCAGTCGCCGCTGACAAAAAAAAAAAAAAACAAAAAAACAAAAAAACAATAAATAAAATACCTGCAGCAAGCGCAGCCAACAACAACGGTCCAAAATGACTAATTCCTTGGCCCAAGTCTGAAGCCCATTTGTTTACTTCTCACAAAACTTCACACGAAGCCGTACCCAAGGCAGCTGAATCTCAACTCGTCTCAGCTACGTCTCGTCTCGTTTTCTGGTGCAACGTTGTTGTTTTTTTTTGTTTTTTTCATTTTTGTTTTTTTTTTTCGCTGTTGCACCCACTGACTCAATGACTGAGTGCCAGAGCCCAGTCAGAGTCACTAGAGCCGCCTGACCCGTGCGCCAAAACCCGCCAAAAATACTGTCGACCACGACGCATTACCATTTCTTGGGGTCACTGCGCAAGTCTGTCTGTCTCCGAGTTGTTGCTGTATGTGCAGTGTGTGTGTGTGTGTGTCTCTCTGTGTGTGTGTGTGTGTGTGTGTTCCCTCGCTTCGACTGTCAGTTTCGGGCAGATGCATATGTCCATGTCCATTGATCAGGCCTTTCTTGGAGCGTGCAATGGAGTTCGCAGTTCAAAGTACATGCAAAGACTTCAGTCTTGCCTGCTTGCAAAATAATATGTATTAACAAACTTATATAAAAAAGAAAAAAAAAATAAAAATAGGAAAAAAAATTAGATGGCTTATGCAACGAGAAGAAGCCACGAGAAAACAGCGATTCGGGCTGCTTTTTTCTTCTTCTTTATTTAGCGATTGCAAGGCATTGCAATAAATTTGTAAGCTCGCAATGATTGTAAACAAAAGAAATTGTTTATGCTGCCTTCAGTCAAAATGACATCAAAAACAATTAGAAAAAAAATGCAGTCGAATGAAAATTTTGAAGATGCAACTGGCTGCGATTTCGTAGCCAAAAAAACCCAACCCAAAAGTAGACGCTCTCTTGGAGTCCACAAACATGATTGCTATTGCCCATGGGCAATAAAAACAATGGCACATTGTTATATTAAATGTTTATCGCACGCTCTTCCCGGTAGCTTTTTCTTTTTGTTGTATTTGTTGCTGTTTGTTGTTGCTGCTGCTGCTGCTGTTGTTGTTGTTGTACAGTAGCCCACGGTAGTTTTTCGGGGGAATTTTATTGCCATACCTCAAAGGGTATCGATCAATTGCTTTCTAAATGACCCAGGGCTATTAGCAGTGCAATGATATTTCATTTCGATTTTGAAATCTTTGTCTGTTTGGGCATTGTTTTATCGTCTGATGGCTGCCGCAAGATTGCCGATGATACAAAATACAAGAAAAACAATTGTGTATTAGAAAGAATTTGCATTGATTTGATGAGTTTTGATAGCGGCTTACCCATGTATATAAATGAGAAATGATTTTATTTAGGTTGTTTAATATAATTGATATACCCTCGAATAATTATTTCATTCGAATTTTCCTTGGAACTGCATTTCGGACAGGAATATATAAAACCGCAATCAGGATGTTAAATGTTTTAAAAAACCAGAAGAGCTCAACTTTGTAATAATTGTTCATGCTTGAGCTTTTTGGATATCGAAATCAATTCTTTAGTTTTCTCAAGTGTTAATTGTCCTAAGACATTAAAGTACTAAATTTTTGATAGTTGTTCTTATTTTAGATGTTTTTTTTTTTATTCCGAAGTCTAAAATTCTAATTCGAAATAAAAGAGTTATAAAAAAGCTTCCGCAACTTAAAATAATATGTTTAAGAATTGTTTCAATGCATGAAATCGTTAAGCTCGCTCAAAATATTTGCTTTTTAGTTATTTTAAGTCTTCGAACTCTTTTGTAAGAGATCTTTTCAACAACTTTGAGTCCTAGATTACTTTAAAAAGATTGGGAAAATAATTTTGTGAAATATGAATATGAAAACACAAATAACAACAACATCCATAACAGCAACAAAATCCAAAAAAAAAAACGACAAACTGTCATTTTGCAATTCGAATAAGCCATAATATTTATTATAATCAAAACCGAACACCCGCAACGTGGGCCCAGCAGTGGCAGCCAGGCAACGAGGCAGCCAGTCAGCCAGCGGAGTCGACGTGCTGCAATGGCCAACAAAATTTATTACATTTAATGTGCAGCATTAACTACGATTGAGATGTGATCCTCGTTTTGGAGCTGGCTCGACTACAACCCTGCCAAAAGCATCTCTTAGGCGGCAACGTGAGCTCAACTCAGCTCTGCCCCCTCAGCCAAGCCTCCTTGTCTCCCCCCTGCCCCTGCCTCGTGTCATACAGAAGTGTCTATCTACAAAGTCGAGACTTGGTGACTTGGACAGCGGCACAAAAGCATTTCTAATTAAGACATTCGATACGGTTGCTTGCGTGTGGAACGCAAGACAATTGGCCAACAACAATATATATTTATATATATGTGCATTTTTTTTTTTTGGCAATATCTTGCTCCCAAACCAAGTATGAATCTTCTCATGTACATATTTACATATTTATTGTGTGTTATGTTTGTGCAGCTGAATCACTGACATTATACTATAATGCTCACAAGAATCATCAATGTATTTGCACCCCAGACACCGCTTGACATTCACGCCTTCATGCATTCCCAGCCAAGCATATAAATGCTAAACACATTTTCCACTTTTGATATCCTTGCAGGTGCAGATACAACACCAACAACCACATCCAGTGAGTCCCGCAGAACGCCACCCACAAAATTAACGGAGCAAGGCTCGAGACCTTTCACAAAAATCGCCAGCAAATTGAAAAACGTAAAGAGCGAAAGTGTATCCAGTGGAACAGCGAGGATAACGACGACAACAGCTCCAGTTCGATCACCCAAAGCCGAAACAGAAACCGACACAGAATCAGATTCAAAAGTTGCAGAAACTGTGACGGCAACAACTGCAGAACGCACTAAACTCAGCCAAGTGAGGCTAACTAACCAATCGACTACAAGCATGTTACTTTTGCAACCCAATGTAAGTGGAAGAATCATATCTATTTAGCATTGTAGCTTAACAATACTCTGTTAAATTCAGAGAGAATGTGTATAGAATTATATTAAATGAGGTGCATACATAGAGATGAAATTGGAGAATTAGATATTATCCTGAAAAGGCTGACTAGGGCACTACACTAAGCCACTCAAAAATAATGAAGAATAAGATTAACGTATCGAATTCAAATAAGAAAAATTAATAAAATTAATAAAGGAAATTCTTGTGAAAGATTCTCATTTTTTATGGTTTATATAACAAAGATTAGAAATTGCTTAAGTAAGGATTCAAAATAGTCAAATAAGATGAATAAATGAAGGTTTATGGCTGAATCTTATGTTTCAGCTTGAAATAGCTTAATTAACAAAGATTAGAAATTGATCTTAGAACTTAAGTAACTAGAGTAAAAATATTAAATGATCTTATAGTCTCTAAATTGCTTTGACCACCCCAAGCAATATATTTCTTTCAGCCATTTATCTAAAATAAATGTAAATTTATCCATAAATTAGGTCAAAGAGCATTTCTAATACTTATAATATTATAAAGCTTTTTTACTATAAAAAGAGGAAAAGGATAATTCAGCTATCTACAAATATAATTAAAATAATATTTATCTATTTAATAATAATAGAAATTAACCGATCGCTTAACGTTTAATTCAATTGAATGTTTCATAATTTTTAGATGCCATATCAAACCATGCTAAAAGCTGTAAGAATAGTAAGAAATTTAGAAAGCACTTTATGGAATCATAGATTCAGAAATTAAGGTAGCACAGCTTAAGCATTCATTTTTTTAAATAATTTTTTAGCAGCTGTTGCGTAGAATTCCACCCATTAGCAAAATATATATATTTGGAAATTTGCATGTTGCAAAACAAATGACTTTGCTGAATGTCTGCGTTAATTGCCTGCTGTGAGGAGGTTAGAGTGTGAGCAGAAAAGTACTTGGGAAACCACAATAGCTGTCTAATTGAATTTAATAAAAAATAAATGCATATGTGTTAACAGACACGCAGACCAGACAGACAGCATAACCAATTACAGAATTAGATGCCTGTCAATTTCGTATAGGGGTTGCAATCCTTAGAACCAATCAGAGCAGTCGCTAGCATCGCGCATGTCTAGCTGTCGTCGTCGATTGGGACTCCACCCTTGTGGCTAGAGCTAGAAACTATGCTTAGCTGTCTGTGCTGTGTGACTTACTAATTTAGTCCTTGATGAACTCTTGTGCATTGCAGAGCTCCTTTAGTTCACTCTCGTCGTTCGACAATTTCTCAACGCAAACCGTGACAACGACAACAGCGACGTCGGCAGCAGCAGCAGCAGCAGCAGAGAGTAGTGCTGGACATCATCATAATCATCATCATCATCATAATCACCGGCATCATCATCAGCATCAGCAAACCCTGCAATCGCATCAACAACACAATCAACACTTGCTGCTGCCCACATCCAGCCAGGACACATTGCTCTCCCATGAGGAGGATCAGCTGATAAGCAATCTGGCCGATGCAGCCGTCACGCACAGTGAACTCTTCTCGGATTTATTTTTCCCCTCGGACTCGAACAACTCCCTACTATCGCCGGCACTGGAGCACCACTCGGTCGCCAGCTATCCGGATACACAGGTGGATGTGCCGCCGCCGTCCTCCCATGAGACATTGATTGGCAGCAGCGAGGACATCACTAGCTCCATTGAGAATCTCACCAAGCTGACGTGCCTGCGCGACAAGCGACTCTCCTCCATCCAAGATCAGCCAGCTGGCAGCTCCGAGCAGGATCACCATTCGATCTGTCTGCTCAGTCTACGCTCCAGCAGTGATCCCGCTATTGCTCTACACGCCCAGCAGCAACAACAACTACAGCAACAACAACAACAACATCTGCAGGCAGTCCATCAGTTGCAACGGCAGCGACACGGCGCCAGCGATTTACTGATCTCACCAATTGGGGGGCCGCTCTCGTGCGGCAGCAGCCTACCCAGTTTCCAAGAGACCTATTCCCTCAAATACACCAGCAGCAGCGGCAGTCCCACGCCCCCCACTGCCACGCCCTCCGATCAGTTGCTAACCCTCAAAATGGATGATGATTGCTTTCCGCTGACCAACACCGCTGCGGAAGTGTTGGCGGGTCTTAGTTCAGGTCCTCCCTCCGGGCAGCTGCAGTCGCTGCATCAATTGCATCAAGCTCAACCCACACACCTCTCACATTCCGGCAACAACAATAGCAACAACAACAGCAACAACAACGCAAACAACAACAACAGCAGCAGTGGCAGCTACAACTATCATGGCCATTTCAATGCCATCAATGGCGCTTCCAAATTCTCGCCAAGCTCATCAGCCAGCTCGCTCTATGAGTACAGTGGCCAGAATGATCTGTTCTATGGCCAACAACAACAGCAACAACATGGCTATCAGCAGCATGTAAGTAGCACCTGTTCACACATTAAGACACTCAAAAAAAAAGTATTCAACTATACTTCAAATAATATTTTCTTTAAACTAAAAAAGTAAAAAATACTTATGTTCTACTAGTTATAAAAATATATATTTATGGAAAATTTAAGAAAATTATATTGAAATATATATTCGTAGAAAATTAAAGAAAATTATTTTCCATAAATATATATATATATATATATATATAACTAGTAAAAATACTACTACTACAATATATTTTACCTCAATTGGAGCCCTTCGTATCTTAATTTATACCGATCTTAGAAACTATACTCATTCTGAGCAAATGGTTCTTTATTGATGAAAAGATTAGTTTGTAAAATTTCAATTTAATTCAATAATGGTTTTTTTTTCTATGCTCGAAATGTATTTGTTTTTTTTTCCAGTGTACCACTTGCTTATACATACAATTATTAATATTTTTTCAGAACTACAACATGAATAATGGCGAGCGTTTCTCTCTGCCCACATTTCCCACCATATCAGAGCTGGAGGCAGCGAACGCTGCTGCCGCCGATGCCAATGCTGGTCCCACCTCCGGCTCCAATTCCGTCGTCGCCGTCTCTATGCCGCCCATGCGACGTGCCTCGTTGCCCGTGCAACGTTCCGTTTCGCCCGCTGCTGCTGCACACAGTCCCAAACTGGCCAAGTTGACTCTTGGTCCGCGACATGCTCATGCTCATGCCCTGCAGGTGCAGTTGAGTTCCACGCCCAATTCAGCGGCCAGTTCACCAGTGAGTGGAGCTGGTGTGGATCTCCTACACAGCCAGGCGGGCAGACTGCTGCAGTCGGCGAGCTCCTCGCAGTTGTGCGCAGTGTGCGGAGATACCGCCGCCTGTCAGCACTATGGTGTGCGAACCTGTGAGGGCTGCAAGGGATTCTTCAAGCGAACCGTGCAGAAGGGGTCCAAGTATGTGTGCCTGGCGGACAAGAGCTGTCCGGTGGATAAGCGGCGACGTAATCGCTGTCAGTTCTGTCGCTTTCAAAAGTGTTTGGTGGTGGGCATGGTCAAGGAAGTGGTGCGCACGGATTCTTTGAAGGGTCGCCGCGGACGATTACCATCGAAGCCAAAGTCGCCGCAGGAGTCACCACCATCGCCGCCCATATCGCTGATAACGGCGCTGGTGCGCAGTCATGTGGATACAACACCGGATCCCTCGTGCCTCGACTACACACACTACGAGGAGCCACTCGATCCGCTCACGCCGCCAATTGTGGCCAGTGCACTGGCCATGAGTGAGGCTGACAAGGTGCATCAGTTCTATCAGTTGCTCACCAGCTCGGTGGATGTGATCAAACAGTTTGCTGAGAAGATACCCGGCTATCTGGATCTCACCTCCGAGGATCAGGAACTGCTCTTTCAATCCGCCTCGCTGGAATTGTTCGTCTTGCGTCTGTCGTATCGGGCACGCAGCGATGAGACCAAGATGATATTCTGCAATGGCACAGTGCTCCATCGGAATCAGTGCCAGAGATCCTTTGGCGATTGGTTGAACGGCATCATGGAGTTTAGTCGCAGCCTGCAAAATCTCGAGATTGACATATCGGCATTTGCCTGCCTCTGTGCACTAACCCTGATAACAGGTGAGGCATCTCAACTAAATACATATATAAATCTATTTATGCTTAATTTTTACTCTCTGTCAATTCTTGTAGAGCGTCATGGCCTGCGTGAGCCAAAGAAAGTGGAGCAGTTGCAAATGAAGATCATTGGCAGCCTGCGGGATCATGTCACCTACAATGCGGAAGCGCAAAAGAAGCAACATTATTTCAGTCGACTCCTGGGAAAATTGCCCGAATTGCGCTCTTTGAGCGTGCAGGGATTACAGCGGATATTCTATTTAAAACTGGAGGATCTGGTGCCTGCACCGGCATTAATCGAGAACATGTTCGTCACCACGTTGCCCTTTTAGGCGCCACACATACATCAAATCACATCACATCACATAACTTTGCTTCCTTAAACTTTAGCTTTTAATAACATAATTAAACATAACATATACATATATATATATACATATATATACGTGAGTAGTATGTATATATGTATAGTATTGGTATACCCTTAACTAGATACTAAGTGATCTCAAAGAAAATGAGACAAAACCATCCCCATATAGTATAAATCTACTAACAATAAACAAAAAATGTTATCAAGTAGGAATTCTAGAAAAATCAAGAAAGCCCTATTCAATAAATTTCCCATCCATGCGTAGTTTGACAGCACAGAAAACTTTGACCACGGCCAAATCAGAATAGCCCGGTTCATGAATATTTGAAGCATTTCAGCGGGTTCAGATTACAGTGGGTTCAAGTCGTAAATTGTCGACGAATAAGGTATTCGTGACTTGTCTGTCAGCTTGCCAGCACAGAAATCACACAACTTGTTGACGTTAATTGTTTTATTCCAACTGTCAAAATCAATAGGCAGCAACACGCACAACTTGTGTGCATATGTATGTATTGTAACTAACAACCCTTTATATTCAATTCGACCAATTTATACTTGCCTTCAAGTACAAATCAGAGTTCTTTCGCCTTGCCTTCTCGTAGCTTACTTCTAGTCAATTGTTTTAAGATACCAGCTACACATTAAATAATAATAATAATCAGTAACATAGTTTTAGATATATTTAGGTAGGTAGTATGTAGGATTTTTGTTTTGACGTTCATGAATTCTTGGTTGAAACTGTTACCACACGGCCCAGTGCACAAAGAGAGTTTAAGTACCTTTATGTGATTCGTGTCTGACACATACAGATCTGCACAGAAACACACAAACTAATGTATAAGACAATGTATATACATACTTAGACTAAATATAGAATAAGCATAGTTATTTTCTAATCGTCGCTCATTAATAAATGTATTTATAATTCATGAATTAGATATATAATATTTACTTCAAATGAGTTCTCAAAGAATTACTAAGGAGACATCACTGTCTCTCTCTCTCTCTCTCTCAATATCTCTTTCTCTCTCTCTCTCTCTCTATGTGTAATTTTGATTAACGGCCCTCTATGTGATTTTGTGTTAGATTGGCGTTAAATATATCTACACACATTTATACTTACTTACATATGTATATGTCCAATTTTTATATGATTTATTTTGTAACTTACATATATTTTATAACATATACATACCTATAAATTTTCCTTAAAAGGAAAACGATATACAAATCTGCATGATACAAAAATCATACAATTCTTAGATAGCAAATATTTAAAGTACATACAGCCTTTATAGTAGACAACTTTCCACTTATGTATTACACATTAAGAAATTCGATGGATTAAACTAAAGACTACAAAACATTTTTAGGCTTAACGAATAAGAAAACATATCTCTTCAAGCTTTCAAAAGCACAATACAAGCCCTAAGTGTTATTAACTTATTTTTTATTACTTTATTGGCAATATATAAATTTAAAATCATATTTTTGTTGTTGTATTCCTCATTGATAACACTATGCAACATCCAAAATGCGGTGAGAGTTGCACACAATTTGCTTAAGCTAAATTTAGGAACCAATAATAAGAAAATCTATTCTATATTTTTTTCTATTGTAAAGTTTTATTAGGATGTATAAATAATCAATATTTAATTATCAATTTTTTTGAGAGGTGAGTTTTATATATTCAGAACAAGTGTTCGTATACCATTTAGCTAGATTTGCAAGTATATATTGCTTGCATTTGAAAATAGATGAGTTTTTTGGTGAAATATATGAATTCCCCTCAAAAAAGTTGAAGATTAGCAAGCGAAAAATCACTCATTAGAAAAATTAAATTCTGCCATTAAAAAATTATCAAAAATTATTTTCATAATTTTTCATAATGTTGAGCAAATATTTTGTAAATTCAGAAATAACTTTTATATATTTATTGAATTAAGGAAAAGTAATCTATGTAACTATTGGAGTACTATTACGAATATAGATGTACATACATATATGTATGTATATATTTAAACAGCCATTTTGCTTAGAGTGTATGCATACTAAGTATCTGTAAGAAAAGCACTTGTGTGAGCCCTAATAAATGTTAATCCTAATCTTAAGTATCGGTTAAAATCGTTTGAAATTAAATAATATAGTACACACACACAATGTTACCAAATTGGTTTGAAACTATAAACAAAATTTGGATTCAGAATCCATGATGTTGCCATTATCTAGCCGTTACATATCGAAAAATAGAAAAAGAAAACAATACAAAAACATATAAAATTCTGTCCGTTCTTGTATCATATGTAAATAATTGAGAATCTGTCGTTCGTATAGCAAGCAAATACACATTAAGTCCAGATATAATTATATACATATAGAAATATATATATACATACATACATACAACATACTTTGTACCTTTAGAATATGTATACTCGTACATTAGCAAACATATATACATATATTTTGAATAGAGAACTTTTACCGGAAACTTTTGCACTTTAACTGAAGAATCCATAACACATTTGTTTGTGTTAAATGTTCTTTTGTAATTTTATATGTACATACATACCTACATATGTATATATATATATATAATCACATACATATGTAAGGTATGGAAATTTATGGTGTGCATATTTTTGAGAATTTAAACGATACATTTTTCAATGAAATGCGTTTTAGTACACTTTTCAATACAAAAATATATATACTATAAAAATTCATATTTTGAATATATACATACACATACATATAATTACATATATTTTATTATGTACTTACCTAAAATAAGTATACATATATATATATATTTATACAATTAAGAGCCCATGAAGCTTTATGGATGAGAAAACAAATTGTACGTTTTTTTTATAAATAATCGGATCGATTTTTGAAAAAATCTTTATTTTTCAAAAAGAAAAAAAAAACATATATTAGCCAAAAGAAAAAAATGTCATGTCCTTTGAAAAAGGATGTAACTTGTTTGCATCGCAATGATTTACATACATATATACATATAGCGTATTTGAAGCACAAGAAAATGTTAAAGTTGAAGGCATGATTTATTAAATATATTATGCGCGTATTACCAGCAAATTTCTAGAAGAATACTATACCTAAAGATGCTATGTATACATACAAATATAATATTTACATATACATACATACATATATTATATGTATATAATATTATGCATTGTTATATAGTCCGTTGTGTAATTTGTCCTTATTTTGTATTGTTTCATTTCATATTGTTAGTACCAACCAAAACGTAACTGAACGTTATTTATCTACATACATATGTATATCCGCAATGGAAATTCAGCTGAAACGGCATAATAAGCAAATACAAATCATTTCATTTCGATAAAATAAACATTTAAGCATACAATTTTTTAAAATGCCTTTTGAGCAAATTAGTTCTAAAACCAACCATATACATATTTACATAATGTATACTGATTTCACTGATTTCAAATAAAAATGTTTACTTTTTTCTTGAGTGTTAAACGAGTGAGTTTTCTTTCTCTAGATGCTATCTATACCCCAAGTATAATTATTAAAGTGATTATATCATGTGTCCAATTCCGAAGAGCCCATACAGGAGATGTATTCTTGAAAAAGTGAGGGTGTTACTTGTATTGCCTACATTACTTAACTTTTGCACATCGACTTGTTAAAATTCATCACTAACCATCAACCACTAACCAGCAGTGAATCAGTTTATTATTGAAACAAAATAGAAGGAGAATAGTAGTGGATTTTATATAAAAAACTTATGTTAAGCTCTAATTGGTTGTCTTAAATAAAATATACAAAAATCAATACAAAAATTATACACCAAAACTAATATTAAGTCAGTCATAGACAACCATCAGTGCGTCCACAGAGTGCCGACAAACGGGACACCGACGTTCATCTTCGAGACGTTCTAGCCGCAAGGAGCACTCCTTGCACACACAGAGATGCCGGCAGGGCAGCATTACAATATTCCGGCTGCGGTCCAGGCAAACTACACAAATGATTCGGTTTGGCGATGCATTCTCAGTTCGTTCGCTGATCTCAAATTTCTGCATCACCCAGGATAATTGTTGGTCTATCCATCTTGATGCACTCTGCAGAGCTCCATACACTTTTGTTGACATCTCATAGCGTAGTTTCCTTAGCAGATAGACGGCATAGTAATACACATAGCCGCGGAACACATAGAGCACCAGGAGCAGGACGATGCCAATGGAGAGTCGAAAGATGTTATTAAGCAAATATGTGCCATGCTCAACAATACAAGCAGCCACGTAATGAAGTGCTAGTATTAAATAGTCCAAGATGACAATGATGAATCGTGGCAACAGAAGCACTATCCACAATGTACAATTGCCAATTCCAATGAGCACGTCGGCCAAAAATAGAAATATCCCCTTGAATACATTCCTTGCCAATATCAATGCATCGCCGGTGCCATCGTAAATGTAGTCGGAAATATCGCAGACTATGTGACGCAGATTGCTGTAGAAGATTGTGAAGTCTTTGAATATAGTCGCAGCTAACTGAAAACCGTAGCAGAGGAAGCTCCAGATGTGAGCGCCGCCTTGAACCAGCCAGTAACCTACAAAACAGCTACCGGCAAAAAAGTAGTAAATGGCCGCTAGCAGCGTCTCAATTGTGGACGTAATTGGTTTCAGCAGCACAATGTCAATAAGATTCGCTACTGAACTCAGTAATGACAGCATGTTGTACACAAGAACATTTTAAATAAACAATAACAAAATAAAATGAAAACAAATGCGAAACACCCTTCACAATCTCCCGATATACAATAAGTTCACTTGAAACTATCGATAGGCTTACGACTCAATATTCTCAAAAATGTCAACTATCGATTAACGAAACAAGGTTTAAGAGTTGATATTTTTACAAGATGAAAAGTTTTCAAGTTTGTTTTCTAAATAAAAATTAATAATATTGCAAAAATGAAGGTATATACATTTCTAAAATTATTGGAGCCTCGAAGCAGTAATAAACCAATTTGTAGATAAAGTGCACTTTGTTATTATTGATAATTATACTTAAGTATTTTACTTATATTATACTGATTATATACACATACTATGGAATAAAGTGTACCGTCTAAATTGTTTAACACACTTATCAAACCGCAAAATTGTTCAGCAGAGCTATCAAATCGCTGTTCTTCTTCATCACAGCCATCACTTCCAGTTGCTGCTGCTTCATAATGCGCAACCGATTGCGTTCCTCGATTTTGGCCAATTGATTATTGCTGTTTATGTTCCTGGTGTCAGCATCCAGTTTCTGCTCCGACTTAATGTGATATAGCTCATCGCGAATTGCATGTAATTTGCGCTCACAATCGCGCACATCCTTCTCCAGAATCTGTGTCTTCAGATACACAGTCTGCGCCAGTTTATACCAATCGGCCAGGCATTCGGCCATTTGAGCTACAGCTGGGCTAACGTTGTCGAGCAGCAGCTGCTTAATCCGTTTCCCATTGTGATCCACTTTTATTTTCTCCAGCGCATGGAATTGCTCATCATTGTACGTTAAAGTGCGTGTGGCCCGATCTCGGAGCAGGTGTTGCCAAGAGTCGCGCAGGCGCTCCACCAAATACTTTGCCTGTGCGCTGGCCCGTGTGCGGCAAGGACACTTCTTGCCGTGCATCAGCGATGACCACTGATCGCTGTAAATGAAGAATGTATCAACAAAACCCAATTGCCTTGGCATTTACTTTTCTATTCACTTTAGCTCGTCGTCTGTCACATAATGTTTGTACATCTGTGTGATTACATCGGCGGCTCCATCGAATTCAGTTTTAACACTGTCCAAGGAGCTGGCAAGTGACCTCAATTCCTGATCACCCTTGGTCTGCGGAAATAGACACATGTTTATGATGTTCTTATGTGGTAAAAGTGGTTCTCCTAACTTACCATACTGGCGGTGCTCTGCACCACATCTGCGTAGTCAACCACCGTCGAGAGCAGATTGTCAAAACTTTCAGTTTTTCTGTGATGTGATATAAATTGGGTGTTAGAGTTGGTAGAGCATTATTTTCCCAATTGATTTACTCACTTCAACAGCAGTGTAATTGTGGTAATAAGCATCTCGATAAACTGCTCCACTCCCTTCTTGATAAGAATGTCCATGGTGGTGAAGATGTCCACTCGTCTTTTGCACTCATGGCCCACGCTGCATGCAGCCTGCATTAAGGGAAATATATACCAGACATTATATATTTACATATATTATATAAAAGTTTAGAAGAGCAGATGTTGGCTTTACCTTTGCCAGACTCGCATCGTTTTCAACGGAAACATTTGGTGGAAATACCGGGAACTTGGGCAGTTCCAGTTGATGCGGCAATTGAACATTGTTGTCATCATTGCTGTAGAGGAATATGGGCTGATCCATGGTTGTGCTGGGAAATGCGTTAACTGACAAACAGACATGAACAAAGATCGTAGAGAGATAGTTAGATAGCCAGGAAGAACTCACCCAAAGTGCGTGGCGAGACTTTCTTTTCGAGATGCTCGTTATTGAATAGCATTATTTGCTTCTCCAGTGGCACTTCGGTTTGTAGGAATATACGTTCCCGGAAGTTGTCAATCTGTTCATCCGGCTCAAGGAACACCTCCACTGAAGTGGCGCGATTCGTGAAGAATACGTGAATGACACTCTTGCGCAGTATTAGCGTCACCTCCTGGAAGAATCGATCAAAGGACCACGTCTTATCTCGATTCTCCTCCAAGAGGCCGGCCAACAAAGGTGTTACGAGCGTCTTCAATCCTTGCGATAAATGTGCATGCGGCGGCAGTGTTGTTGACCACTCAATGGGTCCATTCTCAGCCAGCTGTGTGCCCGATATGACGCCCGAGGCCTTTTTTGTTGTTATCTGATGCATTGTCTCACGATTCTTGCGACCCCCATATGGTCTAAAGGGTAAATTGCCCGTGGCCACGTGGTATAGCGTCACCCCAATGGACCACAGATCCACATTCGCTGTAAATGAACGTTGTATGGATTTGCGGAGCACAGCGCGCTCATAGAGATCGGGATGCAGATACTCTTCGGTGCCATAGAGCGAGGCAAACGGCTGGTTATCTTCTAGTTCGCGCGCAGCACCAAAGTCAGTCAACTTATATATGGTTTGACCGTCCTCCGATATGAATTTCATAATGTTGCCAGGCTTTAGATCGCGGTGCACCAACTTATTGTCACGCAAATGTTTCATGCCGGCGCACAGGTGCTCCAGCACCAGCAGGAACTCGTGCTCTGGCAGACCGTACGAGTTCTCCGGATCGTCAAGTATATTAAACAGACTGCCGCCAGTGCACAGCTCCATGACGATCACCTTTCCGCGTCCCTCCTGATCCTCCTCGATGGCCAGCAATTTGACAATGTTCTCATGGTTCACTTTCTTCAAGGCCTCAAATTCGCGCATCTGGACATCGGCAGGTCGCATGTGACTATACGGATTGAATGTCTTAACGGCGACCGATTCACCAGTTGTCTTATTCACTCCCTGATAAAAAAGAGGAAATGACAAGAAAAATATACATAAAGACATGCACATGAATACAATTTGATTTGTATACACCTGAAATACAGATCCTGTGGCACCTTTGCCAAGCACACTGGTCGTGCACCAGACATAGTTCAGAGAACCACGCAGGAATGACATTTTTAATTAAATTGTTACTATATTTCTTAAGCAAACATTTACTGCGATTAACTGGTGAAAACAGATGTACGTGCAGTTTTTTATTCGGTTCGATTAGCCTATTGCTATCGATATATTCCACTAGTTCATTTACATAAAATCGTGAATTCAGCAATTACTATAAAAATTCGAAAAGTGAATGCGCCTCAAAGACCAAACTAGTCACGAGAGCTTGTAATCGATTAATGTTATCGGGCAGCGGCCATCCTTAGTTATTTTTGTTGTTTTGCGCTGCGACAACTTTGGCAGCATTTTAATATTATTATTTTGTAGTTCGACACAATATGACAGATTTGTGCATGGTTTTTAAGGGTGCACCATTTCGTTCGTGAGCGAATGGTAAATATGTACAACACACTAAATATCTGCATTAATCGTGGCCGAGACACATAATTTATCGTTGCGCCGATTCGCGAAACGCCTTCCGTTGTTATTTATTAATAATAAACGTTGCGTACGCGCTCCTTACAACAAAAGGATGAAAATTCGATTACATTTAGTGCGCTTCATGTACATAAATCTACTGCTAAGGTAAGCAAAGACACTGTTTGCTCCAACCATTTCCAATCATTTTCCTAACCATTTTATTTTCCTTTCTTCCACTTTCTCGATTCTAATTTTTTTTTTTTACTGCAGCTGCTGTTTCTGGCTTTATGACAACGCTGCTGCAGCAGATGCTGCAACAACAGCAGCAACAGGAAATGCAAAGGCAGCAGCAGCTGCCAGTCAGGCGGACCATCGAGTGGACAGACCGCCTGCCTCCTTAGAAGGGATAGTCAACGAAGAGAAGGTCGCCAACTCGTTTAGAACAAACTTCATAAAACTTACAAAACGTCGTCAGAAGGCAGAAGATAACGTTGACAGTGTGATGGAAAAGTTGGCAAGCAACACGCCAACAACTATTGCGAGTGCGAGTGCAAAAAAAACTAAACCGACTGCTGCTGTAAGAGACACGTCAGTGAATTTAAATGCCCCCAGTGTAAATATCAATAATGATAATAATAATAACGAGTATATTAGCTTAGTGCAACACAGTGAAAATGATAATAATAATAATGATAAAGATGCAGGGAATGAAGGGACAGCCCAAGTGCCAAAAAATCAATTAATCAACAATGTTAATACTAATAATGAAAATTATCATAATATAAAAACAAAAACAAACACAAATGCAGATGCAAATGAGCAAGTGCAGCAAGCAAGGCAAGTTGGCGATGCGGTTGCAGCAACAACAACAAACAAAAAGCAGCAACAACAACAACAAAGCGAGCAACAACAGAAAGAGAAAGAGAGGTGAGTTATTTATATTTTCACTATTTGCATAAGAACAATTTCCATGACACTCGTTTCGTACAAACAACACACACACATACAACTAAGTAGAAATAATTGATAAGTGGACAAACTGTGAGAGGCGCCTCCAAGCGTAACAACAATTATCAATACACAAGCGTTTTGCATAAAAACGTGCCAAGCGACAAATTTCCTTCGACTTGGACGTGCGAAAGAGCACTGAATACTAGAGAGATAGGTAGAAAGAGACAGACATATAGAGGGAGAATGAGATAGAGATAGAAAAACAATGCGACCTTTCTAGAATCGTAGACACTGTGTAATCTGTGGTATTTCCCTCATTTAAATAATGACGGGGAATTTCATCGCCCGTATCATTTTATTTCCCTGAACTGTTTGTTTTTTGCTCTTGTATTTTTTATAAACCTAAATATGTGTGTAAATATGTATGTTTGTTTTTTGTTCTTGTATATTTTATAAACCTACATATGTGTGTAAATATGTAGCAATGCTTTTACAGTTATCGATTTCGATTTGCCTTTCTATTAACTGATTGTTTCAATGCCCTTTGAGTCCAGTAGGGTGACACATATCCCGTTTAATCTTTTGTTGCACATCTAAGGACATTTGAGTTCTGCTTAAATAACACATTTTGTAATTTCATAAAGTCTACTCATAAATTAATATGATCAGTAGATCCAAACAAAACGTACTAATATTTTCTTAAACTTCTTTCCTTATTCCCAATATATATATAAATATATAACTCGACTCAATATACAATGTTATGTATATTAGGTATATTGGTAATATTCCAAAGTCATTAGAAGAAAATTTAGAAATGACTATTGATTGCTACTTTTAATTCCTTCACGAATGCCCTTAGGACTTGCCAAGCCCAATTTGATTAATTGATTCTCATCATTATTTTTATTTTCGATTGAAAATCGTGAAGCGCTCCTAAAAATATGCAACGCAATTACATTTTAAGGAAATGTGAATTAACAAACCAAAATTTTCGGCTTTAAATAAATGCAATTATAATAAAAGTTTTTAGCCAATAATAATAAAGAAACTTTTATAGATGTAAGCATGGGAAACGTTGCTTCAAGGCCGACCAGCCTTAAACTTTTATGCAGTACATAAAAATTAAAAATCGATAGGAGTCTTACTGGTTTTAGAAAGTTCGTATATGGATATTAAAAGTAAAACACCCAAACACAAGAATAATATAAGTTAATAGCTTCATAAAGCACAACAACCCAACAAAAAAAAAAACCAAAAAAAATATGGCAAGCTAATGAAACGCTAAGGTATTTGTACTGCTACCAGGTATGTCAGAAATGGTCGCGATGAAATATTTATTTGATAGGTAATTAGTTGCGTGCTCGTTTCTATAGTACAACCAGCGGCAATATGTCTATGCATACATGCATAAGTAAAGAGAGCCCAATGGCGAATGTTAACAACAAAAAAACACCCACGCCGGCTCTTGTCACAATGCATTTTACCGGTAATTTGCTTTACAGTTTTCAATTTATTTTCCCTGACTCTTAAACGGCATCGTCGTGTGAGCGGCGGCCGGCGACTTTCTAAATGCCTTTGCAGTCGTCTTTGCTTTTGGTCTATCCAGCTAGCTGTCTGGACTATCTATCTATTGGTGTTGGCCAATTCGTTCATAAAAAAAAAACCAAGAAAAAAATAACAAACCGAAACTGCGTCGGGCGAACTATTGTATATGTATATATATCTATATATATATATATTGATTATTTTTCCTATTTTTCTTATTTACGAGCCGACGAGACGCTGTGGGAGTTAACGCCAACGCCAATGCCGATCGATGATCGCCCCGATCCTTTAAAGGCCTTGCACAGCATATTTCAAAATTACCAAAAAACATTGTTGTTGGTTGTTGTATTTGTAAAAGTGTTAAATGGGCGCCATATTTAAAGTGGGCATTTCAGTTTGATTTGACTTGATATTAATCGCTTACGCGGTGTCTCCTCTACGGGCTCTCTCAAATCAAAAATGACTTTATCAGTAAAAATCGACTTTCCATTTTTTTTTTTTTTTTGGGGTTATAAAAGCAGTTTTGTTGCATTTGAATTGTGTGTGTGTGTGTGTGTATGTGTGTGCCCCAATAGAGTACGCCAGAATCAAGCAATCAAGTCTCGAGTCTCAAGCATCATGCTGTCTTCCAAAATTCCCCTCCAGACACATTTCACACATGGCAGGTGATCGCAGCGAACGATGATCGTTGTACTTTCACTTTCGGCGAATGTGTAAGGACTCGACTCGATTCGACGCCACTCTGCGAATAAGTTTTGCAATTTAGGCTTTCGAAAATGCATCATGATCTTGTTACTCTAATCAAAGTTGCCAACAACACCAGCACAACATCTGCAACACAACAACAACAGCCAATAATCACATACAACAGCAACAGCAACAACCACAACAACAACATGACATTGCTATCAAAGCTAGCAGACTTTCTGGCAGCGATTGTCGCTTATGCAAATGATTAAGTCAGCCAATTGTGGGAGATTATTAATATGCCAAATGCTTGCAGTTAACACAAATTATTGATTGTTATCAAAAAACGAAAAATAAAAATAAAATAAAACGCTGAACGCTGAACGCCTACCTCGGCTCACCTGTCCAAATTGTTAATTGATTGTGATCGGGCGCGCATTGACTTTGGCTTAATCAGTTTGATCGGTGATTGGGGCTCGTCAGTCGTCAGTCGCCGATCACTGATCTCGTCAAGCTGCATCGATTAGCCAGCCAGCCAGCCAGCCAGCCAGCCGGTGTCTGTCGGCAGATATTGCGAATCGTGTCGTACACCTTCACTTCGTTTTGTTATTCGCATTCCAACTGCATTTTCCGAGCACTCTTTTTCCATGTGACGTAGGCGCGCTAACTGCCAGCCTGCTAGCCTGCCTGTCTATTAAACGCCAACAATTGTATTTTTTGTGTTTTTGCCAAGCCGGTTTTCGTTTTTGTTTTGCCGGCATTTGTACACCGTTTAATTGTTTTCAGTCTGTCTGCATGGCTTAATATTCCAATGCGAAATCTAATGAAATTTCGAGTCGTAGGAGTCGAAGATAATCAAGGCGGTGGCTGCCAATGCTTAACAATTTTCCAGCACCCATTAAAGATTATTTAGAAGGGTATATCAAAGAAAAAAACATAACATTCAAAAAAATACTTTGTTATTAATCTAGAGGTGAATCCATTTTGACATGACTTAAGGTGAAAAATGTGTATTTTTCGTTCATTTTATAAATTATTTTATATTTTTTCCCTTTTTCCCCCCTAATCGCCTAAAACCACATGTTTTCCACCCATCAACCCATTGCTAAATTGAAATTTTAAATTCGTAGATCGTCAAACGACACTTAAGCGGAATAGACCCGTTTTGTCCACTTGGCTATTAAATTTTGTTAAAGCTTAAATTGGAAGGAAGCTGCGTTTATTAAACGATTACACAAATTGGAAGGAAGTTTCGTTTACTGATCGATTACTAACAATTAGGCTCCAAATTTAGATTTGAGCTTTGGTTTATCTCATGTCCCATGAGCCTGCTTATATCTGAAAAAATTAACTCTTCTATGTGAAAAGCCTCTCATTGAGTGTTGCATTTCGAGTTGCTTCAAACACTTAGCAGATCGTGTGTGTGCCCAGAGTCATATTTGTTGTTGTTGTTGCTGTTGTTGAGGTGTTCATTGTGTAAGCGGCTGTGACATCAAAACACTTTCGCATTACAAGTGTTTATCTTTCAGTGGCGTCTGTGAGCTGCAAGCAGAGCTACAAACAACATCAGCTAAGCAATTCAATTGTCGCTTTCGGTAACCTTTTGTGTTTTCTGTTTTTGTGGACAACACCACAACGATGGCGACGATGACGAGGAAGAAGACAACGACAGCGACAACGGCAACGACAACGACAACGACGCGTTGAAGGAGTTGCCGATGTTGTCGATAGTGTTTTGTATGTTTTTACAAAAAACAAAAGAGGCGCTCATCAAAGACACTGAAGGCGTCACTTGGCGGTAGCCACTAATTTTGTTTACGGCGCAGACTGCACGCAGATTGCCAAATGGTTTAATGCTATTTGTTAGCTTTACTTGAAGCTTATGGCAGCAATTTCACTTTCCGTTGCACTTCCAATAAAAATATAAAATCGTAGTGTATAGTAAAATTTTTGTGAAATTGCATGTAGGAGTTGCAGACCCTTGACTCGACTTGCCTAGTCCGGCTTTTTGGGTTTCTTCAACGATAAAAATATAACGAACAATTATCGATAATCCAACTCAACTGCTAATGGCTATAACAGCTTCATCTCAAAAGAGAGATATAGCTTTAAAAGTCGACTCTTGTGATAATTTTACTGAACTTCTAATTACTATAGTTATACGCATATCGATCAACATAGAATGTCAGTTATTTGGTAATTTTCAAATGTTGCAGAGTGTGAAAGTTTAGTCTCTATGGATTTGACTTGATTTCAATTTGGCATGTCTAGCAGTAGCTTCAAAAACAACACTAATAACAAACAAAAGCAAACACACACACACACACACACTCACACAGACACATACACACTCACACACACATAGACACATTCGCTTATAAGCCAAAGCTGTGCGACAAGTTTGCCGGCAGCAGAGTTAACAACTGCATCGTCAAGTTTGCAAGTGCACTAAAAATGTTGATATTGATGCTGAGTTGAGCTTATCTTGGCAGAGAGTTGAAGCGCGCTCTCTTTGCACCTGTGTGCGTGTCTTTCTGCCTGCCTGCTTGTCTCCGTGTATGTGTGTGTGTGTGTGTGTGTGTGACTCTCTCTCTCTCTCTCTCTGTCGCTGTTTACGCCATAAGGCGCGAATATCTGCACAGAGTTGGAGCACAATTACCAGAGCTTAGTCTGGAATACGTTCAGTTCTCATTTCGATTTCCAGTGGTGCGAACGTGCGCTACGCACGCTGGCTCGTTGGGTCCGCGTATGCGCAACATCTGATTAACAATAATTAATAAATATATTCGTATATCCTAAATATCCTGTGTCTCCTGTCTCGTGTCTCGTGTCGTGTGTGTGAGATGTTGTGCCTGCAGTGCACTCAACTCAATAACATTCGTAACACATTTAAATGTAATCGACAACGTACAACATACAACAATCCTTCGGCCAACAGCGTCAACGAATGTTTAGCCATTTCTGACCATGGCTATTTCCTTTTAGCCAGCTAGTAGCACATTGAGTAGATCATTTGCATTGGTCGATAGCCGCAGCCAAAGTGGTTTCGCATGTTTGGTTATTTAACAAATATGAATAACGAGCGCTTAATTGCAATTATTTTCAGTGGCTCGCAAGCAATTTTTTGTGTTTGCCATGACAATATTAACAAAAGCTTTAATGCTGGGCAGATTGTTATTGATATTTATTGATCTCCACACCGGATGACAGACTATTAAGTCTTTAGATGAACAATTCCGCGTGTACAACTAACTCGCAAAATGATTATAATTATTTTTAGCACGCTTTCAACTTTGTGAATGTGCTAAAAAAAAAAGACTACAACTGTTAAAATATCGTTTTCAAATTAGCTACTAATTAAAGCTCAAGTATTCTTTTTCCTCCTTGTTGCGAGCAGAAGTGAAATGTAAACAAAAACTATTTCCGGTTATTGAAAGCCGTCTGTTAACTAGGATCTAGGATTTGTCCTCTATTTTAACAGGATATATTTGTCCAATGTTCATAAAGCTTTTAAGTAACTTCTCTAAGTGGCACCGTTTTACTGCTGAAAATATTACAAAAAAAAATCATATCTAAAGAAAATTGCAAATTTTCACTGCATTATTTGATAGTAAAAAAGTAGTAAAATATTTGTTATGTGCTTAGCTTATTCAAATACATAAAATAAAAAAAATTAAACACACAGAAATTCCTGCCAAACTTGTAGCCCACTGCCGGAAAGAGCCGGGCAGCCAGCCGGGCACCATTTGCTATATTGCCTGCTGGCTGCCCAGACAGTTTTCTGTTGAAATTTTTGATGCAGTCTGACAAGTCATAAATATGCCAACCAGATGGAGACTTGGTGGAGCTTTGCCCCACGCTATCGCCATCGCCATCGAAGTGGGCGTTGTTGACACGTGTGGCTGCAGCACAAAATGATTATAGAATTCCTGCATTTAAATGCGATTTGGGGCGTGCCCAAAAGGGGGTTGCCCACTAACAGGAAACTAACAACTTTGCCTAACACACATCGGACACATTTCATACGTTCGGTCACAGTCAGGAAATCCATTTGATAAGCTTTCCATTGGGATTCCCGCTACGCTCCACTTAGCAGCTCTAAGGTGTTAAAATTAGCGCAGTTCATAGGTCTCAGTTGCAAGTTCGTATTTTATTTTAATGGTTAAGACCACAAGTATTGCAAGTCGCTCTGGTACCTTTTTACGAGTTCAAATTCCAAGCAGTCCATACATTAATGCACCATGAAAGCTAAAGCTACAAATATTTGATATTATATAACAGACAATATCCTTCAAAGATGAAGTCAAAAGTATTCCCGTGACTTTCACACCTAGCCTTTTGTAAATCACAAAACTAATATCTCCTACAATTATTGTATTATATTTTATTATTGCTTCATAGTCCCTGTTTTTTTTAAATATTTTGTTTCTCAATTTTTGCGGATATTTGATTTAACGATCCTTGAAAGATTACCAATAAAATGCCATCCAAATTGATTGACTCCAGCCTTAAAATTCCAAGCTTAAATTTGTGAATTATATCCTTTCCTTAAGCAATATTTTGAAAATTTAGAGTCTTTGCTGATATTTTTATAAAATGAACTTTACAGCTGGAAATTATTTAATATTTCGGAACAGTATTGGCTAATGTGACTTATCCGGCGTGCAGTTTTCGCAATACTTTTCCATTTTCATTAACAGCAAATTCGATCCGGTGTTTCCCTGACTAATTGTGCACAAGTAAAATTTATATTTAAAATATATTAATAAACTAATTTATATTAATGTTAATTATTAATATAATATATTCTTTACGGCGTAGGAGATGCATTCTTAAATTTTAACTTTTATTATTGGAAAATCCAGATTAATACTGACTGGAAAATGTAGTCCAGCTAGAATTTGATATCTCATCTGATATCTGCCTAGTCATTTCAAAGTAAATTTTGCTAACATTCCTTGGAGAATAATTGGTTCTCTAGAAAGGTTCGTTTTAGATACGAAAGTAATTTTCAAGGATCCCTTCCTAGACTTTTGTATTCCTTTACACACAAAAACGGTTGTCAATCGAAAATAAAAAAAAAACATATAAATAATTTAAAACAATTATATTTCAATTTATTATAATTAAGTGGGTTAGGTATTCAAACCCTGAACTCTTAACAAGTTTTAGGCACTCCCTACTCGATCACTCGCGACTGAGTACTATAGCTTTAAAGATATATACGCTCAGCTGTAAAAACGTTCGACTTTTCGTTGTTGTTTCTTTGGGGCTTTGCATTTTTGTGCACAGGTGTTCGCTTTTGTTTGTGCCTTGTTTTAGTTTGGCACGTGCGATTCCCATTCAATAGCTATATACTCCATATTATCTTGCCCAGCTGTCAACTGAAGCAGTCTGTTGAATACGCAACATTGATCCATTTCCACTTAATCGTTTTAAGGTCGATAAACTCAGCCCTCATATATAGGCAGATATTTTGGGTGCTATTGATAGTAAGCTCATTGTTACTTATTATGTTAAACGATATTCATGTAGAACTGCTATAAATATTAGCAAAATGCTGCCTCAATCGATTGTGAAGTTCATAAGTTGTGAGTTAAAGAGGCTGAGAAGAAATTTAACCATGTTTTTAATCTTCTTGTGGATTCTATGGTGTTCACAAATCATAGTCATATCGACTGTGTTCATGAGGTGAGATTGTCTTTATTTAATATTTAGCCACATACATGTATATCTTTATATTATATTTATAATACAAATATTTATGATTTGTGTTCGATTGCAGCCTGCCCAAGATCATTCCGGAGTTGCCGGCCGTAACAGTAACGACCGAATTGCCGGTGGAGGTTGAGCAGGTCAAGGATCGCTTGGAAGCGGTCATATTGCCGAATGCGCCGCCTGCGCACGATTCAAGCAACCAAAGCGAGAGTCAACAGGCGAGTGAAGTACTCGAGGGTGCCGAGAAAGTAGTTCAAAATGGTGAGTAAAGTTTAAATAAAAGCCGATCCACAATAAAGTTAATCATCTTATTCAATTAGCTGAGCAAAAGTTGAACGATCCGGGCGGAGGGTTAGAGCTGGGCACCGGCGAACTGAATGCCACCTCGGATGCGAATGCGACTGGTGACAGTGGTGGACCGATCGCGTCAAGTGCGGCCAGCAATGCCAGTGTCGAGGAGGTGCCGATGCCCGTCTTCTCGGAGTGGGCGCAAAAGCAAATGGAGGCCGAGGCCAGTCGGGAGCAGGCCATGGAGCTGGAGCAGCAGGTGGTCAACAATTCAGCCCAGCGTCGCAATGCAACCGGATCGGGCAGTGGAAAGGCGCCATCGTTAAAGACGCGTGCCAAGAATTATGCATCGCCCGACTGCGGTGCCAAGATAATTGCCTCGAACGGCGATGCCACGAATACGGGCGCAGTTCTCAGCCACTCTAGCGATGAATATATGCTGAGCACCTGCGGCAGTCGCATCTGGTTTGTGGTCGAGCTGTGCGAGGCAGTCCAGGCCCAAAAAGTCGAGTTGGCCAACTTTGAGCTTTTCAGTTCGTCGCCGAAAAATTTTACGGTTGCCGTTTCGAAACGTTTTCCCACTCGAGACTGGAGCAATGTGGGTCGCTTTGCCGCAGAGGATAAGCGAACGGTGCAGACGTTCGAGCTGCATCCGCATCTATTTGGCAAGTTCGTGCGAGTCGATATTCATTCGCACTACTCCAAGGAGCACTTTTGCCCCATTTCCCTGTTTCGCGTCTTTGGCACATCGGAGTTTGAGGCATTTGAAACAGAGATTCGACACAGCGACGAACTGGATGATTTTGACGATGACTTTGCCGGACAGGAGCAGCCGCACAAGCAACTGCAAGGCAATGCCAACATTTTTCAAAGTGCCTCCGATGCCGTCATTCAGATGGTGAAAAAAGCCGCCCAGGTTCTGGTGAAGCCAACGAAAGCCTTACGTTCGCCAGAGTCGCTGCACTGTTTCACACCCACAGCTGGCAATTACAGCTGCCAAAGCTGCAACTCTACCGTTGTGGAGCGCATTAATAATCTGCTCTCCTGTCAGTCGGAGCAGTTGCAGCAGCTGCTCCAGCTGCCACAGCTGCGGGCACAGCTCCTACGTACACGTATCTGCCACATAGAATATAAAATCAGCTTCGGCTCGGCAAGCATCAAAGAGCAGCAGGCAACGTGCAGTGGTATGGATAAGCGCCAGAGCTTCTACCTGAGCATTCTGCCGACGGAGCATGTGGGCGCCATGTGCATGCTTCTGCAGGCCGAGTACAACAGCATAACGGCAGAGCAGCCGGTGAAGTTGCCTCAGGCGGCGACCAAGCAACAGCAGCAGCAGCTGCATTTTAATGTGGCCGAGCAACTGAATGAGAATGTGACCACAGCTGATCCGGCCAAGGAATCGGAAGCTGTAAAAACTACTACGCCGAAAGAGCCTTTGCCAGCAGCTGACACGCTCAGCCCGGAAATTGTAACCGCCGAAACATCTGAAGCGCCCAAGACAACAACCACAACTGAAGTCAATTTTGAACCAGTAGCCACAATCGAGGCACCACCATCGGATGTGAATATATTTAATGTACCCACGGACACTGAGAAAGAAGTGCCCACAACAACTACAGGCTCAGCGGCGTCCATTGTGCGAGACGAGGCGGGGACCCCAACGCCAGCAGGAACACCCATGGATGTCAAAGAGATGGAGTTGGCCATAAATCCTGATAGTCCAGTGACGACCAGTGAGCAATCACCAACATCAGCTACCACAGTCGAGTCAGACGGTGGCGATTTGGTGGGGAGTGGAAGTGGATTGGATGACAGCAATCTTGCCAACTGGGAGAGCATTGATAGTCTGCTAACCACAACGGTGGCATCGATAACTGCTGGTGGTGGCGCCGCTGCAGCTGCTGCGGCTGTGGTCAATGGCAATGCCCACATCGGAAGCACAGGCACTGCAGCAGGAGCAGCAGGCGGTGTAGTGTCAGCTGGTGGTGCAGGTGGCATCAATTTGCAGCCAAAACTAACAAACGGAGCCCAATCTGAGAGCGTCTTCATAAGGCTATCAAATCGCATTAAGGTGAGTATCGATTAACCAAAAACACTTTGTACACTCAACTATAATTCCATATTATTCTTGGCCTGACTAAAAGCACTAATAATGAGAAGGCATTACTCGATTATGCCCGACTGAAAGATACCTCATATTGTGGTCAAAGTATTCTGTCTTCAAATATTTAATATTTGTACATTGGACCTAAATCCAATGCTTTAACATCTTTGCAAAAATGCACTTTATCAAAAATCAAAGTGCGGAACAATTTGTACGCAACTGTTTTGATTTTATCAGACTAACCTTAAACACTTTTTCAAGTAAGGACTTTGCATGCGGATGTAACCGACTTTCTAATACTCTACTCCCAGCAATGAGTTTTACAAGTAATCTAAGTATGAGATATATAGTATTCATTTATTACATTTTATGCGAAAAGAACAATGATTTCAATTTAATTTAGTTTAATATTAGAACTGTTTCTTTGAAAAGTTTGCTTATCAAGGGTAATTTAGAATTATAAAAAAAATGAGCTCACTGCAAAGGATATCAGTAAGGACATACAAAGTTCGCATTGTGTCCTGCTCACTTCTACATCGTGTTTGTGGCGGGAAACCTTGCGTGTTTCATACTTATTAAGGGTAGCTTGGCTGGGCTTGGCGCACCTACGCTATCGCTGGAATAATTTTTGATTTGAGCTTCTTCGTTTTTTGCAAGGGTGGCCTTGTCATCGCCATTGTTAGGGGCAACATCAGTGTGGCGGCCTAGTAGCCAAGCAGCCAAGCCAATCGTTATTTAATGTTTTTCACTGTTCTCTTCTGTTTACAGGCACTCGAACGCAATATGTCGCTGTCTGGCCAGTATCTGGAGGAGCTGTCGCGCCGCTACAAGAAGCAGGTGGAGGAGTTGCAGCAGACGCTTACACAACAGACGCTAACCGTGCGTACGCTCGAGGAGCAGAGTCGTCGTTACATTGAGCAGGAGCAAATGTATCAGCAGCAGAGCGCCGAGCTGGCTGGCGATGTCCGAGCGCTCACGTACCAGGTGCAGGCCTGCATCTTTGTCATCATCATTGTGGGCACCTGCATCTTTCTGATGCTTGTCGTCGGCACTGTCTACTATCGCAAGTTGCGCCACCAGAACCAGCAACTTCAGCCGCTGGTGGCAACAGCGACAACGGACTTAGCCAATCAAAAGTTGAGTCGTCGCAAATCGTACGAGCAGATGTTGCAACAGTCACCCGGCAAGCAGCGGCGTCCCAGTGAGGAGGCCATGCTCATACTGAATGGGTGCGGAGATGTGTCCGTGGTGGACCCATCTGAGGTTGCCAATAGCAATAGCAGACAGCGTAAGATATCCGTTTGCTATGGCAGTAACAACAACATTGCTGGCAACGTGTTCAACACCAGAACATCGCTGCACAAACGGAAGGGTGCAAAGCACACATTTCACGCAAGCCTGGATTCGGCACAGGTTGTGTACTCTGAACATCCGGACAAGTTCTTCGATGTGGGTAAGTATTGAGTGTGGCAATAGCAATAACAATAGCATTAACAATGTCAACGTTTTTTTTTTGCAGATACGTTGAAAAATAACAATAAGTTGCCACACAAGGCGGCCAAAAAGAAGTCCCAGCAGCTGTACCAACAGGAGCTAAAGCGTCAGGATTCGGCGCCCGCCAATTGCACACAGAGTAGCCTCGCGGAGGAGGAACCAACGCAAAGCGATTTCGATGAAAGTCTCATTCTGGATGACGAAGATCTGTGCAATTTCATACCCAACAGCGATTTGGCCTACAACGAATTTATGCCGGATGGCCCTTCCGGCTATCAGATTGTGGACACTGTTGACGGCAAATCGGAGAAGTCTACGAAGAAATCGCGACGCGTTTCTTCGCCCGCGTTCTTCAAGTCGCCGTTTAGCAAGAGCAAGAACAAAGGCAGCAATTTGAATGGCATGGGCGGCGTTAAGGGCAGCCAATCGGCGCATGAGGCCACATCCTGGGAGTGGTATCGTCTCAAGCGCAACGAGAAGCACGCCAAACAGTTGTCAGTTCCGAGCGTATCGCTGACACCCAATGCCAGTCTGGACAGCTCATCCCTGTCGGAGATAAATTTTCCGTTTAATTCGACGCAAAACTCATTTCGCATACTTGGCGAGGCCATAATGTCCTCGGGCGAGACAAAGGCCACGGGCAAGACAGAAGGCAGCAGTAGTAGTAGTGGCGCCAGCACCACCTCATCCACAACGAAGAAGAAGCAGCGGGCTTTCAATAACATTTTTCGAAAGGTCTTCTGATGAGAATTCGTTTCGCTTGTAGGGTGTTTTAATCATATATTTTACTAATTTCCTGAGTAGTTTTCTTCTCAATTGTGTTCTGCAACATCAATTAGACTGTTATTTTCGTAGATAATAAACAACAAAAAAATTGTAAATGAAACACACACGTTTTCTAAACAAAAAGATTATCGAGCAAAAAGATTAATTTCGTTTCTCTCAAGAGTTCCTTAGTGTTGCAGTAATATGCAAATGACTGTAAAACAAATTAATTATACCTTCATGATTTTTAGATGTAATTCATATGCTCGCTGCTTATACATGTATATATGAATATGTATTCAACGCATCAAATAATGAATGCGATTATTTCACGATAGGCATATAAGTTAACTTAATATTCCAAGCCTTGTAAGTTATGCAGATATCGGCTGCAAAACTTTGCCACATTATTTTGTTATTAGCAATTTAGCAAACATATTAAATTAGTAATTAATTTAACTTTTATTTAAGATAAAAGCAAATAACATTTATTTAAAAGCAAATTTACAAACTGATTTATATTTTCAATTCGCTCAAAAAATCCGCAACATCAACCGAATCCTTGTTGGCCAATTTCTGATCCCTGACAGCACTGTTCATGCAACGTCCAGCCGTGCCCAACTGTTTCTTCCATTGTTCCACTGTTTTGTACTCAGCATTGGTACAGTAGACAACCTCATTTATGTCCTCGTCCAATTTATAGCTACACACCGATGAAAACACTTGTTGCAAATTGTTTATAGCCTCCGCACGCAAAGTTTCATCACGACACACCAGATTTAACATGAACAGACCCTTGGGTCCAATGATCTCCTTGATGTGCAGCAATATGTTATTGGCCAGAAAACTGCGGGGTGGACAGCTCATGCCGAGCGTAAGATCTTTGCTGTCAACATCGAAAAGCACAGCGCCAAACTGTATATCTACAAATTTAAAAGCAGCATAAGAGTAAATTCAATCGGCCGACAATTACTCAGTCATCCACCTTCATTGCGGCAACGCTCGACAAAAGCGAGGCCATCGTCGATAACAACATGCAAGCGATCGTCCTGTTTCAGGTCAAAATATTGTTCAGCAACTTCCAGCATTATGGGATCTATTTCTACGGCCGTTACTCGAGCCTGACTGTAAGGAAAACAATGTCTGAGATGGGGCAATAGATAAAACCGATTTGAAGGCTTACGGAAATGCGGCATGCAGGAAACTACACAGGCCACCGCCACCGAGTCCAATCACCAGCACATCGTTGTACACATCCTTTTTCAGACTCTGCATCGTTGCCGCCAACTGGACGCCCACGGACATGAAGCGATGATGTTGACACGCCAAGTATCCAAAATCAATCTTTTTCCGATCCTTTTTGGCCTTGATTTTAACTGGATTATAGAAATGAAATTATGAAATTATATCAAATATTTAATGAAGTTCGGTTTGTTACCTGTTTTGACCAGCGCCTCCGACTGCACCACAAACTGATTGCTGAGGAATATCAGACGGCGTAGTGTTTTATCAGCGATTTCTACTTCTTCAATACGAAAATCGCCAGATATTTGGGAGCAACCAGAAATCAGCGTCTCTCGCTTGCCCACTTCGGAACCAAGCGATAGATAAGGTATCTTCTCCTTGAGGCCTGCCGGTGCCAGGTTCGTGATACTGTAGCCCAGCTCACTTTTCACCTCGTCCAGTGTGCTATAAACCTGATCGCGATGCAATGTGACAACAGCCAATCGCTGATACTTGGCCGATGCCTGGAGTTTTCTGCGACCCGCCGGGGTCGCAAAGAGCCACTCAATCTCTCTTCCCTGGGGGACAATAAATGCCGCATATTTGCCAAGACCGCGTGCTGCCGGTTGATCCAGAATATGCACTGTGTAGCGAGGTGTTGGCTCTGCGGCCCGATGCAAGTCCATTGTGACCTCATTGTGGCCCACAATGCTGGAGCGAGCCAATCCATTGCAGACCAGCGCCGCTTTCTGCACCGATGCCACAGCATTAACGAGTTCCGTTGCGCAGCTAAAACGTTGCATTTTATCGTTGCCCACTCCAAATTCAAAAATCTGTCAAAATGTATTTTAACGAGTCAAGAGTTATTCCAAAGTATGCGGATGCAGTTACTCACCGGCATGGGCAAGTTCTTGAACTTGGTGGCAATTATGACAAATACAGGCAGTGTTAGGGCATCCTCGCTTCGTTCCTTGTTCGCACGCTCCACATCCAGGCAGTGCACAATGCGCAACATGCAGTTGTGGCGCGGCAGAAATTCCAGCAAATAGTTAATAATGTGCTCCTGCAACATGGATATGCCTACATAGCGACCACCGTTGCTGCAATTAGAAAAGAAAAGGATCAATCAAAAGGATCATCTCATGAGAGATGAGTGGATAAAACTAACCGCATTGTGCGCAATATTTCCGTGAAATATAGTTCGACAGTTGCCTTAGTGTCCTCGTCGTCATTCACAAATATCGCGTCCAGTGTGCCCTTGTCCAAGGCCACTGAGAAACTCTCATCCTGAAAGGACATCGCCGTCGCATCCATCTGAATGAACTTCATATCGGGACGTGTACGCGCGTTGATTTCAATCATTTTCTTGACAGCAACCGATGAGATGTCAATGTTTGTAATATCCCTATATAATTATATAAATATAAATGAATAAAAGTCATCTTCACATAAATAGATGAAGGATTTAAAGCACACCTGAATCCCTTGTCATACATGTCCATGCTGAGCTTTGAATTACCGCAACCAAGCATCAGGATTTTTTCGGCGGGCTTTATATACTTGTGTATCTGATCGCATAGCTCCAAGTATTCGCCATACCTATAAAAATTGATATTATTAAATATAGTCAGGAACAGTTTTAAGCATCTCCGATTTGGTAAACGTGCTCAGCCGGCAATCGGCACATGTAGAATATGTATTTATGTGATTACAAACCATTCGAAAGCCTTTTCGCCGCGTTTCTTGAAGAACTCATTCCAGTAGTCCGCTTGGCCAAACTCTTCCCGCGTTCTTGGCAGCAAATTCATTGTTCACTAATCAGAAAACAAATATTAAGAAGCTTTGTTTTTAATCGCGCCTGATGCTGTTTCAATTTTATTGAAAAATGTACTAAATATTGCCATGAAATTGTGACGTCAGACTGTCAGAGAGCTAAGAAAGCAAAGATATCGCTAGTTTCGATAAGCAAATTATGTGTAAATTGACTTGTCAACTAGCTTTGAGTATCAAATAAAATCAGAAGAGCTTTAAAAATTGCATTTATCATTCAATATTATGGCTTCTAATCTGCCATAGTTTGCGTAATAATACCCCTACTACCCAGGCTGGTATCGATAGCATTGAAAGCGAGCAGTGATACCAGCTTTGAATAATTTCTTTTACCAAATAAATACAAAAGGCGGTTGGAGTAGTTGCTAAAAAAAAGTGCTTCGCCTACTTTTGAGCCTGTTTTATTCGAATTATCTTCAATAAAACAATATCCATTTTATGCAACGTGCATGCTGTCAGCAACAAAAAATATTTCCATCGCGAAAGCACATTTCATCACGACTTGTCAAACTTTTAACTATATCCTTGTTGCACATCACAAGAGTATCTTCTACTATCCTGTTGTTGGCAGAATTGAATCTCCAAGCCAATCAATTTATCTTCATGCTGCAATTAAATATGTGTCCGTAAATACAATTATTAAATTTAAATATATTAAGAACCCGCATTCACATTGCTTGCCTGCTCCTCTGTTTGTTGCGTTTCATAAAGCTTTGCTATTTTGGTCAAGAAGTTATGGAACCGGTCCTGATAATTGGGGTAGTGCGCCTTAAACACAAAGCTCGCCAAGTAGCCGAGATCTTTGCGTGCATATTTTGAGATATTGTCGACTTGTTTTGTGTGTCCCTTCACAAAGCAAATTGAATGGTTCACCTCAATGAGCCTAAAGTCTTCGTCCTCGAGGCAACTGTAAGATGAGATAACGGTCGTACCATCCTCAATTTTATCCTGTAATATTCCCAAAAGATCTTCTTTTGTTTTATTCTCGATGGGTTTAATATAGAGCTTTTTCGCATCTCGCTCAAAGGCAACAAGAACCCATTGACCATCCTTTAATTTCCCTCGATTTATTTTACGCTTGCTGACCATCAACTCATAAATTTCGACAGTTCTTCCCGGTCCTCCCAGCTTGCCGCAATTGAGGTCGGCTGCCCATTCGACGAACACTTCACGCAAATAGTGTCTCCAGTTGATGACGGTGTCCGTGCTACAATTGAATTCCTGCTTGAGGAACTCCGTTATGGGACTGATCTCAATCATTTCGTAATGCATGAAGAGGCATATGTCCCGTATCGACAATTGGGAGCCAGAAAAATAAGTGTTATTCCTTACACTCTGCATGAAGTCACACGCCGCTTTCTTTCGCTTCTTATTTTTTGCAATAATGCGAGTCCTGCGGCAACGATAAACTAAATTGTCCTTCAACTTAACAAGGCGGCAGGGCTTGCTGCAAATTTCGCAAAATTTTTCAGCGCAGATGACACCGTGTCCTATTAGAAAGTCTGTTAATTTGTCATCATCTAATATAATTTCCATAAAATCATGTGCTAATAATTGGCAACCGGTGCATTTTTTTATTTGACTACTCATATTTCGTCGGTTTCTTTATAGTTTCTATACTCATTGGAATTTCTTATTTGTTTACTTTTGAAAATAGTGATGGAAACTCCTCCATTTCACTAACGATAATATCGATGTTTTTGCATTTGAGACTCATTTTATATTGAATTCTATTCAACATTCGTATGTTTATTTTTTTAATAAGTTGCTTTTGAAAATCGGTTAAATTTTAATCAAATTATAGCAGTGGACAATTTTTAACCGTTCCCAATTGCATTTTTTTGGGATACAAAATTCAGATATATTTTCAGAGAAAATCATGCATTTTAAACCATAACAGAAAAATAATTAAAATATTCATCAATATTAACATAAGTAAATTAGTTGGGTGTTGCAATATATTTCCCTTTTCCCTTTTTTTTTCCCTTAATATGCATATATAACAAAAGCCATCTATACTCATTATATTTATAAAAAAAAGCCTGACCGACTAAATAAAGTATTTACACGCAATAAAATATAAATAAATATCTGAGTACATAGTGCGCTTATCGTTTCTGTTGAATGTTATTAACAGGCTTCTGTTAACGAAACCATTCGCATGAACTTTGTGATTTTGGCATTCACTGTGAGTAGCAGCAGCTGAGCACTGATTTCTTTCTAATAAAATTTAACTTGCGTTTAGTTTCTGTTGGTTTTGTGATATTTACGTAATTGATTGCCCTATTCTTGCATACACATGTCATTAGGCACACCCCCAGACTCAAGTGCATGTCCACGACAGTAAGGAAAGTTGAACAGTGAAAGTACTCAGTATCAGTGAAATAATAAAAAAGGGGAGGCGATCCGAAATTATCGCACTGTGCCTCATTTCTCACAACTAAATGCGAAACAATAGCAATTAATTTAGGCACTCACATCGATGTCAATGCCAGTGGCAAATCATAGTAGCAGCGGCACGAAGAGCACTAAACGTTAGTGGAAATGTGGAGTCTGAGTATCTAGAACGGGAGGCAAAAACAGTGAAGTCCCCAAATGCGTGCCGTATCGGGACCAGGAGCGTCTAATGTTGGCGTGGATTCAGTTATATCGCGGCTGGACTATGAGCAGAATGCCCTGCATCATAGCTGCCTGCTGGTGCTGCTACGCGGCGTAGGCCCTTCACGAGCCCGCATTTTACAGCGGGCCTTCGAGAAGGTGCGACGTGTCAATAATATCAAAGTAACGGGTACGACACACTTTCAATTAGTATTCCACTTAAATTAAGTGACTTATGATGATAATTCCATTTTCGTCTAGACTCTAGCGGCAATGTGCGCAACGTTTATTTTCGGTTCATTCACGATCATCCCGTGGAGCACAATGATTGGGGTGATTTTCAAACGCATCGCCGTCTACTGGGCCTCGTCACAATTGGAAAGTTTGACAATCAAACGGAACTCAATGAGCTGTGCCGCCATCACGAATCCCTGAAGGTGCGCTACGGCAGCACACTATACGAGTCGCGTGCCATTTTCTTTGGACCCGATGCCGACAGCAATTCCATCATAAATCACCAGATGAAGGATGGTCTAAGCGTCGTGGACAATAAGCATGCGGTGCTGCAGACAATTGGTGAGCACGGCGTGCGACCAGATACGGGAACTAAGGAATGTCAACCAGGTCGCATCCAGGATGAGTATACCACGCCATCGAATTTCAAGTCGCAGGCATTTTTCTATCGCGAGCAGGACAGCTGCGTTGATCTGGAGGCGCGAATTGGTGATTTTTTGAATGCATTATTTTGGGTGCTGGAGTCACGGCGCCTGGAACGTTCGCGGGAGAAGGCGGAAAAGGTCAGTCTGCTATTGGCGCCCTTCGAGAAACGGGACTTTGTGGGCCTGGACATGGAGTCGCGAAACAATCGGAAACGCTGTGTGGGCCGTGTGATGAAGAATCTGGCGGATCTTTCCTTGCAAGCTGGCCTCTTAGACGAGGCCTTGAGTCTGTACCACAATGCCAATGAGACGCTGCGCTCGGTAGGCGACTCCTTGTGGGTGGGCGCCAGCGAGGAAGGATTGTGTGCAGCGTCGGCTGTTATCCTCTATCCACAAATGCGTGAGATTGAAACCCTGCACAGAAATGCATCGCTGCAGGAAACGGGCAAGTTGCAATTGGAATTGATAAATTCGATTTATATTGTAACTACCGATTTGGGTGATCTTTTAGGCACTTCACCATTGCGAAAAACGCCGGAAAAGTGGCGTGCCAGCGATGCAACAAAGAAAATAAATGTCACCGCTGCAACAACCACAGATGCGCTCACCTCACATTCATCTTCCTGCTCGTCGGTGTCATCCATATTGACGAACAATTCCTCAGCGTCGGGCACGCCCACAACGTCAACATCCTCATCCTCGACATCGACAATATCGGCGGTAGCTCCAATGGGTCATCGCAACGGCGAACTTCCCGGCAACATCCTCAAGCCGGAGGAAATACCCAATTATTATCGCAAGGCGATAATCAATTATAGCAAATACCGACACGCGGCCACAATTGAGACGGAGGCGGCACTGAAGGCAACCCGCATTTGTATTGAACAGAATAGTCCCCTGGATGTGGCGATGTTCCTTCAAAATATTCTCTACATTAATCTCAGCATGAGTGAGCCAGAGCGTGTCAAACAATTTGAAATTATTACGGAACTATATCAGCAGATCGGATATCAGCGCAAGGCAGCATTTTTTCAGCGCTTGGCCGCGCTTAAGCATGTCCACCAGGGCAGTCAGGCGCCAGACTGGACGCAGAGCTATCGCCTATTGTTGGGCAGCTTTACTGGCTATCTGCTATCGCTGGATTCCCTTGAAGTGCTTGAAAATGCCGCTGGTTGGCCGGCCCTGCAAATAGATCTGCTGCAGAGTCTCATAACTGCAGCAAGACGTCTGGGACACTCTGCACTAGCCACCCGCCATATGACGTTTCTGCTCCAAACCCAATGGGGCAATATGACTGCAACGGAGCAAAGTGAAATGGCTGTCCAGTTGCAGGTGTGGCTTTGAAAACTTGTTACATCTATTATTAAGCTTACTCTTATTCATAATGTAATATGAATTCTTTTGATTTCATGTAGAATCTGAGCGCACAATGCGAAGGTTCGCCCGTGCCTCTGGTGCTGGAAAATGGGACTGTGATACCGCCCGCCAATCTCACCGATCTGCCCTACTGCATGAAAGTTGTGGTCAAGGATCTGCCTCCACACTTGCGTCCGCAACGGATCAAGATTGCCAAAGCCGACAGCGGGCCATTTCTGTTTACGCCTATTCATTTTAACTCGGTCGATAGCAGGGACAAGAAGAAGAACAAAAATAAAATAGGTAAGCTAATCACAAAAAGCCTACAAACTAAAAAAAAAAGGACTAATTTGAGTTTTATCCAGCATTTCTGTGGGTGCAAAGCGATCTGTGCGAGGTTTGTGTGACCCTTCGCAATCCTTTGCCGTTTGAGCTGCCCGTGACCGATATGCGTTTACTTACTAATGGTGTCGTCTTTGAATCGCTGCCCCAAACCATTATCTTGCAACCGCATGCGCCCACCCACATCTCGTTGCATGGCACGCCCATTGAGACTGGCCAACTGGATCTGCAGGGCTACAGCACGCATACGTTGGGCGTCAAGTCTAACTGTCGGCTGAAGCACATGCGAGGACGCAACTTGCCTCCAAACTACCTGGTGGAGGTGATACCTGCTCTGCCACGTATCGCCATTAAGACATCGCTGCCACAGACGGCCACTTTTAGCAATATGAGCAGAGCGGACATTGTGGTCACATCTGCCAGCCTAACCTTATACAATGGTGAATCCTCGAGTTGCACCATTACGGTTAGGAATGAGAGCGATACGTTGCCGCTAGAGCACCTTGAAGTGAGCATCAATTCAAATGTGGAGCAGGAGCTACAAAAGAAAATGTTTCGCATTGATGACAAGGCACTGCAGGTATGCTAATTCCATCAATTGTGCCAATTATCCACTAATAAAACAATTATTTATACGTTGCAGGCTCAGCTGCCAGTTGCTCCGTTGAGCACTATTGAATTTATACTACATATTTATGCGGATGCTGATTTTGTATGCCCCCTGCCCCCGGCAGCCGGCTCTGTACATTCAAACTCTGGTGGCGCTTCCAACGAACATGGAGCCTCATCGCTATCACCCTATTCCAACATGTCTGGCCATGCCAGTCTTCCCATGCGTGTCGGTTCACCGGATCATCGTCGCCAGCAGGAGTCGCAGAATTTAAATGTTCGTTCAACCTTATCTGGCGCCCAACAGTCGCTGGCTTCGTTGAATGTTCAACCGGGCGCAGTAGGTGGATTGCCCAATCTACGGCCCGCACAGAGCAGCCAACACATTGAGGCTCAATTGCGTCTCAAATACTCTGGTGGAGAGGCCTTGGTCGCCGGCTATTGCCGACAGTGTGCCGTGTCCTTTAATTTGGAACTGCTTCCTAGTGCCCAGATTACTAGCTGGGATGTACTGCCCGCTGAGATGTACATAAGTAAACAGAGTTTTCAATCATTCTTAATACTAACTTTCAACTACCTCGCAGCGCTTCCCAGTTCTACCTAGTTTTGGACATATCTAATTTAACCGCTCAAGAAATGTCGCTCAATTACACTGATAACAAGAATATACTCATTGAGGCCAAAGAAAGCTGCCGCGTACCCATTCCAGTGGATCGCTGCTCCTTGGAGCAGGTTTGCATAGCACGCGCAGCGGAAGTAGCTGAGAATTTGGAGCGCGGTAATCTTTAATCTTTATTATTGGCGTATCATTGGTAAAGCTTTTCTTAAATTTACAGAACTGTGTTTTCGCACGCAACTTCTATCCTTCAGCGATGCCCTTAGCAAACTTTGCTCAACTCACATTGCGGAGCGAGTGAAGATTAATTGGCTGTTGACGGGCACAGACATTAAAGGTGTTGCCTCATTGCGCGGCATTGTCCTATCGCACGAAATGGTTGATTTGACAACCGTATCTCCTATTCAGTGGTGTAAGTATTTATTAGAAATTCATATAAATCTAACTAATTGTGTGTTTGTTTGCTGTTTAGATATAAGCTTCCAGGATGCGCCTGTGCAGCCACACAGCGAGATGACGTGCACCGTTGGCCAGAGAGCACAGCTAAGCATCAGTCTCACCAATCAATCATTGCAGCCGCTCAAGAATTTGGTACTGACGATCAAATTTTATCAAGACTACTTAAATGGAATGGAGAACTACAATCTTGAGACACGTGTTGCAATTTCTGGACCTAACCGGTACGCACATTATAGCTTCAAATTATAATAATCACAAAATAATGTAATATTTTATCTGTATTTAGAATTACAATCCCTGTTTTGGAGAAGTCGGCGCAATCGCAGCACAATTGCTCTGTGATATTCTTTACGCCTGGTCGCTTCAAGGCCAGCATTGAGTGCGCCACTAGGCCGCAGCAGCAGGGCAGCGGCATTTTGACCCGTTCCTGTCCAGAAGCTACCAAATTAAGTCAATTAGAAACTTTATCATCTCCATCAGCCAATTTAAACACACTTTCGGCGTCTAGCCTGGACGAGCAGCAGCCGCATGTATGGAAATTCATACCGCCTATTGAGGTGACTGTTATGGAGCCGTAATTGAGTATATCCATATTTGTAGTTAAATTTCGTTATATCTGTACTTGTATTTGTTTCGTTCTGTATTATGTATCCCGAGTACTGAGTGTGTACCCGATCAGGTTTGGTCTATGCGATAGCGCTGTTAATCTGTGTATACAAAAATATATACCTACAATATATATATATACATATATATATATATATAGCTTAGCCTTGTTGTAACATGAAAAGCAATTGTTTATAAATGAATAAGCATTACATGTATATATATTTAAGCTCAAACTACTCACTTTGCTTCATAGCGAAAAAGGCCATAATATATGTATGTAAATCGCATGCTCTATATAATCAACATATATGACATGAAAGTGAAATATATATATATATAAATAGCTAGCAAATGTTTCGCTCACTAAACTCTCAAAAACAATGCAACATTTGATAACGTGTATGTATTTACAATATTTTTATACAATAAACAAATGCAGAGTTCTCACGGCAGTTTTTCATGTTCGTACATAAGAAATACAATTGATGAAAATGAAAATTCAATAAAATGTTAAATATTTAATTATCCCAAACGACGTATGTCGTCCATTGTGTAGCCCTGGCGACGCATCAGAATACATGACAGAATGTAGAAGTAATATCCGCCTGGTATTATCGTCAGTACACCAATTATTATCAGCGCCCATATGCGATCGGAGCGATTTTGATTCGCGTCCGCCAACCAATCCAAGGCTGCACAGCAAATACAAGTCTAGACCACAATTGTGCAAAGTTGATAATCTGAGTTTACTGAAATAGTATAGCATACATACGGTTCCACCGATGAACAGTGTGATTATAATTGCAATTGTCTTCCACGGCGTTGACTCATCCACATTTGGCGCAGTCCATTGTTCATTTACGAAGCCGTCTGGTTCCGTGGTGTCGGCAGCAGCCTTGGTATTTTCAACATTTAAGTAAGCGGTGGCATTAAGGCGACGTCGGGAATCCGTTTTGGTGGGAAACATATTTGGCCACTTGTGTTTAGCTTATTCAGTTCAAGCACATCACGGTCGATTGAGTTAATGCTTATTTGTTATTATATTTGGCTTCTGTTATTCACATTGTTACATTCTGATTACTGGCAGTGAGAGGAACATCTGGCAATCAGCTGACCAGTAATAGAGTTGCATGTTCACAGCTGACAGTTCAAAAAAATGGCGCCAACATTTTCCGACACTATCCAAAATTTACAGATATGTATTTTTTTTCATGCGCCAATTTTTTCATAGCTTGCTATTAATTTCAAAAAAGGGAATTCCAAGCCCATAAAGTACAGTTAACCTTTTTTAAATGTCCATTATGTTATCAATAACAGTTAAACTAAATCTATTAATCCCAGAAAATCCAAGTTTTTTATAATTTTGGTGCAGTTTTGAAACGCAAAAGTATAGTTATCACCATATTTTTTTATCTTTTTATAATCAAGAATTGTCTTTCAATTTCATTTCACAAAAATTTATCACGATGGCCATTTGGGTAAATTAACCTCAAATTAATGGCATTGATTGTCGCTCCCTCTAAGGAAAATGGATCTGTAAAATAATTAAATAGTGTTGAGTAATACGAATATTAAATATTGGTTATCAATAACCAATAAAATAATCAGTAAAGTGATAAATCGATCATGGATTTCAGAAGTCCCTATCTAAGATATCATCATTTTGGTGACGTTAAGTCATCGTAATGTGTTAATTTACAACTATGAACTTTTTACTTCATCATCTCGTGTCCCAGATATTTCAGGTGCTCCAATGGACATCCATTTCTCCTCAGCTTTTTCTTGCTATTTGGATATTACTTCCAAATGGAAGTGCGTTGTCTGAAATAAATAAAATATGCGGTTACTAACAATTGTAGCGAATTGAGATTGAAATATCAATTATTTTTTAAATCAGTGCTTATTATAAATATGATAAATCAATCACATAATTCAGTTGTCCCTATCAGTAAGTATCATCACAAGAAAAATGTTTAATTAATTATATACAATATATACTTACAATTCTCTGTAGATGAAGTTGTGCCACATGGCTATAACCAACCAATCTTTGATAGATTCATAATCCAAGCGCACTTTAACTTCACCAACATTTCCTCGTCAGTTCCAACATCGATCTGAATGACTTCCACGTGGTGTTGACAGGCACTAATAACACTGGTAAATGTTGTGTATTTTAAAATACTGTGTTGAGTAGCATTTTCCAATACTACTTCAGTAATTTTTAGTTGCAGACTTTGTTATGAAAACAAACAACACTGTTCGTTTTGTTGCTATTGACTAAGATTTTTGTTTTTATTATATAAATAGAAATTGCTAATTGGACACTGCTTGTTGATTGTTGATATAACTCGATTTAAACCACTGGCAGCTAATTAATGCTCTCAATTTTTAACTGGCTTACAATTTAAATTGCTTTCAGATACATACAGTCTGTGTATGGTCAACATTTGGAAGTAACGTGTCTGCCTTCATCGACCCGCCTCGCCTCGCATTGATTAACTTTGATTATAACAAAACATTCGTACACACATACATAATATATATATATATATCCTATAACTATTTTTCACACAACAGATCCATTTGTTTATTGCTCTTCATGCTCCTGTTCCTGCTCCTGCTCTTGTTCCTGTTGCTGCTGTTGTAGTTTCAAGCGCTTCTTGGCCTGTATGTCTGCCAGAGTCTGCTCGATGGATCGCATATCCTTCTTGTTCTTACTGGGCACAAAGCCGTAGCTCTGATTTGTTTCCGTTTTACGCGCCGCTTGCAGAGCCGCCGATTCGCCGATGAGGTGAGCATATTTTGCTTTGTAATTGCTGGTCGGTTTCACCTCAGCGGCATGGGCTGGATCTGTGCTGCTACATGAGGCGCTACAGTCCGACTCGGTGGCTGTGGTGGATTGCGATTGCTCCTGGGCAAGGCGCTCTTGCCGGCGTTCGGAGTACTCTTTGGCTATGTCCTTGCTCCAGCCGTCGCCGTTGCGGCGTGCTGTAATCTCGTCCTCACTGGGTGGGTGCTCCTTTTTGTAGACGACCGTGTGGCGGTCCTCGTCCTCGCGGCCAAAGCTCATCGCTATGAAGCCGCCATTCTCCGCTATCTCATGAATGACGGAGCGATGCACCTTGTCAAGCGGCTGGAACTCGATGCATGTGCGATCGTCCTTGGCAAAGCGACCCATCCTCTCCTCAACATACTTGCGGAAGCGCAGCAGCTCTTCCTTCTGCTTGTTCTGCATGCGCTCCATCATCTCCCGCTGCTTTTTGATCAGCGTCTTCTGCTGTTCGTTTGTCGCTGGCGGCGCATCCATTGAGTTTAATATGGAGTTTAGCAAATCCATTTTGATTTGCGCCGATTGCGCACAGACGCACTACTCTCGTATATCTTATCGTATTTAACGCGCACTTTCCTCTATGGCTGGGTGCTAATTTGGTAAATTATCGCAAACATTTGGATTATTTATATAGAATTATAATGTGTATTGTATAAAAAAAGATTATTACCGGTGCTTGTGCACCAAAATACCAAAATACTCAATTTTAAATACCAAATGCCACTTGGTATTCTTTCAAAGCTGCACATGAGTTGGCAGCCCCATCAAAGAGCAGGCGGAATTTGCTTTTGAAAATCAACAAGAAAGTGGTAAGAGGAAATAATTTGGAGTTGGGAGATGACTGCACAACGTCGCACCCTGGTGCACTGGTTTCGCAAGGGGCTCCGCGTCCACGACAATCCTGCGCTGTTCCAAATTTTCGAAGTAGCCCGCGCCGCACCAGAGAAGTTCTATGTGCGACCCATCTTTATCCTGGATCCTGGCATCTTGGATTGGATGCAGGTGGGCGCAAACCGTTGGCGCTTTCTTCAGCAATCGCTCTCTGACCTGGACCAGCAACTCAGGGCGCTCAATACTAGGCTGTTTGTCGTACGCGGCAAGCCCGTTGATATTTTCCCCGGGCTCTTCGAGCGTTGGCAAGTGCAGCTCTTAACTTACGAGACGGATATTGAACCCTATGCAGTATTGCGTGATGCAGCTGTACAGCAATTGGCGGCTTCTCAGGGTGTAAAAGTGGATACCCATTGTTCACATACAATCTATAATCCCGAATTGGTCATAGTCAGGAATCTGGGCAAACCTCCGATTACTTATCAAAAATTCTTGGGCATTGTGGAGAAATTGAAGTTGCCAAAAGTGCTGAATAAGCCGAAGAAGCTGCCTGATGGCATGCAACCGTTGGCAGACTCGGATATTTACGACTATCCCACATTGGAGCAGTTAGTCAAGCGACCCGAGGATTTAGGCATCAATAAATTTCCAGGTGGTAAGTGAGAAGGATTCACTTTCACCTTGTTGCAGCATATGAATCAGTATTTAACAGGTGAATCGGAGGCACTTCGTCGCATGGAGGCATCTCTAGCTGACGAGCAGTGGGTAGCCAAATTTGAGAAGCCAAAAACGGCGCCCAATTCACTGGAGCCCAGTACAACGGTGCTCAGTCCGTATTTAAAATTTGGTTGCCTAAGCGCACGGTTATTCCATGAGCGGCTCCAAGAGATTCTGGCACGGCAGCCGAAGCACTCAAAGCCACCAGTTTCCCTCGTGGGTCAGTTGCTGTGGCGGGAGTTTTATTACACAGTTGCCGCAGCTGAGCCAAATTTCGATCGGATGCTGGGCAATGCATACTGCTTGCAAATACCGTGGCAGGAACAGCCGGAGCATCTGGAGGCTTGGGCGCACGGACGTACTGGATATCCGTTTATCGATGCGATTATGCGACAATTGCGCCAAGAGGGCTGGATCCATCATTTGGCGCGACATGCGGTTGCCTGTTTCCTGACACGCGGCGATCTCTGGATCAGCTGGGAGGAGGGTCAGCGTGTGTTCGAGCAGCTGCTCCTGGATCAGGACTGGGCCCTAAACGCTGGCAACTGGATGTGGCTGTCGGCCTCAGCGTTCTTTCATCAGTACTTTCGGGTCTATAGCCCCGTTGCGTTCGGCAAGAAAACCGATCCCAAAGGTGACTACATAAAGAAATATGTACCCGAATTGGCCAAATATCCAGCCAAATGCATCTATGAGCCCTGGAAGGCAACACTTGGTGAACAGAGAGATTATGGCTGTGTGCTGGGCAGCGATTATCCGCACCGCATTGTTAACCATGACGTCGTCCACAAGGAGAACATTAAACGCATGAGCGACGCCTACAAAGTGAATCGAGAAGTGCGAACGGGCAAACAGGAAGAAGGGCACGAGGAGGAAGAGGAATATGAAGAGCACCCAACTGGAAAGCGCAAAGCTAGCTCAAAAGTCACAGGCTCAAAACTCAAACACAAACTCTTAAAATGAGAGATGTAAGTAAATATTCTGTAAGCCCACCAAAATATGAAATTATTTAATTGAAATATGACCCGCTGCAGTCATAAAAATATATGTTATATATAATAAAGAGCAGTTTGTTTAGCTTTGCATATTTTCTTATATTTGTGAGGTATTTAAGTAAGTAAAGTGTAGATGAAAGTGCTGCTTCGGTGCTTCGGTGCTGCAATCGGTGTATTCTGAGGTATTTTAAAATGCCCTCGAACTTACCAGTTTTAAAGCTGAAGACGAGTCATTTAGAGCGAGATAGGAACTAACTTAGAAATGTTGCTAAAATTCTGCATCGTTTGGATTATTAATTAATAATACTATTATTCACTGCAGTGCTTTGTAACATAACATTTAATTCGTTTCAGACTATCACATGAAAGGCATGTCCAATGGAGAACCTGTCTGACAAAGGATTCCTTTTTAAAGCAAATCCATGGCTACAAGTGAGGATTAAGTAAGTGCAGTTAAATCATTAATAGTCACCTGAAATCCATGACTGATTTATCAAATTGATATTGCTGATTATAATTAAGTTATTTTTAGTGACCAGTTCATATTATTCATGCAACTTAAAACTATTTATTCTTTTTACAGATTCATTTCGATGACAAGTGACTAACTTCAGGGACATCAACTTGAATGTTAAGTTTCCAAATTGGCATCCTGATCAATTTCGAATGGATTTCTGATGAACAAGGGGGCCCAAATAGCCTTTATATTTGTGAATAGGCGCAGAAGACAAAAATTTGAATTTATATGCTTAAATACATGTTGAATAAAAATAAAATGTTTAAACATAATAGAAAATTTGTGTTTTTTTTTGCCCAAAACTATTGATTTTACATCAAATCGAAGTTGAGAATCCTTCCCAAGCAATCATCCCAGAATGGACCTGATTATGTCCTCAATAAATCTGCAATGATGTGGACAATTAAGAATTATTCTTCTTGAAAGTAATTGTCCCAGACTGTTGATTTTACAACTTTTGATTTTCCGAGACTAATTTGGTTTTTGGATTTTTTATTTATCCTAAAAGTATGCTTTATAATTTTTGATTGCCCCTAACAGACTTTTAATTTATGCTGAATTTTTGTTCACATTAAGAAATAAGATTGTCTTTGATTTTCCTTTTAATAAAAACCAATTTTATTTCATTTCTTTCCATTTATTAAATTACGTCAACTTAGTAAGTACGGTTTAAATTATAATACATAACTTGTCCTAATGAAATATTTTTTGGTTTAGAAATTCAAGCAGTCGATGAAATTGACTTCACTGTCTTTCGGGAGTTAGTTGATTTAAATAATATTCTCATACCACACATTGGTTTCGGCATATTATGAGCTCGAATTTTGAAAAAAAAAATTGTAATCAAATATATTTCCTTGGGATTCTTGTGATTTTGCAGACAGAAGAAAATATTTAAAATGTTCCGGAGCTTAGCCAGGCTGCGCAATAATATTCAAATGCCCCGTAATAATGGTTCGGGTTACACTTCGAAAGCCAATTTTGTAACCTGTCTGAGGCTGCTGTCTAGGCTAACAGATGCGGAGAATAGCGATATTTCGGTCAGCGACATTAACATATATGATCTGGCCAAAGAAGATCAAGAGTTTTCGCGCAACTTTCTGACAACAATGCCATCGCTCGAGCAAAGTGTGTTGTCGTCCATAACACCCGCTGGCGATGTGAACGCAACAGTTGGGCCTGAAACTGGTGAGGCAGCCACAGAGCCAGAGAGTTCAGTATCCAGTGAGGCAAATATAGACGGATCAGCTACTTCACAAGTGCTCGACAGAGATGGCAACCCAGTTGTGCCGATTGAAATCGATGGCTGGAAGGACATTGATGAGGATGAGTTGGGCCCAGCTCTGCACACAAATTCGCAACACATCGAAATAGGCAATGACAATGAGTACAAACGCGAGAAGGCGCTTGAGGTGCCCGAGAAGCGAGAGGGAAGCTTCGAGTACAAGGGCATCAAAATTAAGCTACCGGAAAAGGCCAGCAAGGACATTGGCACCTATCGCTTCCGTCGAGACATTGAGGATCTGAAAACGGTTGCCGATGATATGCGTGTGGTCAAATTTGATATAAAGTAATGCGTGTTTTAGTATATTAAATTTAACAATGTTATACTTTAAAATACATTTGCCAAGCAACAAAATAGCACTCTATTGAACTGGGTTAACCAAAGGCCGAAAATTGCGAACGCAGAATCGAGGCAAATATGCTCTCGAAACACAAACAAGAAACCAAATTCGGGCTAATTACGTCTATTTCCAATGTCGATTTGAGAGTGTGTATGCGTTCGGGCCAAAAAACAACAAACTGTTACCAAATAATTTGCTAAATTAAGCAATTTCAATTCAACAAACGAGCGCAAATAAGCAAATCTGAAGATAATTCCGAATCCAAATCGGAAGCCTTATTGCTATTGTGTGAGCGTTTTTATATGTGCTCAGCAAAATACACAAATTACCCTCTTTATGCCGTACACACATGCACTAAGCTATGTTTGTGTGTGTGTAGATGAACTGTGCCAATTGGTTGTTAAGTATGTTGACCATAATGACCGCTGTGTGTGTGGGAAGGGAGATTGAGAGAGAGATTAAAAAAGATTTTCGTCCTGACAAGTATTTATTCTCTAGTCATCAAGCTGTAAAGGTTTTAAAGCTAATCAAGCAGCTCCACTTAAATAACTTGAAGAATAAAAATTGCTACTTGAAAATAAATCAGAAAATATAGCTTCTAATTCAGTAAAGTTGTCACTTTAAGTGTCAAGACAACAGATTTCAATTTAAAGCCAATCAGTTTGCTCTACTATTGAACAAAGCAGTTGCGTAATACTTTCAATAAATATTTGATTGTCGCAAACAATTCGACTCAAGTGGATACATTGATAAATATATATACTATATATGCACAGTATTAGACATACATTGTATGGGGACAGAGACAACTCTTTTGTCTCATCGTGTTTGATTGCCAGCTTTAAGTTATTTGAATTTGTACATAATATGCATGAACAAAAGGAAATTGAGCGCAAATAATGTGTATTGAAAATGAAATGGGTATATTTGCCCATTCCTGTGTTAAGCAAACAATTATCCAGATAAACGTGATTGATTATTGTGCCTAAGTGCAGACATCGCCAGCTAGCAAAAGTGTTTTTGCAATAGTTTTTATTCAGGAAAACGAAATGTTCCTTTCGTCGACACTCAGTCAACTCGTTTTCAATCAATGCAATAATTAGATGTCCTTCCTTCGAGTTACATGGGGCGTGAGCAATTTCAATCAACAATCCCATCCACAGCAACCAGCTCTTCCTACTCGTCCGCCTCCTCCTCCATATCCACGTTCACGTCGTGCTCCTTGCACAGTTTGCTACCAAATAAAAATACTATTACGTTTTGGCAGTAGGAAATCTACTTAACCAAATTGATGACAATGCGATAAGTCAGCCAGCGAGTTAAGCCGCTTAAATGTTTATAAACTGACATCCTCGAGCCAATAACAAAAAGCACATTTAAAACGTCTACTTTGCCATACTCTGATGTTCGCCGGACTATTTCCTTAAAGAACCGATGAATACGGAAAAGTTCTTTGTAAGATTTAGAAAATCGAGCTACAAATTAAATCGCCCGAAACCAAGAACCATTTTAATAATGGCAACTATTTCAAAAATGTAGAAATGCTGACTATTATTCTTAGAAAAAATCCTATCTGAAATTCGGAATATAGTAATGAAATTTGCTCTCCGCACTGGTATTTTAGAGTTTATCTTTTGTCTGTAAAATCGAACGTGTTTTCAAATCAAATTATATGTAAATGTGAAATTATCTGAAATTAAGTATATTATTTCTACATTTTAGAAAAATTCACCTTGGAATTAAGACAAAAACTATGATTTTTATATTATTATTTATGTTATTATTATTTATACATTATTTATACATATTCAATATATATATACATATATTTATTTATATATGTATTTACCAAACCAATAGGTGCAATAACCCTTAAATAATTGTGTTGTTATAAAGGAATATACTCGCTTTTTCTATTCAAACAGAATATAAATATGATTCCCTATTAAACCTAACCGGCAACTAATCGGAGTCCTTTTTGGCCAGCTATGCGAATTTTGTAGATATATGTATGCATATGTGTCTGTACGTATATATATGAACATTGCATATGCTGGCAAGCAGCCGTTTGGTGGCAGCATAAATTGTTGTCATGCCAAGGAGGGCATATTAAATTCAGTAAAGGCACGTGCAACAGCCACAATTGGAGGCATTTGTCCCTTGGCCAGGACTCCATACAGGTACCAAGAATAGAGAGAGAGAGAGAGAGAGAGAGAGAGTGAAATTATGTTGTAAATAAATGTACATATGTATATCAAAGATTCGTTCATGTCATAAATCAGCAAATGCGTGCACTTCTAGCCATAATTGGCAATTTGCGTTCGCCACTCGTTTTTCTCCGTTCTCGTTAGTTTTTCGACCAGAATCTGCTACCATATTCCCTACTCACCATTTTGAGTCATGTGTCATGGCTTATTGTGTGCCTCTGAATTATGTACGCTGATTATAGCCACAAACTTATTAGCTAATACAAGTGTCATCTATAAAATACGTTATGTATTTTCGACGATATTTTAAGTTGACATGAACTGAGCCTTTTTATTTTGCATTTTAGTTTGCAATAATTTAAGTAATTATTTATAATATGTATGCTATAATGAAACTTACACAAGTTTCAGATTTTAGTTCACATTTTTAATTTGTGAAACAACAAAAACGGAAGAGTTTTTGCAGGAGACACTCACGAGACTTGATATGAGTACGGCTAAGATTTACAGACACTCCAAAAGTGTCTAGCTTTACGTAATTTCATTCTCGGAAGTAAGCTCATAACGGATATGCTGATGCTGATGATTTCCGCAAACAAATATTTCGTTTGCTGTGCCAACAAACAGGATACAAAAACGAAGAAGTGCAAAACACATTCGGCAAGATGAGTTGCAATATTAGGGCGCAAATGTGTGCTCTACGTTTGCCCGGTTAACTCCTGTCCAAATTTACACATGACCATTCACATCCGCATTCACATCCGCAGCCGCATTCACATCCACATTCACATCCTTATTCCCTTCCAGCTTTTCTCACCCTTTAAATATGGCGCTACAGGTCTCATTGTTAGCTTTTGTATCCTTGTGTTTTGTATGTTGTGGTTCTGTTTTTGCTGGCGGGAAATGAGCTCAGTGGGTTAAATGGAAACATCGTGCTCCGTTTTAGTTATGCAAATGTGCATAAATGGTTTAGGCGCGTTGCCGTCCACAACAAATGTAGCTGAAATGTAAAAGACAAAAAAAGAAGAAAAAAAAGAAAACATACCAAAAGAATTAAGCTCACAAAAAATTGTTTTTATATATGCGAAAGCACTCGCACAAAAGGTGTTTGCAGCTGCCTCGTCGTCGCTATGCATAATGGCTCTGCTGCCGTGCGTCTGACACTCGCCGATTTAGGTCCTTATTTGCTCCTAGCAGCTGCAACTAGCAGCGTATGTGTAAGGATGGCACAAGCCTGAATACAGGATGTCGGCAAGTGCATTCAAATTTGCGCTCATTTCCCAAATGGAATTCAAGTAAACAAATCTAAATGAATAATTCATTTCGATGTTCATCTTTTAATCACTCTTTTAGAAGTACCGAATAATGTTTAAATATGAATGCTAAATTCTACATTAATTGATTTGTAAATATAGATATTTATTTCAAAATTCTAAGCTTTAAAGGATATTTTATTTTTTTTTACATATATTTGTAAATAGGTATACTAATTGGAATTTAAGATTAAATTTTATATTACAAGTATATTTAAATTATATTCTACATTATTTTATGTTTAATATTTATAAAATTCAAGTATTTCAATAATATTGAAATTGTTTATTAAACGAAAAACAAAATAGTTTCTTTAAAATATTTAATAAAGTGCTTTTGGGATATTGGCAAAATATATAAAATGCGAAATAATACGAAAAATGAAAATAAAACTAAACTTCTACTTTGAAAAAAGAATATATTTTTTGATTAAAAATTATTATTCCAACATTCTATCTACATTTCGTTAGAGTTCAGGTTGAGCTCTAGAAATAATCTATAAAATACGGAAATGTTTGTTTGGAAAATCTAATGTTGCTGTATAAACTCGAAAATGCACCGAGACTTGCAACATGCCACTTGCAGTCATTTTGAAAATATTTAATTTGCTTTTCGTGTGGCATAGAATGCCAAATCTGCAGTTTGTTTTACGTGCAATGACAGTCTAATAGTCAAAGATGCCATTTATATGCCCCAACGCTTGCCAACAGCATCTCTCCTGTTCCGGACAAAAAATAAGAGTTTTAGTTTGTTTGTGCGAGTTCCTGATTTATGGCACTCAAATGAACCTCGACTTGAATCTTAAAATTTCTAAATGCATAGCGAATTTTCGTGTAGAATTTCTCTTTGTATGAAAAAGTGAAAGTGTGTTTAAAATTTGTTATTTCTTTTTCCTATTTGTTGATTTTGAGGCATTGCAATATAAATGTTGAAGTTCTTATCAACATTTATAGCTTTATTTGACTTAAGAGCAATTTAGGAAAATCGCATTTAAGTGTGTACACGAATTTCGGTCATTTTTTGTACTGATTATCCCTTAACCCGTTTTAACCGTATTTGTTTATCTTTTCTCACAGCTTGTTGCTTGGATTTGAAGCGTGTCCAAAAATGCAGACTTTTTTGTGCCATAAATAACGACAATCATATGTATATGTATAGGATCATTTGTTTTTTTTTTTTTTTTTTGTATGTCAGCATCGGAGTTGCTTCAGCCTTCTGTTGCATTGAATTTATGAGTCTGCCACAAATAGCCGAATTTATCTTTCCGAGATTGACAATTGTTTGACACTGACGACAGCGCATAAAACTGTTGGCTGCTTCTAGTTCACTTTTTGGTTAAATAATTTGCACTCTTGGTTTTTTTTATTCCCACTTTAACAACGCGATTGTTATAAAAAAGATATCCAAATGCAAAAGACTTAGTTTCGGATTCCAGTCGGATTTACTTTTAACAGCGAACATGTTAATTTCTAAAAGAAAAAACTGCACTGTTGGCAATTTCAAAAGTAACGACACGCACAGATGTCAAATATCCCTAATAGCCACAGCAGTCGTTTAACAGCAGTAGCTTCACAGTCACTTTGCAGTACAGAGGGAACAATAGCACACTAACATCGTGTTATTCGAGATAACACTTCACGCAACTGCAGAATAACATGAGCTAAATTAAACAGAATGAAGGATATTTTAAGAAGACTTGCAAAGTCCTGGGTAATTTGTGAGTTAACAGTAACAGCAGCAGCCGCCCCTTCGCAGTAGCAGAGCGTCAAATGGAGTAATTTTTCGGAGTTGCGGCGAATTGACAACGGTGCTGCAAAGCTTTTGCTTAGCTTGTTGCTGCTGGCGTTGTTCGGCAGACGTTTGTTCAACGTCCAGTTGTCGGTTGTCGTCAATTGGCAGTGGGTGCTACCGCAGCAAAGTGTTTTCTCATTCAAAGCCCGACGCTTCGGAAGCGCGACACGTGTTCAACGGTTCCATATATGTATATGTCTCGCCAGTGTCCGAAAACGCGTGATGATAAAAATGAAATTGAGGCAGGCCCGATTGCCATGCGGCCGTGTGTAATAACAGACTGATACGCATTAACCCAAAATAGACAGTTCAAAAATGCATGAACATGCCTCAAACTGTCAACAGCAGAACAAGAAACTTGTGTCAAGCAAAAACGACAAGCAACACTGGCATCGCCACTGCACTTGTCAACTCAGCCAAGAATCACTTAAAACGCGAACCAGCAACTGCAATTAGCAATACAAATTTAGTGCTCAGGGGACTTGAGCCAAACACAACAAAAATTGACAGCTGACATTTGTAGCCGGATAAGAGATAAGCTACCAGGAGTGAGTGACGACAACTTCAACTGTCATTATGTGAATTATGTGCGAGAACTGAAAGTGAAAGTTACGAGAAATTCACCTTTGCTTCTTTTCTGCTATGGAATATATACAAACACATACATATATATATATATATATATATATATATATGTATTCCTTTGAGTGTGTGCCAAGTAATTTGGTTGTTTTTTGGGTTTAGAAAAAACTTCCCAATTGGCCCACCGAATTGTGTCTCAGCTCGGTTGCGTTGCATGTGAGGATACCTTCAGAAAGTTTGAGATACTTTGTTCTTTTCGATAAGCTCAGATAACTGTTAGCATGTTATTGTTTAAAGTGCTTTACAAGCGATTACATAAAATACTATAGATATAATTAAGCGATACATGTTTAATTTGAAATTTGATATGTTTTATTTAATTCATAGAAATGAAAAGAACTTAAAATGAAAGTTTAAATACATTTGATTTGCAATATAGTTTGAAATTTTGTGTGTTTTGTTTAATTTGAATAAAGGAGAAGAAATAAAACGAAAATTTGATTTGAATTGAATTGTTGAACTTTAAAATTGTTGTTTATTAGCTTTAGTGGACAGAAGCTTTACAGATATAAATAAATATATAACAGACACACACACACATACACATCTTGGACAGCTATAATCCATTTACAGGCAACTTTTCGACCAATGGATTTCCACAGTCAAAAATTAATAATTAAATTGCATTCACACGACTTTAATCTACTTTGACTAATCATATGCCTAATCGTTGGCAAAGTTAGTTCAGCATTTAATGCGCCATCGAATTAATAATCTTCAACGTGCGCCCGATTTTCGACTGCTAATAATTCATAAACACGCGCGCCTCGCAATGTAAACACCAATGTAAACACACACACACATACAGACACTTGCCCACATACATGTTTGACAGGCTGAGCATACATCTTAACATGCATACACATATATGCTGCTTAGCATATGAGAGATCCCCATTGCTTGCTGGCTAGATTTCTGCCAGCAGAATGTCGTTGTGCTTATAATGCCCATGCCCATGCACACACACACACATACTAGTGTAGTTATTCAGTAGCATAGACGTGTATAAGAATAATCCTATATTATTTTATAATTCACTCTTAACAGTGGCCGCAGATGCAGCTTCAGTTTTTTAAAGAGTTGTTGGTGCTTGAGTGTCGCTTATGGCAAATGCTTTAAATATTATTATTATACATATTTTATATTGAGTGGAAAATATAAAATAATGCAAAATATTTCAATTGCTAACCAGTGCCAACTGATAAGAATTAAGGGACAACAGTACAGTGAAAAACAATAAAATCAACTTCGCAAACACAAACAAAAGGCTCAAAAGAAAAAAAACGAAAGCTGCGCAGTAAGGTAAAGAGTCGAATGGGGATTGGTTAAAGAAGGAAATAAATCCATTTAGAAGATGTAGATGTGGATAAAGTTGCGTATAAGAAAAAAATAGGAAGAAGAAAGCGAAGAGTAGACAACAAATACAATTAAGTTGTGTAAGAAAATAAGTCGTTTTAGCCGATGTCAAACCAAAAAAAATAAAAAAGAACATCAAAAGTGCGGAAAGTTTAACTGTGTGAGTGAATATGAGGATGAGTGTGAGCATTAGTGTGAGTGTGAATATGAGTATGATCATGAGAATAAGTGCTGAAATGTGTATGAGTTTGAATATGAATATGAATATGAATATGAATATGAATATGAGTATGAGTATGAGTATGAGTATGAATATGAGTATGAATATGAATATGAATATGAATATGAATATGAATATGAATATGAATATGAATATGAATATGAATATGAATATGAATATGAATATGAATATGAATATGAATCTGAATATGAATATGAATATGAATATGAACATGAAAATGAACATGAATATTAATATTAATATGAGTATCACACGACAAAGCCGAAATTAAATGTTGAACATTGAATTATCTTTTTCTTGTGACTTTTAGGCAGTTAAGCGACATAATGATTAAACAAAGTAGACTATTGAAACGAGATAAATGCACAAAACAATAGCAATAATGGCGTCACATGCTGCCGTTTGTCAATAGCGGCAGCAACATAGCTAAATGAGTAATGTTAATTGAATCACCTGAAACACTGACAACAATTGCATAGAGCCAAATAATAAGCTGAAACAATTTACATACAACCGCTGAATGCCGGCAGCAAAAGTGATTGTTAAACATCAACAACAAAAACAACAGCAACAACAGCAAAAACAACAGCAGACGACAAAGCGTGTTTTCAATAAATGCGCGCGGATGCGTCGCAGCGGCGTCGTCGCCGACGTAGCCGCTAAATCGACCACAAGCAATGCGGCCGACGTTGGCGTCGCAGCATTTGCACCTAAAAGGAGGCAAGGCGAACAGCGCAGCGGCAAAGGGGCGCGAGGAATTGCAATAATAATGGCGTTATTATTTAACATAATGCATCCACAACAAATTTTGCACTGGCCATTTTGTAACGGTAAGTGCTTTTTTGTCCACCACTTTTCCTTTGTCCCTTTCTCTTCCTCGCCTCTTTGACTTTCGCCCAGTGGTTAACATGCGTTGGTTGTGCGGTGATAAAAATTCGTATTGCATACTTTTAGCTGCTGTCATAATAAGTCACATAATATTAGGTGCGTATAGCTGTAAATTTACTAACGCTGTTTTTTCCGTTGACAGTTGTTTACACGTGTCTGGCAAAACGAATGTCGAATATTCAACAATATGGAAACCCATCTTAAAAGTCAAATAAAATTCAATATTGCCGAGTATATAAAATCACACACAAGTTAATGCATAATTCATAGCTAATAAATAGTTGAGTGGCGAACTTTTGGTGGGTCTAATGAAATTTAATCTTGAAGCCATCATAAAAAATACTTTGCTAATTACCAAACCAGCATTAATAAATCTTCAAAATGTTTGTGCACAAAAAAATGTTTACTAATTAATGAAATTTATGTCGGTCAACTTTAGTCCGGTCGACAAAATACTAAGACGAAATTCAGAAGGAAATAAGGCAAACCAAAGGAAAAAAAACAACTAACATCCCAGATTTTCTAATTATATATACCAAAAAGCAGCGGGACTTGAGAAATTCAATTTTTAGCTTGCACTTTTGAGTTTTGCTTGCTGCTTAAGGTCGCAAAATGTGCGGGTTTTTATGACGTATAGGAAATGTATTCGATTGTGCCTCATCAAATTTGGGAAGCATACAAATATATAGTAGGCTTATCAATTTAAATTGCTTAAGCTACTTACAAGAGCAACACACGCTGTTAAATGAGACACAAGTCTGGGAAATAGGAGTGGTGTTATGGAATTTGTGATGTTGTCAAGCAAAGTTTACTCATCCTGTGACGTATCCTGCTACAGTCTGGTGCTGAACTGTAGCTAAACGGTGACGTACTTTGAGTAATCTCCACACACACACACAAACACAAACATAGAGGTACACACGTACTTTCACATATTATTCACAAAATTAGGTCAATCGGTCATCGGACACGTTGCGAGTCTCTGCATCCTTTGTGATAGGATATTACCATGTTGTTGTCTTTCCACATTCGCTGGACTCACACGCCCCATGTCAGCGTTAAGCACAATATATATACATATGTTTATATGCATGAATAAAATAAAACTATAAAACAGCCGGTGCGATAAATTAAAGTTACTTTCAGGCGCAAGAATCCCAACTGTCGACTAAAGTTTGCCAGCTCCAAAGTTTCGCATATTATTTACAAACGCACAATGCGAAAGCCAACCGACCAGCGGCAATGGGTTTACTTGGCCCAAAAGTTTCAGCTGAGACGGCCTAAGACTAGAACAAGCAAACGCTCTGCAACAACAACAATAACAACAACTACAATTTCATTTTTGGTGCCTGGACAATTGAAATAAAAATTTGCACTTATTACGTGAAACTTTATTAATTTGCAGTCGAGAACTGCACATTTTACAGCAAATTAATTTTGATAATTTGGTTTATAGCAATTTTCACTTTGTTCCGACTGTGTTTTTTTTTTTGTTTTTGCTTTTAGCACCACCATCTGTCGCGTTTGGGCCAAACTTTTTTTTAACCCTTTCTTTCTTATTACTCCATTTTTGTAATTGCCCCTTTGCACATTTTTGCAGCCCGCAACGCCGACGCATTGAATTAATTAAATTGTAATTTTAGTTGCATTTTCAACTCTTTCATTTTTTATTTTTATTTTCTTTTGCCTCGCGGCTTTCCATCATTGCCATGTTAATTTTATACTTTATCTGGATATTTTTTCGCCAATGCCGTCAGCTTATATCAACAGTCCTTTTTTTATCATTTTATTCTTTCATGTGCTGTTTTTTTCTGTGTATTATCTTGAATGCATTTCAGTGTCATTTAATAAGTTTTGTATTGACATAATAGAATATCAATTTAAAATAATTTAATGAGTTTAAATCTCCCAAATGCGCAATAAATGCAAAAAGTTGAAAAATATCCTTTTAATTCTCTAAATCCATTAAAAGTGACTTAATGAGCATTTTGAATGAGATGAAGGAAAATCTATACGAGAATCCTCATACCCGCTTTTCCGTTTCTCTCCATTTCTATTTTATTATTATTTGTATATATATATATGTATAAATGTGAGCTTCTGGCAGACTTATACCTGATACTTTTGAGGGCATTATTCTTTTGGGGCAAGGTCATTGAGAGTCTGAGGCAGTTGTGTTGGGTGGGGATTATATTCGTTGCGAGAGACAACGGCAAAAAATTGGACAATATTATCGAAAAAGGGAAAACCAAATATAACTCAACATACAATAATCTCTCCCGTCGCAGCTTCTCTGCTCAGTTTAAGGGGTTCAAATGCTAAACTTGCCATATAATATGTAAATTACAATCGCACACACCCAATCACAATTTATTTCAATTCGAAAAAGTTTGTTGGTTCAACGGTGACCTTTTTTAATTTGTTGATAAATCTTTAAGTCTTAGTCACATATTAGCATACTTTTTTTTATTCACAATCGATCAGTATTCAGCACAACTTTAACTTGCGGATATATTCAGCTTATCTTTTTTTTTAGATTAGGTTGTTGTGTGACATAACTGTTGAATTATTTATATGCCTAGCGATTTGGATAGAGAGCGACAGATGCCGAATAAAATAAATTATTATTGTTATTTTATTGTAAGCCCTAGGAATTTGTACTTTTCACTAAATAATGAATATAAAATCTAATTTGTTACTACTTTTCAATACATTTTTAATTAAATTATATGCGAAATATTGAATATTAAATGTAATTAGATACTCATGTTAACAAACGATTATAATCCACAAATGCTGTTATGTCAACTTTTAGCTATTTTAGCGTTCAATAGTTTCAAGATTATCAAAACGGCCGATTTGCCAGTAGCCAAGTGCTGCTGCAGTTGACACCATCTTGTGAAAATTTACTTCCTTTCGAACGGAGAACGCTGATGGCACTCGAGAAGTATTCCATTCCATCCCAACCCTGCTGGCTGTCTCTCTCCATCCCTACTGCTCTCTTACTCTGATGCCCTGAACCCATTGAAAATTACTGAATAGAGTATGATGGAGATTTGCCAAAGTACGGAACATGCAAGAAAATATCTATATAGATAATTACAAATTCTGTTATCGAGCTGAAATATAAAAAGGTGCCTTGCCTTGGATTCCTTTTATGGTAAATTTTCTCTATTAGAGTATATCCAAGTCTTCTTGTTGACTCTCAACTAGAGCAATTTGGTTCTTATGCGCTTGTTGAGAGTATTATTATTTTATAATTTTTATATGCCATAAAAATATAGCCAACTTCGTATAGAAATTTAAATGACAGCAGATTAATCTCGGCCTGCGAGGATATGTAATCTTCGGTGTGCATAAGATAGATATTCTTTCTTGTTTCTTATGTACTAACTGCCAGCCAAGGGCATCGGCATATTCCAAGACGGGGCCAAGGCGGAGGCTAAGCCAAAGGCAAGGGCAAAGGCAAAGGCAAAGGCGATCTAAGCGCAGTTATGCAGCCAACATCAACAAAAGCAAACTTGTTTTGAGTAGCACATAAATTCTGGCTGATTACCATGCCTGTCTGCTGGTGAGCAAAGCATGTTTGTTTAACTTTATACTTGACCCAGGAACTACAAGTTGGCGCGATAAGGACAGCTTTAAGCAAATATATATGTGCAATCATGTATGTATGTAAGTAAAACTATGACAGTTCAGACAAATGGCTCAAAGCAAAATTAGCAATCTCTAAAATATATTTTAAAGATTAAAGTTGGAGAAATAACTTTTCGACTGCGAAATATTGCTATAAGTTATCAGAAGCATATTGTAAGATACATAGATACAATCATATGTATTTCAGAGCTGTTGACAGTTGAACCAGTCAAACGAGCAATTTAACAATGCCAACCAAGGAAAAGTTTCCAATAGTTGATATTGTTAATGTTACATGATAAATTATTCAACGAACTTCTGCAATGCAAAGCATCTCGGCAAATATGGAATTTGCAATAAAACAATATAAATTATATAGGCACATTGGTTTTTAATAGAAATGATGCACAGCAAATCCGATAAATAGGTACAATTGAATATTGCATTATTTTACATATTCGCGTTTAATGCCACAATATGAATTGTTACTCCAATTTCTTGGTTTATTTCTTATCCTTGGCACGTTTGACCTGCTTGGAAGATAGAAATAATTACTGATCAAAGTCAATTAGCTTAATAAATTTGAACCACTTTCCTTGATATGCTTTTTGGATTTTTGGTCTTCTCGTTCAGCGTTATGTTCCTCGGGCATTAAAGATGGTGGCAGGCCTTGTTTAACCTTTTCCTTAAAATGCTGAGGCAGGGATTCAAAATCCTCGTTGGCGTTGGCCTTCATCAGTCGCTTGTTGCTTGGCGCAACACCAAATTTCATCTGCAGCGTCCCATTTGAGGGAGCAATGGGCGACACGAGAACGGGTAGGGCGTGGCTGTCCGAGGCTGCTTTTAGCTTGTGCATGAGCAAGCCCAGATCTGGAGGCAGTGAATCTGGCTGCATTCGCTGTGAGCCTGGGGCGGGACACTCCCGAGCGCCTTTGGGAATGCTATTGAAAGCCTTTGGCATTTTGTTTGTCACAGTCAGTGGCTCAATGTCAGCCAGGAGGGCTGCATCCCTGGGATCCATTTCGGTTGGCCCCCCAGCACTCTGTTCGTAGGCATTCAGGTTGAGCAAATCGATATCAAGAAGCATGTGAAGACCCTTAAACTGTTGACTATATTGCGACTCCAGCTCAGGAAAAGAAATGGGCTTTTCCGTATAGTCCAACAGAGTTTTGGCACAAGGCAAAAACTTGCAGCCAATTTCAGGAACGGGTAGCTGAGCACTGTACGTAATGGGGCAGATAAGCGGGGTGCTAAATAATAGAAAAATTGTGGATAGTTGATAGTATGGCTAAGGATGTGTTTTTCAAAAATAATATTTATCATATCTGCTTACAGTTTTGCATCCAATTTATTCGATTCTCCATTAGCTTTACTTGCAGCCATCTTGCCAATAATTAAGCTGAATCAGACTAAATGCTTTCTCACGTTGTTTGGCAGGTGACAGGTGCTTGCTGAGCAACTAGACCAGTGATGTGTATCACATTTTGATCAAGTGTTGTAAGTGACGGCAATAAAAGGTATCGAGTACAAAGTGCTGTGAAAACAGAAATCTGTTTCTATTGTTGTACTCGGCCAACGGACATCTTCAATTTGGACTTGTTTTCCACTTGCCAATTGGCAGACAATCACTACTTGTTTGACTTCATTTAATTTGTGTTTAATACAAAATAAACAATATAGAATAAAACAATAATACATCGAATAATTAATACAAAATAAACAACACAGAATGGCTACAATACAGATGGTGTCACTTTCTCTTATTTGTTGTTAATACCAGAAATGTCATCGTTTAATGTATTTAAGATCATATATTTATTTAGATTAAGCTAAATATTTATATTTTGTGCTTTTTAAAAACCGCAAGGCAACTTACAATAATATAATAGAACTGGTAACAGTCTGCAATCAATTGAATACATTCAGCAGAACTGAGATGACCTCCTGCATAGAAAAAGCTCCTTGTGTGCCAAATTCGAGCTTCACCTTGACCAAATGCTTGCCAGAGTCCTTGGATAAAATGAAGCTGTCGCCGCCATGTGGCACGAGCAAAGTACCAAAGTGCAACTGCACCATCTCATCTAGGTTTAGATAAGGATATACATAAGCGGCGGTGTCCGATTGACTTTCCAGTGGCTTGTCAATGCCCACAATTTGTTGATCCACAATCAGTTTCTGTTGCGGTTCCAGCTGTAGCTCTGGCTGCATCGGAAGGGGGCCTTAAAGCGGCATGCTAAAGAATAAAAATCGATGGCAATTTGATAAGATGGTTGGTTCCTTCGACTATTAGCTGATGCAAAATTGCTCGCACTTTGTCATATTCCTTAAGCGATTCTCCATTCATTTCATTTGTTGACATCTTCCCAATAATTAAATCAGGCTGATTTAGTGATGTGTACCTCATTTTATCAAGTGCTGTAAAATCCAACAATTATCAACTATTAACTGCTGAATACAGGGAAAATCAGAATCTAATTGTCTATTCACACAACTGCTGATGTTATCCTCCGATCCACATCCTTAAAGTTGCCAACTTTACAACTTTGTAGCTTCAGGGTTTTTGTTCGCAGTAAATCAATCAATTTACCAAGAAAAAAACAATGTTTGCATAAATTAGTCTTCATTTTTGTTGGTCCTTGATTTTAGTGTTGTCAAAAGCGAACTTTGACAACCCATTGAAAAGAACCACAATTTAAGAACCAACACTATTTGCAGAGCTATTGTAAATGAGTTGCTTAACAAGTATTGCTGTAATTGTGTTCATGACTTATGATTTCTGCAACAGTTGAGCAAAAGTCGTAAGTAAAAGTAACAGCTAATTGTGCGACCTTTAACAATAGAGTAATCAATTGTAGTGGTGCAGGACAACAGCGACTGCCTCCCACTGTCCACGAATAGCACTCTATATGCCGAGTTAATGGCACCCAATAAACGTCTTAGCTAGAGTGAGAACTGATGAGCTGACCGGCAACGAGTGCGGGACGGCGAGGGAGACGCCACAGAGTGTGGCAGAGTCAGCCGAATAATTATGATTTATGCCACCCGGGAAGGTGGCGCCTAATTGTCTGGCCATAGGCATGTCCCGTCCGTGTGCAGATACAATTATGTCCTGGTAGCCACCCGAAACTGGTTGCCATTCATCTCCGTCTAGCATTCCATAGATGCCACATATCCCACTCCACACTTCGTCTCCCTCTATCTGACACCCAAAAATAGTGGGTATGTTGTGGAAATGTCACACGTACCGTAATTATGATGTGCCTGACTAACGTGAACAGTTTCCTAATGCTAACGCCTGCACATACGGTTGGTTCGTCCAACGATTTCTTCAGTTCTAACTGAGTCATTATGACCACTTAGAGAAATTTACTTCATTTTGGAGATGCTGTAGTTGAGTGCCGGTCTTTCCAATTTCATATATAACTACTCATCATATCTAATTAGTGCTCATGCCCCTCAAAAGGACACTTGAGTTTCTTGAATAATTTTGTCTTTTTTAGAGTTTCCATAATCTTTCTAGTTTTTTCAACAGTTTTTCTCTCTTTTACTTAATATGAGATTGCAAGAAATAATCGATGTATCCTAAATTAGAAACATATGTGCTCTTCTCTGAAATCAGAGTCTTTTGTTATGTTGCTCGCAGGCAAGTTTAATTTTGCCAACGATTTAAAACTGGGATCTGCATTTGCTGTTTGTGTTCATGCTTGCGGTTTCCCCTCATGTCGGCATACGAGTATGTACGAAACTTAAGCATTGCATTGTCGAGTGTCGCACATTTTTCACTTAGAACTGCATTGTTGCTCTTCGACTTGGCTCTGGAGCTGGCCTCATTTGCAGTTTCGCCTTTTTGCACCGCAACATATTCATTTGTTGTGCTTTTATCCGAACTTTCTACATTTTATTGCAAGTATGCATTGGCTACATTATTTATGTATATACATTATTTATGTATAAAATTGAATTTAAAATGTAAATTACAAAAATATTGCTGAATGCAGCGATCATTTGAAAACCTTGTTTTAAATATATTTTTGGCGAGAATAGCGATAACAACAGGCAAAGGAATAAATATCCGTATGCAGAATATCGATTAATGCAATAAGTTTTTAGTGTTGTTCCGTTGAAATAATCGATAATTATATAATAATTATATGAGATGAGGAGATGCTGAATTTGGTATGTAGATTTCTCTTCAGCATACAGAGTTGATTGAAATACTTTCAGAAAATGTGAAAAACGTATTTTTAGAGGTATTGGCTAAAATTTAGTGTGAGTAAAGATCTATATGCCATCTTATTTAAAATATGGCTATATACAGAGTATTGCCAAGTCCCACACTCTCGACCCGAGCCAGTTTTCTCGATCCACAATGTGTCGAGGGCTTGTGTCTTAACTGCTGACAGCCACCCCATTTTTGGTTAAATGCCATCGTTCTTAGGCTTTTATTGCATGTTTTATGGAAATGTTTCAAACATTCGACGCACTTTGCACATCAAACGCATTTAAAGCCTGGGGGCTACTGTGCACACACCACCAACAATCACCCAACCCACCCACCAGCCACCAGCCACAACCCACCCGTCAACAAGAGAGCCATCTGGGTCCCTGTTGAGATAACCTGCCATGCAACCTGACTGCTCAACGCACCTCCGAGTGTCTGTCTATCTGTCAGCTAGTCAATCTTCAATCTTGTTTGTGGTACGGCACACGAAAAACGAATTTTTGCTTTGACAGAAACTGTTAATTTCGTTTGATTTGCTGCCCCAGGGACATCTATCATCAGTTCTTACAAACAACCGAGACTGACGCTTAGCCTCCTTGCTGCAAATTTGACAATGGGTTCATAGGCACAATATTGATTATCTGCAACTGGCGCTATTCCCTTGTCTTCAACCACAATTGTCTTTTTGATCATTTAATTTTCTGGTTCATCGCATTATTTTAAGCTCGGATTTAGAAAATGTTTCATATTCTGGCTGGCATTAATTATTTTGACTGTGTGCATTTCAATTAACTCATTTTCTAGCTAACTGCTTCATTGTATTTTTAGTTGCCATATTTTTGCGCAATTAAAGGGCTTTCGATAAAGGACATAAGAAGGTTTTGAGATTGCTCAGGAAAAATAATATATTTTAAGCGAAATCTGTTATTAGTTTACCCTTTCTTATGTTGGGTCTCTTAAATAGTATTTGAAGTCGTATTATATTTTACATTACTAATAAAAAAGTCTAACTTGAAAAATATTTCAGGTATAAATACATATAAAATATAAGCAATTAAAATAAATAATAAAATAAGCACAAAAATCGCAATTGATGTTGTGTCGATTAGCAGCAATGATCCTGAAATGTAAACGTTATTTTAAAAATGGAATAATGTCGATCTTTTAATTTTTAGAAAGCCAAAACTTAAACGTACCACTAATATACTAAATTTCTTAATTCGATCTCATATATTTAACCAGTTTACTATTGAACACACAAGCAAAATAATAAATATAATAATTGTGTCTTATTTATGCAATAAAATAATTCTGTTTGTAGTAGGATCCAAGACATTAATTTATAGTGACACATGCACATTTCAAAATGTACATGCACACTTAAAAGCAATAATAAAATGCGTATGTCTAAATGCAGTAGAAAACTACGCCATAAATACATTAATGATGTTGACGCAAACAGCACTGGCTGTTAGATGGTCAAATCCACTCTCGCTTGACACATAAATTGGGCTTAAAGAAATGTCAAATTGAATTGAATTTACGTCAAACTGCTTGGCGATGATTTCCGCTCGACTTCACACACAATAACATCCTTGAAATGCCAGAAACAAGCATAACAAATCCACCTGAATTGAAAAGGTTACACAAAAACTCATTCACAAACTGAAATTTCCCCACAACTCTCTCAACAAAGAAAAGTTGGTACTATGCTTGTTGAACAGTACCCACTTCTCGGCGACCTCATCAAATTAAAGAGATGCAAAAATAGTCCTTGACTTTAAATAGTATTATGTAAATTAGACAGCGACAATAGACGTTATCCAAATTAATTACAAGCAACAGCAGATTTTTAGAGTATATTTAAATAAATGTGTGTATAAGTTGCAAAATATGTTTTATGTGTGCTTAGTCATTTGAAACAAAGACTTAACTTCACATGAGTTTCTCTTAAACATTTGCAAACTTTTAATTAGTTCATTTTAATGTATGTATTCATTTATTATTTTATAATTATATTATTATTATACTTAAGCCAGCTGCCAAAAGATTACAGCTAAATTAAAAATTACACGTTTAGGTGTTTTTTTTTTTAAATACAGTTCCTATTTGGTTCTAGATGTGCTTTGATGTTGGTTACAAATGGTATGTTTTTGAGTAATCTCCACCCTATTAAGCCATCAGGAATTCGACAAAAATTATAGACTGCTTGTCGGAGCGATAATCCTTGTGTTTCCGGCATAAGTGCAGAAATGATGGCAAGGATAATGCCAACTCCCAGACAGCATTGATAAACGTAGACCTTTTCCATTGAGAATGCCACAATCACAATGAGGTGGCTCACCAGCTCAATGCAGACAGCCAGTGCAAAGGGAAAGTGCTCACCCAAATAAATTGGGATGCTGATGACAAAAAGGCCAGTAAAGAACTGGTAGGTCAGAGAGATGGGAAACACCTTTCATAATTAAAATTTATGTGACTTCATTTCACCAGCTAGGATTAGCATTACAGCCGTTTCCGTTTCCAAGCTTGCTCACCAAGCAAAGTGTCATAAGGATGCTAATGAAACGCAAAACGCTTTACAAAATTATTGACCAACTCGGGTTGGATTACTACTAAAGTACTGTGCAATTTACGTCGTTTTATTTTTTGTTTCATCGAACAAAAACATAAGCCAATGTATAATTTATATATGTACATATTGTAGTTGTACAATTCCTGTTCCTGTTATTGTTGCTGATTAGAGTATTGGGCTTCGCTTTTACTGTTGTGTGACCTTTCTGCTTGTTGGACAATCGACTGTTGACCCTTGACCCTTGACCACTGACCATATGATCTAAGCTGGTTTGTGGCGGCTCTTGTTTACCAATTTTTGCAACTCGCCTTTTTGGGTTTGTTCGATATATGACTGACGTCATCTTCATCATACCAGCCCCAAATGGTGTTTGTTATTAAAACAACACATTGTTTTTCTTTTAATTAGCCTGTGTCCAATATTGAAGGAGTTTTCGTATACCCGTATATATGTGGTCAAGGACGTACGCTTGGGAAGGGATTAGGTGATTTAATATTTAATGCTATCATCATTTAATACTTTGAGGTTTATGCGATTTTAGACGCTTGTATTTATTAGAATGTTAATTTGTAACATTTACCAACTATCTGTCAGCGGGCCAACTTGTGTGCAGTTGGCCAGCAGAACAAATCAAACGGCAAACAAAATGAATGCCTGGCTCACAAAGCAACCGAAAAGGACAGCGTAATAAATTTATTTGAAAAATGCCTGGTACGCGAACAGAAAAAAGTGCGAGATGCCGTTGAAATGATGAAAAATGAGATGGATAAAGAAGCGCCTTCACTCCTCCTATTTCGTATTTGCAGGTCCTTTTGCAGAGGCGAACACATACAACAGCAACAACAATAACCATAACAGCAACCACAACAATGACAATAGCAAGAACAGCAGCAACAGTTATAACAATGTTGAGTTGAACGGATTCAGTGGCAATGTCCTGGCATCGTTCTCGTCCTCTGTGGCCGCAATGCTGCCACAAGCGGAAGCCACGAATAACACTTTCAAGAGCTTACCATTCCTAGCCAGCGAAGATAATTCTTTTGCCTATTCCCAGAAACCGGACGGTTTTGCGGAAACGGAGCTGGCACATTCCTTGCCAATATTTGACTTTGGCATGCCGCGCAACATCACAGGACGAACAGGACACACGGAGGCCATAATTAAGTGCAGAGTGGATATGTTGAATGATAAGTCTGTAAGTCAATCTAATGAAATCAATACTTAACTTTAAAAGTACGCTATAAATTGAACATGAATTTACTATTTTAGAAACAAATTATTCACTAAGTGATTAATTTAATTAATTATGTTAATACTTTTAAATTGCTGCTGACTAAATTTAATATAACGCCAATGAAACTAAAATTTGTATTTGATTTTTTTTAATGTATTTTGAAACTACTCAGCTAATCTACTCAGTTCCCCTTTGTTAACAGCTGCAGCATTAATAATCCATGAGTCTGTTTTACCATATCCTGGATAGGTATCCTGGATACGCAAACGTGATCTACACATTCTGACAGTCGGAACAGCCACGTATACATCCGATAAGCGATTTCAGGCAAGTAATATATACATATACAGTGTCTCCCAGCTTATTTCGACCAGTGTCTAGCAAAAAATTTAAAGTGCTATAAAGTTTAAACAAAGAAACAAACGCAAAATGTTTAAATGCTAATTTGTTTCATGTTATATCACGTTTGAAAAAGAAACTTTAGTTTTTATTAAAATATACATATATCTTGGTGAGTGTTCAGAGTGTTCAGACTGACTGGCCATGCTGCGTGATTAAAATATGCATAACATCAATGGACAATTATTGCACTATTATTTTTTATTTAAATTATGCAAATTTTAAGCTTGTTGATTCAACTAATTCTTGAGCGGACGCAGGTATACATTTGTATGATATACTGCCCTTATTAATAAGCAATAATGTACAATTAACGTGTCATTTTAAATGATTTAGCGCAATTAACACCGAGTATTGCAGGTGACCGAGTCGAAGGATATGCGCGAATGGACGCTGCACGTGAAATCGCCAAAGCCCAAGGACAGCGGCATCTACGAATGCCAGGTCAACACGGAGCCAAAAATATCCATGGCATTTCAACTTAATATCATTGGTGAGTAGCTAATTAAATATTTGCATTTACACTGATCCCCCATGTCACAAAAGAGTATGCTGTGTGCCAGGCTGTCTGAGCGATGCTATTCAAAATAGAGACTCGACACTTGAGCTACAAATGGAGTAAAAGAGTTTCTAAGCCTATTTACTTTGAAAGTAATTGCTAAATTCATTAAGGTTCTCCAACTCGTAATCAGTAGCCAGAATAGAGTACTGCAAAGTCAATTATGTCCGACATCACAATTTAACTTGATGTTGTTGTTGACTGTCTGTCTGTCTGTCTGACTGACAACCGCTGACTACGCATTTGATGCTGTTAAATTGCTGATTACAGTTTTTAATTCAGATTACCTGCCCAACTGCTCACAATGATGATTATTTTATTTGTCTGTGCTCCCATCGGTTTTAAACTGTGCGCGCTGCAACATTTTGGTGCAAATGTATGCAGGCATTCATATTTAATTTCTCATTTTTCATCATAAATAAATAAAAACGTGCCAAGGAGCAGCGCTCAAAACAGGCACCTTCAATTTGTATCTACCGAATCGGAATTTTGGATGAGAGAAGTTCTTGACAGCTCACATGTTTTCTAGGGAGTTAATTAGTAAGTCAGCCCGGGGGACTTAAATGAGTTAAGCTGCTTGATTGGTTTGGAGCTGTAATGAAGGTTGGCTTAGTAATGGGGTGTACATATTAAAATATGGTATGAGAACAGGTTAAAAAGTAGCAAGAGCTAAGAAGAAACCCCTGCTTAACAATATATTTATTGACATTCAATTATTATATCTCATTTTTATTTTACCTTGATGTCTCTTAAAGTCCTCATTATTCGAAACAAAGCAGCCAATTAAATCGATGGCTGTTAAAAAGCTCTAAAAAGTGTGAACAAGTTTTAATTAAATGCAGAATAAAGCTACCGGAAAGAATTCCATATTCGATGACGTTGCCATCGAGTGTCAGCCGCTGCTTTCAGCCACTTATGCAAATCAGTTTGTAATCCTGTTTTCTACTCAGATACCAAAGACAAAATTAGAGTATACTGGCTTTCGACTTGAATGGCTTGAATCTTGGGATGTATGTATATAAGATAGTCGCAAGCTTTAAGATACGAGTTGTTAACCTACTCTTTTCAAATTAACACTTTATGAGTCATTAAATTCTCTATAAAAAAATGCTCATTTGGCAACAGAGTATCTTGCAGTCGAACAGTGTTCGTAGTTCGGTTTGCACTGCAATCGTTCTTTTGCCAACTTCCTTTTTGGTGTTTTTCACAAACGAATTTCCGATTACATTTTCTTTGCCACCATATGCATTTTAATTTACGTTAATGAAACAATTGCGAAAGTGCCTTCGACACACTGCCGGATGCTGCAGCAAGTTGAAAGTTGCGTGCTGCATGTTGCCTGCTGGACACTGTGGCCTTATTCTTAATGACATTATCGACATACGAATCGGAGTGACTTTAAAGTAGCTTCTGCGAGACGCTTAACTCTTCTCGCATTGCATTTGATTAATGTGATAATGCAAATTTATGCAACCGACCCTCGGTTTTTTCGCCATGAGATTTATGCTACACATTAATTCAGCTTGAACGTTGGCAATAAGTATCTGCCTGATGGAAAATTCCAAGTAATGCTGTACATGGATACATTTTTAAAATTCGAAACGAGACAATTTCGAAGTGACAATCATAAGAACTACACAAATTAATATTCTGTTCAGATTTCAACATATTGACATATTTTATATTTTATGAGAATTCGCACTTTGAAATCTCAATGTTGCTCGTTCCGTATTGGTAGCTCCTGATAGGCGAAAGTTGTCATAATATATCCTTTTAATTTATAAATAAATAATAAAGTTATAGTTATTTGATTTAAACCTTCTGAAAGTTGTAGCTCGGTCCTATAATAACACCATTTGAGACAGCTACAAATTTCATTTTATTCCTTCTGCTGCTGCCCCAGTATATCTACGTAAATACGTGTATCTCCTATCTGTTGGTGCAGGTTACACTTTTCCGGCTTATTTTTATAATCTGCTTCCATAGCAAAGAGTGTATATTTGTTTGCTCTCTACAATACCCATTTATCTGTACATTCAGATAAAGGAATCGCTCTGAACTTTAGTTTTTCTTCTTTCTAGAAATAATTTCTAGGAAAAATATGTTTGCTTTTTATATATTCCATAAATATATATCTTAGTTCTGTATCTTTATTGTAGACCAGCAGCATTAATAGTAGTTGTGTGATTGTGTGTGTGATTTATTCTTAGAGTCAAAATTCGAGCTGCTCACAACGTTTATTTTTACAGAGTACTGTGCAGTCGGTTAGACTGGAAGTTCCCAGTCGTTTAATTATTATTATTTGCACGAGCCAAGGCACAATAAATATTATTATTAACCCACTTTTACCAATACCCACACATATTCTGTCTGCCACAAATATATATGTGGAACGTCTGCGTTTTCATTTTGCTCGTTTTACTTTTACAGGTGACATTTGGGGAAGCTTAAAACATATGTCATTTTGTTATTAAAAGTTTATGCTTTCAATTACGCAAATAGTCTGGAAAGTATTTGCATAAATGACTATGTTTGCAATATTCTAGTCGCCACAGTGAATACTCATAACGAATTCACCTTTTGTCTGTAGAAATCTCACCTGATGCCAAGGCCGTCATCAATGGGCCGCCCGATCTGCATTTCAAGGCAGGTAGTGCGATTATACTCAGCTGTGTGGTTAAGCAACCGTCGGTTAAGGAGATTGGGCCCATCTATTGGTATCGGGGAGAGCAGTTAATCACTCCTTTGGAGGAGGACGGTAACGAGGTCGAGATGCCAAAGGATCTGCAACCAGGTCAACTGAATCAATCACTTAACGAAGTCTTGAGCACAGACTTGCAAAAGGAGTTCGTCACACGTATTGCCATGGAATCCCAGTTGGGAGACACCCTCAAGTCGAGGTAATGTATAAAATTGACATGTCGCAAGATTTTAAGTATTTAACTAGCGTCTTTCCAAAAGGCTGCGCATCTCCAATGCCCAAATTACGGACACCGGCATCTACACGTGTCAGCCAACGACTGCGAACAGCGCCAGCGTTGTTGTCCATGTCATAAATGGTAAGTAATCCCCATTTACCCTTCTCAGATTTGTCGCTGCAAGGACGAATCAAATTTAAAGTATTATAAAAATAATATTAATAGAAATAATCAGGCGAAAGAGGAGAAGTTTTCCCATTTAATTTTCAAAGCCGTTTTTTGGAAGCTCCCTTTTGCAAAATCGGAAAAACCTTTCATTTTGCAAATGTACGCTTTTGACACAACAATGGAAAAAGCTGTTGTGATTGAGCATTGAATTGATGTTCACATCGCTAACAAATTTGTGAGTTTCCAAAAAGGGAAACGGAATAGTTTTGTGTAAATTTCGATTTCTATTTCCGCAATATTTGCTGTTACGATTCGCCTTCTTCCCCGAAACTCTTATGCTCTTATAGCTCTGGTTTTTAATTGTTGATCAAACTCAAAATAGAACTTCCCTGGGATAATATATTATGGAAAGTGGGAGTAAGCTTTTAATAACTGCGCTATTTATTAATAAGAGCACGAGTAAGTTATATGCTTATTATATGCTCTGCCTGTATTTATCTGCCAGTCGGAGCCCATAAAAAGTAGAGGCATAAAAATGGGCTCTCGAATAACTTAAGCAGATCAAGTGTGTCATACTTTCTTTCTAAGTTTTGTAAACAAGTCAGCGTTTTGGCATTTCACTTTGCATATTTCAAGCATAAATTTGAGGGAATTGTGAGATTAAGTTGTGGAAAACTACACACTTATATACAAAACACTGGCACTGGTCATCGTAAACTTGACGCGTTCCAAGTCCTTTCTGGTTTTATGGCACGCACTTGAAGCAAATTGAAGTGCGTTAATTTGATGGCATATCAAGTGTTAAATTAAATGCCTGACAGCTAAGCAGTTAAGTTGAACCAAAATTGTATTGTACTCGAAGTAAAAGCTAAGCAATTTAAGGAATTTACATTTTAAAGACTCAGAGCAAGGACCATAACATGGGTGCTACTATCCACGCAATAATATATATGATAATATGTCAGAAGTAACTGGCAAAAAACAGTTAATCATAGTCGTATTCCTCAGCGAGGCACATGTGGCATTCACAATCACATACGTGAATGGGACAGGCATAAGGAAATGAGTGCGACACTGACACATGCCTTTGCCTAAATACAGATAATAAATCAAAAACAATACAAATTTAAATAGGATGAGTCGAAGAAGATATAACCGACAACTTTATACTCTTATCAGGTTATATTAAATTGATAAAATAAAAAAAAAAACTAGTACATAAATAAAAATGCCAAAACTGATGCTTATTGAAACTGTCTCCATGCATGTGCTGGGTATTTAAAAAAAAACGTGGGTTAGACAAAAATAACAACCCAAAGAGCACAAAACATTCGCGATAGACTGTTTTTTCTTTTTTTTTTTTTTTTTTTTTTTATACAGACATATGAGTTATTTATCTAGCCCAATCTGAGGGCGTGGCTATCTTCATGGGGAGCAGGAAAAAACAAAGGAAATAATCTCACAATTATGTTATCTTATTTGTCGCACAGAAAATGGCCACTGCTGTCCTTAATTTAAGTATAAAGACTTACTTACATTCGGTTGGGACTCACTAAGTTGTCATTTGTTTTCTGCCCTTTGCAGATGAAAACCCCGCGGCGATGCAAAAGAGCGCAGCGACATCTTCTTTCGGCATGGATCTACACCAGCTGGTGGGTCGAATAGTCTATTCTATGCTGGCAAGACACTCGACCAAGTACTGGCTGCCAAATGGCAGCAGCTCCAACTAAATGTAGTAGTTAGTCTTTGTCGTCACAGCAGCATCAACAACAACTTTCCATCGAAAGATGACTAACTTAATTATAAGCATTTGTTATACTCTGATTTTTTCTTAGCTGCTTGTAATTTTGTAATGTTTTTAAAAATGGCTCAAGGAAAGCAAAAGCAAGGAACCGTGAACAATGCGCTTCTTTTCGTTTTTTCCGTATTCCTTGTTATATTTACATTTCATTGTGTAATAATAAGAACGAGTAGTGCACTGCTCAAAGCAATATTAGAACATTCCAAAAGTGGGGGAATTTACAGACAGATGATGTAGCGATGATGAGGCTTCAGCGACAAGGAATTCAACTCACAACGAGATGACGACAGTCCGTCTCAAAAGTGTGTGCACGTGACAAAGACTAAAAACTGTAATATAGTATTATTTGAATAGAAAACGAAAAATTGGGCAAGAAACTTGATTTGACAAATTAATATTACTTTGTAACTACATCCAATAAATATGTATATCATTTAACGCTATAATTTTGGTAAAGAAAATAAATAGTAGTCTATAATATAAATTTTAATTGTAGCCATGAATTTAATACTTGTAAGAAGATGAACAAATTTTAACGAATATGTGCATGTGATGGTAAACATAAAGTAATTCTTTAATAAATAAAATAATAAAGCAAAAATCAGAATATGTGGACCGAAAATATACAAGCATATATTGTAGAAATTGATGTAGGTAAGATATACAATTAAATACATATTTCTTTATATATCAACTTTGCTAGTAGCCAAATACTTATTATTATGTTTGTACTCTTCGGAATTTCATCTAACATCATATCATATTACATCTTGCACGCAAAGAATAAATAAAACACATTACTTTTGTCAACATTATATTAAAATAAATTACAATTGCGAGTCGCATATTGTACCACTTGTTGCGCGTTTGCTTTGTGTGTTCGCTGGCAAGGCAGAAGACACACAAAAGGAACAACAAACAAGGACAACGATCCGCGTTTGCAGCCGCATCCTCATATCAATCATACGCCCCGTAAGCTTACAAAAACGTCTTCAGCAGCGTGATATATGAGCCGGTTGTACTAAGTATCTGAAAGTGAGGCAAAAACAAAACACAATAAACATATATAAAACAAAAAAGAGTCAACATTTTCAGCATTCATAATCATAATATAGGCATACCGAACTGAAGGCCGGCAGCGATGGTGTAAAAAATGGCACCGCAATTGTTTTTGCCCGCTGGGAGCGGCGCAATATCATTAAAATCATTTTCCTAGTCCTCGCATCGCATTTGTACCACTCAATGTCGTAGACTGTGGCAGCCACATCCAAGCTCTGTGGGTGGGGAGATTGTCAAGTGGTGAGGCTACAACATCTGCCAACATCTTTGTTGTGTAATTAAAATTTTAGCACAAGTGCAATTTGTGTCTGTCCCATTATTTCTTATGGAGTGAAATTGATATTACCGAAATGATAGCACAACACAACAGAACAACAAAAAAACCAAAAACCAGAAGCAAAACCAAAAAAATAAAACTAACACTGTCGCTGACATGATTGCCACCGTAGCAGTAGAGGAATAGCTGCGTCAGGGCGGCAGCTATGTAGCAAATGTAGGTTAAGCCGCTCAGCGATGAGGTGTTCTGCCCACGGTTGAATCCATTCCAATTGGTCCAGTTTTGATAGCACGTTGACGAGTTGCACGTTGCACAGTGCCGGGAAAAGAGAGTGTGATAAGAGCTGTCATTAATTGGATTGAAATGGCTGCTAACAAAATAATGAGTTTTTATCTCCAATTACAGCACTACAGCATTGCAGCGTTGCATACAATTAATTTGTTTCTAACCATAATTAAAAAATGAACAAATAAATAAATCATTGAAATTATTCTTAAAGAAAGTCGTATAAATAAGCCCTGCTTACCAACATTATGTCCAAAATGGTCGAGCAGAGCACAAAAGCGGCTGAAATGAAATGCATCAGGACAATAACGCTACTCTGGCGCGATAGCTCTGAGCACAAATCAAAAATCGCATTGTGTCGCTCAATAATGTGGCCAAGTTTAACCCTTATGCCAGCATTCATCGAGGGCGTACAATACTCCACTGAAAAGGCAGAATCTTAAAGCTGGCATTGTAGCTGAGGAGGACTTTTCTTCATACCTCCATCCAGATCAGCAAAGGCGGACCGAATATCATGCTTTACAACTCGAAATATGCCACTAATGTACAAGCAGCTACACACAAAGAAACCATCCACAAAACTAAAGATGAATCCGGTCCAGTAGCTTGAAGCAGTCAGCACCATATAGGTTAGTGGAAACCAGTGATGTTCTGTGGCAAACTCGGGCAGGCTATAGAAATGAAAATTCAATAAATGTTACCAATTTAATAAAAAAAAATCCAATTTAGAATTGTATACTTAAGTATTTAAGGTACGCAAGTTTTTTTAAATATATTCTTTTAATTGTTAATTTATTTTTCTTGGTTTGGTTATTTCGTATTATAATTTATCGCTGGCTAAGTGCTTTTTATTTTTTATACTCCAGTTATTGAAAATCGATTTGAACTTGAAAGTTACTGAACAAAACTGAGCAAAGTCTGATCAATCAATCAATCAATCACATGATGCCAAAGTAACTTTTAAACTTAATATAAGACAATCCCCACTTACATGATATTAAAGGGCAGCTGAATTTGAATTGGTTGATCCTGAGACCATCGATAAATGCCCATGATCAAGGGTAGCACAACGAAGCATGTGCCAGTTGTGAATCCAGATGTAAACAGCAATAATGTGAATCGATTTGCTGTCGTCGAGACATCAATAAGAATTTGTTGAGCTTTATCATCTTGGTTGGCACACAACATCTTACGTAATCTCTTCACAAATTCGAACCACTGACGATGGTATATAACGAATATGCTCAATTTTAGCACACAGACGGCTTTTGTGGTGCCGGGACAGAATGCCTCGAGTGCACTTACTAAATTATCCAGATTGAGAATACCATAGAGAGTCTCGCCACATGCACCAATTAGTACCACAATCAAACCAAACGCAGACATCAAATTCTTGAACCAGGGCCGTTTTTCCTGTGGCCAAATGCCCACAAACCGTCCAGGGATCCTTGGAATAATATAGAAGCTCTTCATAATAGGTGGTTCAGCGCTGCTCATCATTATTCAAAGTTGATACTGATTAAAAACGAGTTCACTTAAATTGAACGATGTCTGCGCTGCAAGCAGTGTTTTAGCCAAAAGTTGACAAATGTCAGCTTGCCATGCTTTTTATATGCTTGGTGCTAATTGTAGGATGTTGGAAACTGTTGGAAGCATTGGGTAAGACTACACTTATAAAAAAACATATAGCCATGAGTGAAATATGTCACTTTTTCAGAAAGTAAATTCCCAAGACACATGTTTTCTAATTTCAGAAAATATTTTGTATAATCATAGAAATTACTTAAATACAGACTGGGGAATATGTATTATTTTTTGAGTGTATGCAAGTTACGCTTTATAGTACTTTACTAAAAGTTTTAATTGTCGTTCTGCTTATATTTGTGTTTGCACTTCTAAGGTCCTTTTTTGAACAAAAGTCACGCCATCTGTTCGTCTGTTCAGTTGTGTGTCATCTTACTTCCATTAGAACAGTTCCCGCAACTAATTATGGTAATCAATGGAGGTTCTTTTAATTTCTTTGGACAAAGGACATACACGTTTAAGTTAATAAATGCTTACAATGCAAAGTTTTTATTTAAATTGTGGTGCCGCCTTGTTGATTATACAAGCTGCTAATAAATAGTTTTAAAAGCCACAAACATTTATTTCTTTAACTGCTCCTGCTCACTTTTTTTGCTTTCTTTAATTATCTTACATTTTGGCACTGGTTTTTGCTTCGAAACTTATTTTTTGTTTCTCCTCATTTGATGTCAAATTCCATTAAACAAATACAATTTGCTTATAGTATATGAGAAGCTGTGCTCTAACCAAAATCAATTATATTTCACATAAATACTCACATTTTATTCACTGACGCGTTTTCAATTTGAGCGCAGCATGCTGGCTGTCGTATGTGGGGCATTCTGAGGCCTAATTCCGTAATGACCAAATGCTGCCGTCCTCGCAAAGACATAATTTGCAAAACTAGTGCCACACAAGCTACTGTCAAGTGTCCCATTTACCCGACTATACATCTCTCACTCTCTCTTTCTAGCTGCCACTGCCCCATTGCTTTGGGCCTCTCATTAAATTAATCCACAGACTGCAGGCGTAAAGTGACCATTAAGTATTACTCAGAATTATGACGAAAAGCTTATCTCCAAATTACAACGCTTAGAGCAATATTTTTAGTTACATTTAAAATAAATAGTTGTATATGTGCACCTGTTAATTTTATATTATATTCATACACTGAACCAGCGATAGAAAGTGTATATGGATTTGTGCAAATGGAAGCATCTCCGACCCCCTAATGAAGTCCATCTTATACCCTGTTTCGCAACATTATAAAGGCAGAGACTTCAAATGAATCCAAATTAATTATATATTCATTTAATATTGACTAAAATCAGTCGACACAGAGAAATACAAATGGTAAACAATAAGTTACATTAAATTAAATTAACAATATAATTTAATATTTAAATTTAAAATTCCATTTGTCAATTTAAATTTCACAGTTGAGTTCGAATATTGCATTTTGTACGTATTAAATATGGTTTCGTCAGTGTTTCGTTGACGCAATGATTTTATCGGCTACTCAAGCGTCAGAGCCGCTTTGCTGCACTTAGCAGCTGCCCTGACGTCAACAGCGAGAATGCCCCGGACAGCCCATTCTGTGTAAGGTCTAGTTGCATGGTTGCCCAGCTGTCCAGCTGTCCAGTTGTGCAGTTGTCCAGCTGTCGGCTGCCCTTTGGGTCTAGCATTTATCAGCTGAAATAGACACTTCATCTACGAGAATGATGACGAGGACCGATTTCCCTTGAATATTTCAAGCATTTCTTTGTTGCTGTGTGTGTGTGTCAATTCGACATTGCTCGAGTTGTGTTTGTGTTTGTCTTTGTCTTGTCTTTAACTGACATAATTTCATACTCGTTCTTTACCCCAGCAATAAATTGTTACATGCATTCGTCCATTCACATTTTCGTTGAATTATGCGACAATCAATTTCAGTCACAGCAGCTGCTATTTATTGCAGCGTGTTTGTTTATTTAGCTATTTAACAAACTGTTAGATAACCAGCAGATAACCGAGATATTGTGTGAGAATAGGTCCAACAGGATACAAAATACAATTGTGGGCAACAGCGCGTATGATTAACAATGTGCTCAATGTGCATAATTGCTGAACGCTTTGCCTATGGTTTCGTATATTTATGATTATTTTGTAAATTACCATTAGATCTGCAAATTATGCTAAAGCCGTGTGAAGAAGGTTGATCAGTCTGCATATTTATTTATATTTATTTACAAAATTATTACCTCACAATTATTAATAAACATAATGTTTAATTAACGAGTGCTATAACCCAGGCCTTTGACTCGGGATGATTATAAAATTAGATTTTAAAATGTAAGTTCTTAAATTTTAAATATTATCATTTTGTAGCTTTCGGTAGGTTGACAGAATATGAACGATTAGTTTGCTAAACCATTTATATTTGAACAACTGTGTAATGTATCAAATGAAATAATAGTTATTTCTAGCTATTAGTTTTAAATACGATAAATATGTGTGCCATAAAATTGAAAGTTGGTTATAAAACCGTTTAACTATGAAATAGAGTATTGTTTATGCAAGAACGCCTGCTGGGCTAGTGTTTGTTGTTGCTGTTTGTTCTCTAATGGAACGCGTTATTGAAATGTTGAGCATTTAGGTTGGGGCTGCAACAACTAATAAAACCACCCACGTGAAAGTTATCACTTGGCAGTAAATGCGCAAAACGAACCGTACATCCGGATATCCATGAATCCGCACACATCCGACTATAAACAGACGCATCCACACTCACACACTCGCACTCACACTCACACAAACACCCATGTGCGACAATAAAATGCAGTTGGAAACTCGTGCAGAGAAGCTGCAGATATTTGTCCTGTTTTCTGCTCCCATTCCCAGGTGCCCCTTGCCCCAGCAAACTACTCAGCAGGATACCTACTCAAAAACAGTGCACTCCAAAAAAAAAAGAAAGGTTTTGTAATTAAATCAAGTATAAACTTTGAGAACACGCGGCCAAGATCTACTGAGGTAAAATTAGAGGTTGCTTTCGAAGTCCAAACGGTAGAATTTCTTGGCTGATTGACCGAATGGAGCTTTTCTCTGAGTGTATGGTAGCCTAGGGAGGTCGACGGATTTCATAAACAAACAACGCAAGGAGAAAAACAAGCGCGGCAATGTGTTGCACATTTGAAAGCAAAGTTGCACAAATGTGTGAAAATTCTGCGGCACACATTTCCACAAACATGACCAGCAAAGTGAAGGAAGCAAACTGGAGCAACAGCAGCATCAGTAGCAGGACCTGCAGGACGCGTGAAAACGCAATTGAAAAATGCCACAGTTTTACATAAATCAGCAGAAAAGCGCCACAATGGTGTACAAACACACAACCAACACCACACACACAACGCTCCACAAACGGGTAAGCAGGGCGTGAGGTCCACCAACGAGCTCTGGAAGCAAATACAATTTACTGATACTACAATTGGCGATCAAGTAACGCACAAGGCAGCACCTGAAGCAGCTGCCACAAGAGCATGCAGCATCATCATAAAAAGGAAGCTGCTGTTGCCAAATTGTCAGGTATCGTCAAGAGCCACTTGCATCAACCTTACACAAATTGCAACAAGCCAACAGGACTCTGCCAGACATCGCTAATGCTGCTCCATTCTCCTACTCTGCAAGTTGATGATAATGACCAGGTCAGAACTTTGGTGGTTGGCAGAAATCGGATTAGTTTTGGCTGAAAATGGGGCACTGTTTACTTGTGGCTTTATCCTGACTTTGTGGCTGACATTTGATTGATAGTGTTGCACTTAAAATATATTAATTAAAAGCAAAGACATTTTTAAGATATATTTTATTTATTTCTCTGGTGTTTTTCAAACAAAATTTTACGCAGCCTTTCATATATTTTAAAGTTATTTTAGTTTTTGAGTTTAAGGGGTATTTTTTGCCTTCAAGTGTCTTTTCAATTCTTTTAGCTGTTCGCTTTTCGCCATATTTCAATGCACTGCTACCCCATTCTCTGTTCATATTCTGAAGGCTTCAGGCTAACTGCAGGCAACTGTTGCCGACACTCAGTTAGATTGGCTTTTTTGTAAAATTTAGCATAGATCCTTTAGTTTTACGGAGTCTAACTCCTGCTTCGGTGTAGCATCAAATGAGTCATCCCGTAACTCACTTTGAGTGTCCTTAAACACCAATTCGTTTTCTGCCGTTGCAATTTCCAAAAGAAAATCGAATATCCGAATCACAGAACGGAAATATAAACTAGGTATTCTTAAGACTGATTGGCTTATTTTAAATGGATACTTTATCAGTTGCATCGCACATATCGTTTGCTCAATATAATTATCCTTGTTCAACTTAAGCTGACTGCCAGCGAGTGACAGCAAATGATTTGTAATGCCCACAAAATCATCCACATTCATAGTATGCAAGCCTCGCTTTAGAATCATACGGAAATCAGGTATTTGTTTGAGGTAGTTCAGAGTGCGTTCTCCATCTTTGCGCACAGTTTTCTTGCCGAAATCTAATTTGCGCCGTGGCACACAAACCAACGCTGTCGCCGAGGGAATTTTCGATGTGGCGGGAACTGAACGAATGTTTTTTGTACTGGCACAGTGCAGTGGAGACTTAAGCAATTCCTCTATTCTACGCGGCTCGCCGCGACTGTTCTTCGCCAGTGAATCCAATAAATCGAAGTCTTCATCAGTGGTTATTCTTGGAGGTGGCATTGGCAGTCTTAGCTGATTTTTATTGGATGTGGAAACTCCTGCGACATCATCACTTTGGCTTGCTGACGCCGGTAGGCTTTTCAATTTGTGTATAATTTTACCCATTTGATTGCGTGGTGATGGACGGACTAAATTTGCTTTTGACTTTGAAGCATGAGAGTGAATTTTGGATGCGGATGATGTGGCACAGTGCAGTGGAGACTTAAGCAATTCCTCTATTCTACGAGGCTCGCCGCGACTGTTCTTCGCCAGTGAATCCAATAAATCGAAGTCTTCGTCAGGGGTTATTGTTGGAGGGTGCATTGGCAATCTTAGCTGATTTTTGTTGACTGTGGAAACCGGCTTATATTTCATTTGCAGTTGCGACTGACGCAGTTCATCAGTGCTGCGAGGTCCTGTGGTGGATCTAAACATTGATTTGGCAATTAGTTTTAGCAGTAATCTGACACAAAAAACAGACTTGCATACCTTAAAAATGTGCGATATCTTAGGACATCATCACTTTGACTTGCTGACGTCGATACGCTCTTCAATTTGTGAATATTTTTATCCATCTGATTGCGTGGCGATGGACGTACTAAATTCGCTTTTGACTTTGAAGCATGTGTAGAGGGAATTTTGGATGCGGATGATGTGGCACAGTGCAGTGGAGACTTAAGCAATTCCGCAATTCTTCGCGGCTCGCCGCGACTGTTCTTCACCAGTGAATCCAATAAATCGAAGTCTTCGTCAGTGGTTATTGTTGGAGGGTGCATTGGCAGTCTTAGCTGATTTTTTTGCATTTTCACTTTCTCAATGCTGCGACATTCTGTTGCGGATCTAAACCTTGATTTTCAATTATTTTCACCTGCAATCTGACGGATTCACCTACCGTAAACATGTGGGAACTTTGACAATATCCTCACTATGACTTGCTGGCGGTGGACGATTTTCAATCTTGTGTATATTTTGTTTGTTGAAATCGAACTTGCGCCCTGTTGCACAATCCATTTGATTGCGTGGCGATTGACGCCCCAAGTTCGCTTTCGAATTTGAAGCAATGTTTTCATTAGCACAGTGCAGTGGGGACTTTAGCATTTCCTCTTTGCGTGGCTCCTCGCGAATGTTCTTCGACTTTGATTCTATTATTGATGGTGTTAACTGCTTTCTAATGCCCACTGGCGACTTCAGCAGTTTCTTAGCACTGAGAATTTGAATTGCAATTGAGTTCAGTTGTTTACAAATATATTGTAAAAGCAACAAATTGCATACCTGTAATATGTGGGATATCTGTTGACACCTTCATTTTGCCTTGCCGGCGACGCAGGCTCTTGGTGTTCCATCATTATCTTTACTTTTAGCTAAATTTTGTAATATTTAATTAGAAAACTTTGAGTAACGCACATATCTCCCTAAAACAAGCACAACATCGAATAGAAAATCTGCTTGACAAGTGACGCTTAGTTTTAGCTGAGAGCGTTGCCACGTCGTCAAAACTGAATCCTTTATTTTCGTTCTGTTTTTTCTGTTGAGTTTGGAGATTTTTGAAATTTTTACTTTGTTATGGTTCGCTCAACAAAAAATATACTTTCTGGCTATTTCTAATGAAAAATATTATTTTTATTTATTTTTTGTGCGCTCTGACATATGGCAGCCATGGCTGTAATTATGTAAAATACGTACTCGATAATATTTGCCTTTAAGATCGATCCTTTGTATATGATCGTTAAGGAATTATCGATTTTTAAATTTGAACAAAAATTACGCATTTTTGGATTTTTTATTTGTATACAAAAAAAAAAAACAAAATGGTAAGCGACGTGCTTAATGCAATATTATAGAATAAAAGATTTCCTTATAAAGTGTTTCGGTAGGGAGAAGTTATAACTTTTTTAAATTTGTTTTTTTAATTAATGTGTTTTCTATTGTCTTGTTTGCTGTAGATATTCCTATGCAGGAGAGAAGGAACCATACCAAATAATTTTACTGCATTGAGTGTCCGAAACCGAATTGGCAATTGAGAGTATTGTATGATTCTTTTAACATGAGCTTGGCCTCCGCTTACCTGCACAAATGGACTGAAAGTAATGTTATCATTGACCATGCAAAAGCTCGAAACAATATCGACTATATCGATTTGTAGAAACTTGAAAACTTGAATGTACATTTAAATTGAATGTTGTTGCAACAGTGGCCGGTAGTCTATTTCGCATATCACTAAATAATTTTGCATTTATTTTATATAATACAGTACACGTTGCATTAAACTAATTTAATATATAATTGTGTATATATATAATCATACAATTTATAAACTTTATACGCCTCACCTACACAATTTTCGATTGCATAACTACACACACATTTAACATTATATGTAGTAGTTCTCAGATTGCCTTTAGTTTGCATACATACCCAAGTTACGGCCCAATTTGTTTGCTCTATATATTGTTAACAATAATTATTGCTAATTTAATGATAAGTTATTGATTTAAGTGTCTTGTTACAATTGATTTGCAATATTTTGTATAACTTGTTTAACTTTAGCGGTGTTAAGAGTTATCATGATATCTTGTTCAATTTTGTCATTTTTTTTTTGTGTCTACATATGTGCTAAACAATTGCTTAACAGATTAAAACTTTTTATTTACGCATTGCATTCACAGTTGCACTTTAGAATATTCAACTTATGGTGAAGATGGTTGTTGGTTTTATGACAACGGTATTTTAATTTGAATTATTTACAACTTTGTATAAAACTATAAAATAACATAAAACTTGACATTCATTCTTCATTATTTATTGCTTACGTTGCTTCGTTATTTTTGTTTTGTTTCTGTTGTTTATCAATATTTAAATTGGTTTATTTGTGGACCGTTTGAGTGACTAACAAGTTAAAATTTCGATTATTTAAAAACACTACGCAAAGCGTTTACAGCTCGGTTCTTGTGTGTAAGTGCGAGGGTGTACTTTATTATTATTGATGCTTGAATAGAGCGTATGACCGAAACTGATGAATGAAGTAGTGCAAAGATTGAGCCAAAGATGCATAGAAACAATTGTGTGTAATTTTTGGGTAAGATGGTTATGCGAACGTAGGAATATAGGATGCGTCCCGCACAAGCAAGGGTAACCTGAACATATAGTGTCTACACAATTGTGATTCGTGATACATACGTATATGTAATATGTATGTAATCTACATATATATGTAGGCTATGTAATAATAACAGTAACTATCAACGTAACGGACGACAACGGGACGTTCAATTGGAATTAAACATTAATCAACAAACTGACCACAAATCGACTACCACTCATTCCTGGCAGAAGCCCTCAGTCTCCTCAATGGCAAAGGTCAATTTCTCCACCAGCTGGTCGTAGCTCTTATACGGCGGCAAGTCCAAGCGATTAAAGCACGTATGCGAGCGTGGCAGCCACGTCTCCTTGCCCACCTTCTCGATGCAGAAACGCTGCGGCCCATTAGAGCCCATCAGCTCAGCAAAGCCGCCAACCGGCACGCGACATGTGCCCGTCACAAACTGCAGCAGACGAGCCCGCTTCTCATTGTCTGTTTCGCGTACAAACTGCAAGCAATAAGTTCGTGGTAGAGAAATGGAGTGTAAAATTAACTGATAAGTGAAGCTCACCTGCCAGAACCAGACGACCTGCTTGGAGTTGCGATTGTAGTGCCTATATATTGTGTTGCGCTGCCAGTCTTCGACATCCACGTCCTGCATGCCGCACAGGATCAACTCAAGCTCGCGCTCGTCAAAGTACTTGAGCCACTCCAGAGGCACAACTTCGTTGAAGCCCTCGAGGAAAGTCTTCGTTTGTTGTTCAATACCGCTGAAGAATTAATATAAATATATATGTATTAAACTCTCTAAGACTCTTGATTATATAAATCATATTACCGGGTCATGCGCCATTCGGTCATGAGTGTAATGTACTCCTCCTTATTCTCCTCGATGACGCGCTCCTTCTCGCCATTCTCCTTCAGCTCATGGTGTATTATCTGGCCAAGCACTTCGAAATCGACGCTGAACCACAGTTCAAGGCCGCACTCGTCAATATTATTGTCACGCACCCAGATAAGCGAGTTGTAGAACTCGGGATCAATCGTTTCAATGTCCTTGATGGTCAGCTTCTTGTTCAGCATGCGTTTGTAGAAGGGCATGGTGAAGCCACTGTATATGAAGCGACCATGGTACAGTGCCATGGCAATAAATCGTCCAATGAACTTAAAATATTGCAAATGGTCCGGATTCACATAAGATGCGGGATTGATTTGCAGGCTATAATTGTTCTTGTTCGCGTACTCGAACAGACAGTACATGGGATTGAGCACCTCATGCGATAACAAGAAGAACCACTCGCGCGAGACGCCGCCGTAGTCGAGACCCTCCTCGCCACGGAAGATTATGTACAGGCGACGTCGCAGCTCGTAGGCTGGCAGGCGCATGATCTGGTGATACGAGTCTTCGAATAGGGTCTGCCGTGTGACGGTGATCTTGATATGCGAGGGCAGCGCGTTGCTCTGGCACAGGTAGCGGAATTGGGACAGCTTCCAGCGGAAGCTGCGCTCGTAGGCGCGCGGCACTCCATAAACACCCTTGGCACCCTTGGGCGCACCAGGGCGGGGATCCTCGAAGGTTGTGCGGCGCGTATTGTGATCGACGAAGAAGCGTTCGCCGGCAGCCGTATAGCGTATTTCCCAGCCAGCCGGCAGCGGTCCCTCATTTATGAGGCTCACCTCCTGGCCCTGGGTGCGCGGATCCTCCCATTGGGTGGTGCGATTCTTGTGGTTCACAAAGTAGACACGATTGTCCGATTGCACCTTCTTCTCCCAGCCATCGGGTAGGACGCCGAGCGCATCTTCGTCGTCCTGCGTCACGGACGCCGTCACAGCCGTCGGCTGTTGCTGCTGCTGTGAATATAGGAACCGCTGGTTGCCTTGGGCAACGACATGAGCTCGCTGGCCTTGCCAGTGTTGGAAGTGCATTAGGCGCTCGCTGTTTGGTCGCTGCCAGGTGGTCTTTCGCGTATTGTGATCCACATAGTAGACGCGGCCGCGCACATCCTTGCGAATCTCCCAGCCGGGCGGCAGAGGCGTCGGCTTCTCCCAGTAGGTGGAGCGTGTGTTATGATCGACGTAATAGCGCCGCCCATACTGATCCAATCGTATCTCCCATCCAGCCGGCAAGAGCTCATCCTCCGCCGGTTGAGTCTGCAGCTGCTGATCTGTTCCATTGACTACGGGAATTCCGGCGCCACAGCCCGGCTGCTCCAGTGCTCCACCCGCCGCCATGTAAGCTGCCTGGGCTCCATTCTCCATCGGTCCATTCGCGTACAGTTGCGCCTGGCTAACGGGACGATGCTGCACCTGCACCGGTGCCGGCGGTGGTGGCTGCTGTGGATAGGATGCTGTTTGCGGCACAGCCGCTGCACTGCCATTGACCAGGCGCAGCGGCTGCTGAGGCTGTGCCACCTGTTGCTGTTGCTCCCAAACGGGCGGGGCGGCCGAGCGTCGTTGTTCCGAGGGTAGGCCATTAGGCAAGGGTGAACGGGTGACCGCCTGCGGCTCCGCATTGTTAGAACGGAGTCGCATCCGCGCACGTACTCCTCCATAGATCATACAGCTACGTCCCGAGGCGGCGGCATCGCTCACAACTGGATTGACCGTCTGAACGGCAGCGCCACCATTCTGCTGTAGCTGGACTACCTTGCTCATGTCCAGCTTAAGGCCATTGAGAATGGCAACCAGCTCGCCGCTTTTGGTCTGCCGATTGTCCGACTTGGAGGTGACAAACAGATCGATGGTCAGTTCGAGGAACTCGCATTGCCCGTTATAATGATGCAGTATGTGCGACAGATGAATGACACGCTCCCCGAGCATCGCATCTTTGCGAAAACTCGAATGGTCTAGCACTTTGAAGTGCAGCGTCGAATTGGGCGTAATCTAAACACAGTTGTAAATTGAGTTAAATGTAGATTAAAGATTATTTTTTCAGATAACTTACCAGCACTGTGAACTCCTCGTTCCATTTGGGCAAATAGCTGTTCTTCACCAAGTCCGTTTTGCGCTTGCTCTTGCTGTCCACCAAGAGCTCCACATAGGGATTCGGTTTGAGGAAGCCATTGTTACGCAGCGAGGCCTCCTCAACTGTAAAATAATTTCAATGAAACACTCTGTAAAAATTCAAACTCCAAAGCAATACTCACTTGTCACGCTCAATTGATAGTATCCCTGATTACCATTCCCGCTGCTGGTGCTGCTGGTTCCTCCACTTGGAGTACTACACGAAGAGGAACCACTGGCGTTTATTGCTCCTGCTCCTGCTACTGTTGCGCCTGCTGCTGCTGTGACACCAGATGCTCCGGCTTGATTTGGATTATTATCGTCGAGGCCACCGTTGACAGCACGAGAAGCTGCACCTGCTGCCTGACTATTACCATCAGCCATTTAATTGCTGCTCCTAGCTGCTAGCTAGCTAATTCACGCCTAGTATTCTTGCCCGACGTTGGGGCCTATGTAGAGATAAAGAGCGACAAAGAGATAGAGAGCAGCGTTCAATCATGAATTATATACTTCATAAAAGTTAACAAAACAAAGAGATTGCCACAGCAGTCGTGATAAGATTGCCAGCTAAATGATCCACACACCAAGCAAAGGAAGTTAATGTCCACATATATGTAATAAATAATTGCAAACGTCAGCACCAGGTGCGAATCGTTCTCAGAGAGAGAGAGAGAGAGACCGAGAGAAATGTTTGTAAAAACACTTCATACACTGCTATATACTTAAATACCAAGACACATGCATGTATTTATTATATATTTATTATGTGGTACAATTATAGCACGACTCTATCAATGCTGGTTGCTAGCGTCTTTGCGATAGAACAATACTGAGCAAAATACCAGCTGATAAAAATAAGATTGAATCCGGAGCAAGGTTCAAGCTATTCGCTCAGTGTACTCCCCAAATGAAAAAATATAAATGAAGTTTTTAGCAAATTGTATTCACAAGTAGGTTAATAACACTACTAACTCCTCATACAGTCAAACTCATTCCAAAAACACTTAGTCAGGTGCTTATGGAAAATCAATGAAAAACCCATGCATAGTCAGAGTATTCAAATAATACTGCTTGGCACTTGCAAAGTGGGGGTTTTTTATTTTTAACTTTTGATAATAAAAACCGGCATACAATTGCAGAGAAATGGGAAATGTAGGACATAATAATCGGTTCTGGCATTTGCCAAGGTCTTATCAAACAGTAAAAAACGTATTTATTAATCAATTTATTGTTTTTTTTATAGAGGCGATATCGATCCGTTTTCTTCGGAAATGTCGTCGTTCATAATGGGTGCCATTAATTAAGACACACGTTGGGCAGAGAAATGTTGTCAGAAACTTTATCCAATTGTCGCTTGGAAATTTGAATAGAAGGATCTGATTGAAATGTTTATTTTCGATCGCACATTGAATTGGAATATTCGAACCTCGTAATTGGTCAATTTCATTACTAGTAACTAAAATAGGCAATCTGGGAATTAATTAAATGTTTCAGTATACTTTTTATTTTGTTGAGTCATTTTTTTTAAACAGTTTCGATTTCGGAGCAACCTTTTTTTGCCTTCCGAGTGCAGGAGAATATTATGTCTTTTATTTCAAGCTAACGTTTGTATATTTTTCCCCGCCAGCGTTCACCTAACTACATATGTACATATATATTCATATCGCGTATATATATATATATATGCATATGTTTGTATTGCTGAATAATTTGATATCACGCATTTGTAGGCTGCCTTTACTACGACGACGAACACAACTACAACTACACAACATTCTGCCTGCCAGAATGAAATTTATAATCGCCGCAATGAGTCACAAACAAAAAGTAAGTCTGGTGTTATTTTTCTGCAGCACATTCACTACTTATTGTACATACATACAATAGATAGACAGATGTCTAAGTGTGTATGAAAATTCTGATGCATACGTGTGAACTTAGTGCACTTTGCATTTGTTGTTGCCGCTCAATCATCGTCGTCATTGATGCAGCACATATTATTTATTGTTTTTTATTTCAGCAATTGATTTTTATTAATTATTATTTTGATTGTGTAAAACAGAAAACATTTCTTTGATATTTCCAAAATGTTGACAGTTTTGCTAAGTTGGAACATAAATTACTCCTCAGGGGGAATAAGCATGTGTGCTTTTTCCTAATCTTGAATTTCAAATAAAAGCGCAAAAGCAATTAAATACTTATTTTTATATACATGTGTACATATGTTCTAAGTACTTGTTAAGCACATAATGCTGACGTCGAGACTGGAATAAAATGCTGATGCTCTTATCATGCACGTATGTGTGTCTGTCTTTGTGTTGTATTTTCAAACAGATAAATATGTACATAAAATGTGGGAGAAGGAAACTCAAATATATATGCACAAACATATAATAAATACATACATACATACATATGCAATCAGCGAGGCGAAACAACAGCTGCGTCTGTGGGTAGTTCAAATTATATGTGTGTACATATAAAAGGACTTCTATTGCATGCAGGCGTGTGTGTATGTAAGCACCTTTACCTATTTATATATGTATATGCAGACGTCAATAAATCAGGCGGTATAAAAATACCTAAAAATGCATTGACACACACACACACACAATCAGTAACCAGTTGCGGGGTGGGTTGGGGATTCGAAGAGACACCTGAAGAGTAAGCACTTACAGGCAAACATATCGAGCTTGTACGTTTATTCTACACCCGCACACTATCACACTCGCACTCATGTAACGCACACCTATAATACAATAAGTTGTGTGTGTGTGTGGGTAAGTCTTGTACGTTATGCATGGGTATGTGTGTCACTGTTTGTTTGTAATTGAGGCAAAGGTCGCGCGGACAGTGCTGACACTGATTCTTGCCTAACGCCCCCACTGACTGCTGCTGGCAAACTATCAAAAAATGCGAAGCACATTCCACATTCCACTGCACAAATGTGCATTTGACTGCTTGGAGTAAATGGGAGGGGGGAGTCATTTAGCTTTACCTGCTTCGCTTACCTCCTGTTCTTGTTTTCCTACAATTTATACACTTTCGGGCAGTGTGTCTGCGTGTGTGTGTGTATTTACGGTTTTAACGATAAAACAATTATCTCGCGATATGTTTGGTATAATTATTATTACGCGCACGCAGCACTCGAAACACAAACAATGCTTAGCATTTTGTTTTTATTTGGTAATGTTTAAAAGAAGCAGAATCAATGCATTGGCAAAAAATTAGTTTTCGTTTCCACTGAGTGTTACCGCATACGGAAAAAACAAAAAATACTTACGACCCAAGACAAAATTACTAGAAAATACCGAAACTTTAGATACATATAAATAACATTTGCACATCATATTTTAGATTGGCACTGTTAAAACATCATTCTACTTTCGTCTGTTATGTTAAGTTCAAAAACTGCTGCCCTATTCATTGAAACTACGAAATTAATCGACATTTTTGTTTAGCATAATGAGTTTATTTCCTTCCAAAATAGTATATTTTTCTAGAAATTAAATAAAAATGAATCGCAACTAGTGCTAACAGTGCCGTGGACTATCGATAACACTCAGACACTCTGCAAATCGATAAGACTCAGAAAGGTGTATCGTATCTCGATAAGTTTGCAATCAACGAAATTGCATTAATTCAAAAAATTAAGTTACAAATAAATTTATTATTGAAGCCAATAAAATCAATGGATTGACTACAATGCACACTCGTTAACAACAGAAACTAGTATGAATAATTATTACGTTATCATAAATCGGCTCATTACCATTGGCGAAAAAAATTAAACTTAAATATGAATATGTATATTACATACGAAATCAGATTTATTTCTTAATTGTTAACACATGACATGAACATCATATATAATTACGATCTTTCAGCCTAATGTAAAAGTGAAATTATTTCAGCATTGCCTTTTCTTAATTCATTCCACAACAAGTTGGTTATTTGTTTAAACAATTAGTACCTTACATTTTGAATGCATATAGAGTTTGTTTGTTAGCCGCCGTACATTTTGATGATGAGAGTGCCAACATGCTTTTTCACGCTTTGCTCTATATTCGAGTAGCATTTTAGAGCCCGTCGCTCACATTTATGTGCGCTGCGGCTCTGAGCGCAAAGTGAAAATTATTAAAATTTAACGCTGTAAAAATCTTGAATGTGCAGCCATTCGTATCGCGCGCTTCGCCTGAAGCGGAAGTTTACCTTCGAGTCGGATCTTGTCAGCTGTCAAGAGATCTTAATAATAATACATAAGCGGTAGCAAGGATATCAATAATCGAAATCAATAAGCGATATGCATGGACTTGTCATATATTTGTGTCTTCTCATCAGTATCTTTCACTTTTCGGAAGGTAAAGTGATAATAATTGATCAAATTGGATAAATAACAATTGCTAAGAATACAATCTCTGCTGATTTGGAATGGTTTAAAATACAGTCAAGAATTAACCAAAATAAGTGCTTAAATTAATATTGACCACATTGTTTCTTCTTTTATTATGCGGTGTATTAGGAAAACCATGCCCCGAAAAATCACGCCCACACAAGACACGCTGCGATGCCTTCTATAAATGCCGCGAGCTGCCTTCCAACTCGCACGTCTGGATTCCGATCAAGTGTAATGAGGGACTCGTCTACGAGCACATTGTGGGCACCTGTGTCCTGCCCGATGAGGATTGGGAGTGCATCACACCCAGTGAGCTGAACAGCACTCCGAAGAGTCCCACAAGCAAGAAAGGTAGCAAGGATGCCGATATAATTATTGTAAGCAACGAAGATGAAGCGACTCTGTTGCTCAAGGAGGACAGCGATAACGATGTGCAGATAGTACTAGATGGCCAGCTGAGCAGTGAAGAGCAGGATGAGCAGGTCAACGACAATTCATTGAAAGTTAATCAAGTTGCGTCCACACCAAATACCAGCGAATTGGAGAATCCCTCATTCATCAGTCAATTCGATTCCAGTGGCGATGGTGAGCTGGTCGACTTGGAAGGTTTCCCGCTGCAGGCAGAGAATCGGGAGGCCGAGGTCAACGTTAGCAATGCACATAATAAGCATAGCACTCACTCAACTGAGACACCTAATAAACAGCCAAGTTCTGGATCCAACATTGATCCCAATCTGACGGCGCATCTGCAGCGCCTGTCACAGCTGATCGATGGACTGCAGCAGACGTATCAGAAGACGGAAAAGCCACAGTTGGAAATGCGTCCGGATCAGCTAAATGCCTTCCTAGCTCATTTTGACCTTAAAAATCGTTACGACATGATGAATCCCTCGGCTAACTTCAAGGATGCATCAACTACAACAACAACAGTGCCACCAGCAACGACTCCGATGGTGAAAACATCCTCTGCTGCTCCAATTCCTCAGCTGGTGGTGAATAAAACCCGCCAGCATTTAATCAATTATCGCATGCAGCCGGAGACAAAACTGCTGCTGTCCAATACACAGCCGGGCTATGCCAGCTCCCAAATTGTGGTCAATCGACCCGAGGGATCGGTCATGTTCACTTTACCTCAGTATGGCTCCAGTCCCGAGCAGACTCAAACTAAAAGTGTACAAGCTCAGAGTCATGAGTACAACGAACATGAACCAAAGGTCTCGGAAGAAACATTGAAAACGGTGCTGGAACTGTCCAAGCAGATGATTGCCGCACAGAATCTGCCCAAAGTGCTGCCAAGTCCTGGATATAATGGTGCCTATTACGCCCAGCCCATTATTCAACCGGTCATCCTCTCGCCGCAAAACAATCCCTTTCAACAGTACTTTTCCATGCCGAACTATGAGTCAGCGTCACCACCGAGGACTCACTATGTGCATCACAAAAAGACTGGTGGATACAACAAGAAGCCACCGGGTACCACGATCATTCACAACAATGTGATACCCGTTCATCTGTCCAGCACCAGTTCCGGCGAGAGAGAAGTCCTTGATGCCTATGGCAACAGTTTGGGTCACTTCCCCCATCTGGATAAACATAATAGCAACAACAATGACAACAATAAGAATCAGGTGGATAACAACTATTACAACAAATTTATGGCCACAATGACAACAGCTCGTCCGAATTCTATGACAACAATGACCAGCCAATATACTGGACAATATACAGCTGCATTCGCCGGCGAGTTTACCCAAACAACGCCGCGTCCCTTTGAGCAGCAGCCCTCGCCAGCAACTGTGGCGAATTACTACACGCCTAGTCCCCATCTCAGCGAGAACAATGTGAATCGTGTCTTCAATTCGGAGAGCTATCCCACAGCCAACAGCTTGAATATGCCCCGACCAATGAGTGCACAGAACTTATATCCCACTCATCTCGATGCTGGTCAAGTGAAAATACGACCCAATTCACAGAAAATCGAGAGCATGGAAGTGGAGGCTGATGACGCGAATAATCCGAGCTATGTGAACATTAACGGAAATGGTAACAACAACAACAACAATCTACACAGCTCTCATCTGCTGACCTACAGCAATGCTGGCCAACCAGACAGATTGGCCATGAGCCATCAATTAGCACCTGGCTCGTATATGGAGCAGAGCTATGCGGCGTCCCAGAATGTGGCCAACGAGCAGCAGCAGCAGCAGCAGCAGCAGCAGCAGCATCAATATCACTTTAAGCCTCCTACATACATGCCCAAGCCAACACCTAGCATGAGCAGCAGCAGCATGTATAGCGATGCAGCTGGTAATTTGGAGTTGAGCATGTTCAACACCGGCATGGGCAATGCGAATGTCAATAATAATAATAACGGTATTCATCTCATGTCCGGCAAGTATCCATCATCACTTGGGCAATTGGTCAACTTCAATGGGAACTTTATCAGCTTGGATGTGTTCCGGAAATCAATCTTGCCACTGATCACACAATCACCGTCGGCCATCTCGGATCTGAACAACGTTGAGGTAATCACCTGCCAAACCGGCGTACGTCAGCCCAATCAGACGGACTGCACCCGTTATTTTGTGTGTAGCAAGAAGGATGGTAAGGTCCTATCCTACTCCTGTCCACCCTACACGGGCTTCAATAAGCAGACACGCATCTGCGATGCGACAACCTATGCGCAGTGCGGGAATGTGCCCATCTTTAACGGATATACCATTGATGAGAATAGGCGACTGCACATGGAGACGCTGAAGGTGCTGGCGGAGGCGAAGCGTCGACAGGAGGCGGCACTCAAAAGTCAAAACCTTGCGAATCTTCTGCAGCAATACGCCAGCAAGCCGGAAATGACTGCACCAGCAACAGCGCCCGGAATATCATCGAGTATGGAGCAAAGCATGTTAGACTCGTACATGGTTAGTTTTCCGGAGCCGAACACCACATCACGACCACAGATTGTGATACCAACGCCACCGCCAATTAGTAACAGCAGCGGACCCGTCAAGAAGCGAAAGTATTACTGCAAGGAGGGGGACAAGATTCCCGACCAGACATCCATCAGTAGCTACTTTGTGTGCTACAAGAACGCACAGGGCAATATGAAGGGACACAAGATGACCTGCTCCAAGGCACTGGTCTTCTGTCCACGAACCCTGCTCTGCACCTTGGCCAGTAAGTGCACGGGCTAGTCTACCATTCTAGATCTTAAATTGTTTGCCTTTTTGTGTAGTTGTGTAAGTTATTTATTCTAATTTTAGCAAGCGAGCGGCGAATTTTCTATATTAAACAATGTGAAACGAAAAAGTCGAAAAAATTGAGAAAAAAAATTAATGTTTGTTTTTATTTTTAAGCGGAGTTTTTCAGCGGTTCAAGGGGTCAACGTGAAAGTTATGTTGCATTCCCTATCCATCCATATATTATGTTAAAGACCTTGTGTCACAATTTCTCTCTTAATACCAGTTTTTAATTGGCGTACAGTCGACCTTCTCACAAAGCAAGACACACTCGAGACTCTGTTGTACCCAAGTACATCTGAACTTATGCTTGTATTTGCTTTTTAAAATGTATGCCAGCCCACTTTGTTTTTGGGCACTTGTTATGGTTGAAAATTTCACTAGTTTATTGTGCTCATAATGTGCTTTAATCTGCCACATTTAGTAGGTTATTACTTGTACTTGACTATGTATGTTTTGAAGCATATTTCATTTGTACAGCTGTACTAAACCGTGTTTGACTTAAGGATACCCTGTACGCAGTATTTGGGGCCTTGGGAAGATCAGAAATGGAAATTGAACAATATCGTTCAATATTATTTGACAAGTTAAAATCCACTTTCTCCTTCAATTTAAATGAGGCGAAAAACATTGTCGGCCTCTTTGACATTTGTTTTCTTTCTCGAATTAGTGTCTAATAATTGTTTAAATTAATACGCACACAAAACATGAGCACGCGTCTGTCAAAAATTTCTACTCAACGTTTCTTTGTCAGTTTAATTCGTCACTCACGCATGACAATCTATTGGAGAAATGACTACTACTAAAAATACACTTTTCACTTGACTCAAAATGATTATGACTTATTGTAACTGCAATGGGTTTATTAACACCAATGAGCAGTTTTGCATATGGCATTAGCGGGGAGTACATTGCACGATATGCCAAAAAAACATATGAGAAGAAAGTGGTTGGTCACTTATTACACCAGTTTTTAGAATTTTTATTGTCACCAGAAGATTTTATTATTTTTATAGAGCGATAAACCGGTTGGACAAAGTAATCTGTGTAGAGATATGGATTAAAGTTCTCTAAAGCATTCTTTGTGCTAGAATGTAAATTAAAAATAGATAACGAGATGCATATTATATAACTTACTTTGAACCGATAACTAGAAATTAGATGATTCAGGAATGTTTTTAATTGTCGATGCTAGTCGTATTAAAGTTTACTGTTTATTTGATTATTTAGTTGAACTTATTCTTCACATCACACATAAGAGATCATTACATTCAATAACGATTTGCTTTCTCAACGATTAAACATTAGTTTGTCTCTATTTTTGTACTATTACTAATTATTTGTAATGTATTTATTTGAATTTGTATGTAGCACACCGATTTCAACATTTTAAAACTGGTATTCATTTTGATATACTATATCTGACCATTTAGATCTTTGAATCTTTGAACTCTACTTAAAAACGCGGCTTTCCCATCCAAGCGAAATTTAGTTGAAATGCATAGTAACATTGCTTTTAGTATAATTTCTTTCATTCTCACAATAGATTCTCTATTTGAATTTAAATTTTAAATACATACTATGATCTACGAAATATGTTTTGAATTATTTGTCTGCTGTTGTGGGCCCTCTGCATAGGTATTTAGAAGTGATTTATACACAATAAGACTGGTATTTAACTATAGTACACAAATCATGCTTCTATTGGTTTTGCAACAGTTTAGTTGCTTCATTTTGGTTTGTAGCAGATTTAAAAAATGTTTTACGATTAACTTGCATTAGTTTATAATACAATTATCACATTCTTTTTGATGATGATATATGTAGATTCATTTTCAATTCGATTCATTTAAAAACTATTTTTGCATTAGGTTCTAATTTAAATATTGCTTTAGGTTTCTTTTCTTTTTCTTCTTTTAAACTATTTAACATAGAAGGCATATAAAGCGCGTAGAAAAACTAGTTCGCTTTTAAATTTAATCATCACGCAAACATAGTAAAAATCGCACCTAGCAATATGACATATAAAGCGTAGGAACATATATAGTTGCAGACTCTAAGCAAAATAACAATTGAATTCTACAAATTCCACACCTTAGACCATTCCAAAGCCCTCGCTGCCCTCGCTGATGGCCAGAAGCAGCGATTTCTCAAATTGCTCATAGCTCTCATAGTCGGGCAGGCAGAGTTGATTGAAACTGCAACAATAATCATAAATTATAATTTAAAAATAAAATAGAAATTGACTGTCAAGGATATACGCACCATGTGTGGGCCGTTGGCAGGTTTCCAAATGTGGGTGCCGCCGTTATTTGAAATTGTGGATTGAGCTCCTGAAAGCCACCAGGTGGCAGCTGGGAACAGCCTGTGGTGAATTGCAGCAGACGCGCCATTTCCGTCTGACTAAAATTACTGACGCCCGCCCAGAACCAGGCGAGGACACGACGAAACTCTGAGGAATTCCCATTGGCAATGTGATGTGACTTGAAGTCACTGATGGAATACTCGCCAGTGCCACACATAAGTAGCTACAACAGGTAGACAGGAAAATTATAATTTATATATATCTATTATTATGGAATAATATTAATATTCACCTCCAGTTCGTTCTCATCGAAAATGCTTAATAAATTGTCGGGTATGATTGCATTGAGGCCCTTCAGAAAACTGTCGACCTCATCCTTAACGCTATTGCAGAGCCGCTGCTGGGCTAAAGCATCTAGATATTGATTTTTGCTGGCATTTGTGACGCGTGTCTTGGCACCATTTGGAATGAGTTCTATGGTCTTGCTCAGCTGGCCGCTGATATCGTACAGATCCTCCACAAAATATAGCTCCAGCGTATCCGTTGCATCCAGATCCGTGTCTAGTATGTACTTAATTTTGGACAGATACAGATCGGGATCGTCCTGCTCAAAGTACTGCAAGAGAAAATACTCTTTAATAAAGAAAAAATTGTGAAAGTGAGAAATTGTATTATTAACCTTATAGTGCACTCTTAGCCCAATTAGTTGAGCCAGAAATGAGCGACTAAATCGGGCTCGCACCAACTGCCGATAGCTACCGCCCAAAGCACTCTCAAAGAGGCATTTGCCCACCATTTTGCCAGCAAATTCAAAGTACTTAAGTTTGAGATGCGCCGGCCTTGTTGGATTGGGATGAACCAGCGCCTGGTGCTTGTCATGAAAGGTACAGAAGAGGCCTCCACGTGAATCGAACAGAGAGCTGCAAACCAACTCGAACCACTCGCGACGCAGACCACCCCAGTCGATTCCCTGCTCCCCCTGGAAGGTGACCTCGAAGTTGCCACACCAGTCCGAAACGGAGAAGCCCTTGGTGGACTTCATGCTGCTCTCCAGTATCTTTTCGCGGTTCACCTTGAGGGCCATCTTCTCGTGATAGTAGCTGGCATGGAATTTGCGCACCTCATGATAGAAGAAATCCTGTTTGTCCTTAAACGTCTCGGAGCCACCAATGTTTTTTAGCAGAAAGTGTGTGAACGTCGCTGCAATAATGTTCCGGTCCTTAGAAGCCAGCTCGATGCGCGGTTGCGCCCCATCATCTATAATGAATACAGGGCCATGCACCTGTGGCATCAGCTGTGGCAAAAAATGGAACTTGGTCGAGGGACACAGTCGAAATGTCGCAATTCGCTTGGGTATGAACTTCAATATCATTTCCTTGATGGTTACCTGAAATATCAACGAATTCTGAGCCTGAACATTTCGCACAATTAATTAAACTCAACTCGATGATACTCACCTGTTTCGGTCCCACATAGCACATCACCTTGCGCGGCTTGCTCCGCGCCGAACCAAAAACACTCAGCAGCTTTGCCTCATAGCAAATGTTGTGCTTCCGCGAGGCAATGTTCTTGTGCACAAGTGTGGTGTCGCTACCTTTGAAAGGCAAAAATATAGATTATCTTATTAGTGTGTTTTGAAAAGGGTCAGAGTTCTCTTTAAGTGAGTGTTCGAATGGAAGAATCAAGTCAATTAAAGGCTACATTTGCATATATAGATTTCAACACATTTTAAACGGAGAAAAATGCAATCGGACATCGCAAATGCATTGAAAATAGCGGAATAGTTCTATAACTGTTCCATTTCAAAGAAAAATATAATTTTTATTCCCCCTGAATTCAATGACTTATAACTGAGCCCATTACTCACTGCTCAGCACGATGATGTCAAAGTCACCGTTGGGCAACTGCTGTTCCCGATAGCTGATAACGGCACGTAGACATATTGGCTCTGGGAAAAGAGCCGTGACGGAGACACGTGAGTTGACGCGATCGTAGTTGAACGCAATCGCATGCTGAAGCTTCTCCACGGAAATGCCATGCAGATCATAGATGGCCACCTGGTAACCCTGCAATAAGACAAGTAATAAAATCTCAAATCAGATTGCCAACAAAATGATGATCTACCTGCAGCGCCTCATCGGACTGTTCGAAGAGGCAGGCATTGCCGAACTCGTCCCTGGGCTCGATATGCATCAGAGTGGGTGCACTGGCGCAGCAGATGACGGTGCTGGCCGGGCGAATGAATCGGGATCTGCGTGGATCGATGGCGCCGGGCAGAAAGTTGCGTACGAACGGTGAGCCGGCAATGTGACTGGCGCCGATCAGCACGGAGATCTTGTATTGGCCCGCTGTGCGGACCGTAAACTTGACTTTGGCAATGTTGGCATTATTGGGATCTGTGGATGAGCCGAGCTCACTGATTGTGACCACTTTGCGGGTGCCCTCGGTGACCTCCACGAAGAACTGGTCCGTATCACAGATGGGATAGGGCTGGCCATTGCGCTGAAAGAAGCGCACAATGAAGCACATGGTGCCACCGACACGGGCCGGATCCTTCCAGTCCCACTGCACCCGACAATTCGCTGGCAGCAGATACTTTCCGGTTACATACTGAAGCAGCGAGTGGCGCGCCTCGGGCGCCAACGATGGCTGTGTCATGGCGGCGAGTGTGACCAGGCCGGCAACGGAAACGGACACCACCAGCATACCGCCCCATGTCCAGGCGTCCTGATGCTGACTCGACTTGACCACCGTTGACCACAGCTGTGCCTTCAGTGCGTCCAACTGTGCCTTCGACGTGGGCAGACCCTGACGCGCCGTCGACCACAGCTGCCAGTCCTTGCCCAGTAGCTTGCTCGCACGCGAATCCTCCAGCCAGTACACGTCCTCCAGCGATGCCACCTCAACGGCCAGCAGACGTTGATAATGATGTTGCATACGATACTCCCGCAGCCATTCGCGCAATATGAGCTTCTGTTGCAAATGCAATGCGGCACGTTGCAAACGCTGTTCGTCCCCTGGCGGCAATTCCGGCAACCGTTCCGGATCACCGGAGCTGGACAACGATGAGATACCTATCCGAAAGAGACACAGAGGGAGAGAGAGAGAGAGACAGGGAGACAATTGATAAATATTATTATATAATTGCTGTGACAAATGAGCAACTTTTGGCGTCGCAGCTTATTGAGTTAAATGATCCAAGTTTGTGTGCAATTCAAAACTTTTGCAGAGTCATTTCGTCATAAGGACACGCTGAGCCAACCGAACAATCAAATTGGAAATGAAATCAGCCGAATGGTGTCTCAAAATAAAAAGCCAACTAATTTTACCAGGTGACTACGTCAATGGCATTTAAGCAGAACTTTGACGACGACAACAACGCCAATCAATTATATTTCAATTTTTATGACTTTACCAAGCTGCAGCAGGGGAAGGCAGAGCCTCCGGAATTGAGCCCGCAAACCAACGCGAATCCAAACTCGACCCCCCTCGAATATGTCATAAGCTAACGCTTATCGCTGACTGGCATCACATAAAAATGTTATGCCTCCCTAGCCACTCTTCAAGTACTACTTCAAGCCATCGAGTTTTGGCCCCCGACTTTCGTAATGTCGCAACGACATTCAAGTTTTCCGCAGTTTTCCCAGCTAATATATAAATATATTTTGATATGTTAGAAGTGCTGAAGAAAACGCTAGTGTTGGAAAGTAACAATATATTTTTTCATAGTCTGACTTCTTATTCGATTTATTCGAGTCAGACAAATTCATTTAAAGAAGATACGCAAATATTAATGACCTTTACAAAATGTAATAATAAAGAGAGAAATAATAATTTAATTTTTTTTTAAGATGTAACCCATAAATTGGCGTGTTTTATTTTTGTTCAACTCAACTCTCCCTCTTTCTGTCTCGGTGTTTCTCTTCCTCTCTCTCTCTCTCTCTCTATTTATCTATATTTCTCTCTCTCTCTCTCTCTCTCTGTTTCTCTCATTTTCCCTTCAGCAAACTAACTAACAATGGTATCCCGACAAATACCGAAACACACAGTCCACCTCAAGGCACAACCGAGTAAAGTAGAAGGTTTGCGGTCTGGTGGCGACCAGAAAAATGTAAAAATAATACTCGTCGAGCATTCAGCCGCTATTTACTTCCGACATAGTACAACCAACGTCAGGTTTGCGTGCCTGACATTCGAAAACCATTTCATTTCGTTACCAATTTCGCTTATTTCTAACACTCGTCCCCCATACTTATTACTATAGTAGTGCCTCCTATTTTACTATTTATACCCTGTACCCATTATTAATGGGCAAGCAAGTTATAATGAAGTTGTTACATATACAATGCGACATTTCCGACCAAAGAGAAGCATTTATATATACCTAACTGATGACGGATATCGACAAACTGGTTAATCACTCCTTCTCCCAAACCTGGGGGTATTTTCAGGTATTTTATGTTTGTATCTTAGAAGATCGGATAACTCGAACTTATTAATAAACTTTTCTATGTTTATAAGTAAGAATGTATTTGACAAGGTATCTTTAAGTCGGAAACACTTTTATGTGCTTGTCCACAATTCGTGCGAAACGAGCAACTTCCGTTTGATTTCGTTGATTCTGTGAGCGAGTTTAAAACGCCGAAGAATCTAAAGAGCAAACAATGAAAGGCAACTTTTGATGTTGAAAAACTTTACAGTGTATGTGTGTAAGTGTATGCAATTATAGTATTAGTGTTGCATATTTAATAGCGTTACGTACAAAAGTACCAAGTGCGCTTTACGTCAATTGTTCAACGAGAATTACTAATCCTTTTAATAGAAGGTAGTAAAAACATTCAACATGCATTCGAAGTTATTGATTTTTGCAACTGAAATGGAAATTCAGTTGAAAATGTAAGAAAGAATCTTTGGGACAACAGGTTAAGTGACTTTTAACCAAAGTGTTTGTTTTTAAATGTAAGTAGATAAATAATGTTCATTAAATATAACTTACTCGCATAACTAAGTAAGTATTTCGTGTCTTAAAAGTTGCTAAACTAATTTATAGACTTACCATTCGCATGATTAAAACCCACTTTGAAACTGACTCGTGGCAAGATCTTTCGAGAAATAGAGAATGGGCAGCCGACTTGCATGTTATAGACCAATAGTGCCATATCATAATTTTTGGTAAGCGGATTCAAAATTCCCTTAAACTTCGCATAGCCCCGGAGCACTACTTGTTCGCTACTCATCGCTGCGTCCTCAGGCGCCAACTCAAAGTGATCCATGTGTGCAGCGACAAATCGTCGAAAATTCAATTATTACTTTCTAAATTTTGGCATATAAATCAACTCTTAAACATTTCACAATAACTGGGAAGTCTAAAACAGTCCAAATTAAAAGCATTGCTTAACTTAAATCTATTCTTTAGTTAAGAGACCCATAATGCGCTGCTAAGCGACTTTTTTTGTTTGCTCATTAGCTGAGCCACTTGGCCAAGGGCTATGCAAATGTAGGCTGGGCGAAAGGTGGCAGGAAACAACTTGGCCTAATAGCAGGGCTTTATTAGAGCTCTTCTTTGTCATCATTTTGCGATTAATTTTTAATCAGTTTTCGCTTTTGCCATTTTGGCTCGAGGTGCGCGAGAAAAGTTGCGAGAGCAGCAAACCTGATAATGAGATGAGTAAATAGGATTGTTCTAGTTAATGCACGACTTATAGATACTCCGTATCGAATATATCTAGCCAGGTCTCAGAACATGAATAATACTTTATTTTACGAAGGGTATGTTCGAGTCGAGCACGCCGTTGAAGACATACAACTGTCACGTGCGTAGCCGTGCATATATATATACAGATAATATATTACTTATTTCCAACTCCCTTTTAACTTTGGGGTCAGCGTAAGATGTCGGTTGACTGTTTACATTGGGACTTGTCTTTAAATAAACCGTCAGTCATTAATTACGCTTTTTTTGTTGTGTTTGCTTTATCGATTGGGGGACGCTCGAAAATGGAGGATGGAGGACAGGCGATGTGCCTGGAAATTACAAGTTAAACGATGTTTGATCGTCACCTCAAAGGGCAAAAGTCGTAGCCAAAGGAAGCCAAGTGAAAGGGGTCGATTAAAAGCCGAAATGTTCATGCATTCATTTTCACATTGGCCATTGTGTTATTTTTTTTATTGTCAAAGCGAAAAATTGTGAAATTGGCAGCTGCAAGGTCGTTGTCTGTATGTATTTTAGTGCCATCTGATGTCGCAAGTTCACACTACTTTTAGCTTTAAAAAATGTTGTAAATAAATCAATTTTACAACTTAACAATTCAAGCATGTTTGCACTTATATCCACGTGCCTGTTTATAAGTATTTATGTTGCCCGTCTGCAGCAAAAGCAAAAGCAAAACAATAACAACAACTGAGGCTGGCAGCGGCAGCGGCAGCGGCAGACCCAGCAAATACTAGCGTAAAATATTTGAATATTTAATTTGAAATAATAAAAAGTGCTCTTCAGCTCGACGCTACGATTCTGGCCGCACTTGCCCCAAGTGGCGGCATAATTTCAAATGCCACTTTGGAAACAGCCTCTGCAAATTACGTATACGCAAGATGGGCCGCACAAATGAAAATTTCGCACAGCGCTCTCATCGCGACAGCCACACACACACACACACGCATACATACATACATATATATATATATAAAGTGCTTAGGGCTCCCAAGTGCTCTCTAGCCAGCCAGTGAGTAAACTGCCACCCGCTTCCCCTCCTTCTCTTGCTGATGCTGATGCTGTGGCTGGATGCGCCTTCAAAGCTTTCTATTTAAAATAAATCTGTAGCTAAAATATGAATAACGAACATCATACATATGGATATATATTTATATATGTATATATATGTATGACTAACAAGGCAGGTAAAAGGATGCATAGAGAAAACCAGATAAAAACGCTGAGATGCGACACAAACAGATCAGCATTGTTTACGTGACAGTGGAATAAATGTATGTACATAAATAAATATATATATATATATATATATATATATATATGTATATGTACTTATGTATTATTGATTCAATAATTTAAATACTAAGCAAACAAACAGACAAATATTGTACTCTCACTGATTTAATGGAAAATCAATTTGGCTTTATTGTCGCATCAACTTGCGAATCAACGTTCGCAACGCTGTTTGGACCAATGCCAAAATGTTGTTAGATTCGGTGCCCAAAAGTACCTCAGATCTGTCTTAGCCATTGCTGTTGTCGTTGTCGTTGACGTTGCCGTTGCCGTTGCCGTTGCAGCCGCTCAACGTACATAAAACAAGTGACTCAATAGAATTTTAAACACTCACACCTGACCTGACTGCAGCGACAGCCGTGAACAAAGATGTTGCCAACTTGCCGCCAATGATTCAAAAGCCAAACCCCCATGGTGATAATGATAATGATAATGATGATGACGACGACGACAATGTCTGGCTCTAAGCACAGAATGCCATCAGTGCCGGGCGAGGGTGAGGGAGTGAGACGAGCAGACACATTTGTGGCTTACCCAATCTCATTCGGGTAAGTATCGGTGTGGATGGTGTGCGTGGGTATAGATGCAACGAATCTAAACTTTTTGCGCAAGTAGTTCACCCTTTCCCTTACACATAGTTGCAGCTCCCCTTATGTTTTATGTGGTGCTCTTTTACCAATGTTTAGTCATGTGTTCACTTATGCAACCAACTTTAGGGGCGAATTCTACCATGTTGTTGTACACCTACACCCAACCATCCACCCACTCACAAATACAAGGTCACCAAATGTTGCCAAGTATGCTTCGTTTTTCATCAATAAATAGTACAACAAGAGGCAAAGATATTTCTAATTTGCATACACACATTGAAAGCTTTAAATTCTCAACTATATGGAAATTGGTATCCTTTCTGTCTGTATTTAGTTTATATTCAGGGCAAACTGAATAAATAGTATAAATGCCAAACATGTTTCCAATTCACATACATATCTAATTTCCCACCTTGGTAGCATTGTTAACAATTGGCGGAAGATGTAAATGTCCTTAAATCAAATTAATCTTCGACAAGAC